CATATTTGTTTACGTTTTACAGAAACAAAACTTAAAACCGAATGGCTAATTTGCATAAACTAAGCGCTCAAAACTTCTCGCTATTTTGTGCTGATGCGGTTCAGCTTCTGTCCGACTAAGGGACACGACTCAGTGGAATATGTCTGTTCTTTCTGTGACAGAGGGTTGTTCTACTAATGGTGAGTTTGTTCTGTGCTTCTATCGTGTTGGAGATGATTCATGTTAAACTTTTCAGAGATTATACATCTGCAGGTCATACGCATAGATCGCATAGAACGTATATATGAATGGACATATATTCTAGCCTATTGGCGTTTTGGCTGTGAATTACTTTGCGGTGCATAGACTTACATCAGCGTATCAGTAGTTCAGGCTGATAAATTCATGGGTGCTGGCGGCACCAGACTGTTCTTTCTCTGGAGCCGTTTTCAATCGGATTGTGGACAAACACTGCATCCACAATGAAAACAAGTCGAATACGTACTACTGTTTATGGGGCCTAAGTGAAGCATTTAACTTGTCTATCTCCATGGAGACCAGCAGGTGATGCAACTGATAAGGAAAATACCACCTTCACTGATAGTAGAAGGTTACAAAATTACAAAAAAAAGTTGCACCAAAAAAAAAATAGTGAAGAAGTTGTGTTTTCTTGTTGCAAACAGTGACGCCACATTTCAAAACATAAGAAATGCTCCTTGGCAATTTTTCTAATCCAGTCAAGCGTTGCAAAGACAAAACCATAACACCGCATCCAGAGATAAGTACAGACCAAGACTTAGCCAACAGGAAAATGAACATGGGGTACAAGGAGGAGATACCAGGCAACAACTTTCAAGAGAGGACAGATTTATTATCAATATAACTACATTTTGAAATATACAGGTCGAGTGTCAGGAGAAAGAAATAAGAAATAAAAGAAAGAAACTGCTAATAATGAATATATTGAAATAGAGGTATTCATAGAAGTAGCAAGGATATGAGAGCCTAATAAAAAGCCCAAATATTGCAGCATTTTATCCCACAAGTCAGGCCAAAATCACAGTTCCACTCAGGTACTACATCAACAAATACAAAATAAATAAAATCTAAATAAATTTCATGAACATACAATCAGTACAGTGTTATAATCAGTCCCATTTATCACAAAAGATCCTATTTACTCCTCCAAATCCCAAATACCACATTGTCTCCAAACTGCTCAATTAAAAGCCCCAAGTTTATCATTGGCAGTTTGAAACAATGTGCCCCCATCTCCACATCTAACACAAATGAGTTTGATATGATTGAAAAAATGAATTGGATTTTTTTCAGGTTGCAAAAAATTTTCAGAAGCATACCAGTTTAGAGAATACAATAAAAACTCCTGAACTAATACAAAATGCATTTCAGGTTAAAGAGGTCTAAATAAATGACAAGCAATGATGGGGAGTAACGGATTATATGTACCAGAGTTATGTAATCAGAGTACAAATTATGAGTAACTCTATTTGGTTACAGTTACTGTTTCAGTGAGTGGTAATTGGATTACAGTTACTATGTTGAAATAAATGGATTACATGGCGGTATTTTCCTGTTCTCCCATTTTGGGCTATAACCCTTTTTATTTATTTTTTTGGTAATTCCACTCATTGCCGGACACCAAATCAGGTCTAAAACCAGGTCTAAACTAGATCTAAACCAGGTCTAAACCAGGTCTAAATCAGGTCTAAAACCAGGCCTAAACTAGATCTAAACCAGGTCTAAACCAGGTCTAAACAAGGACTAAAACCAGGTCTAAACTAGATCTAAACCAGGTCTAAATCAGGTCTAAAACCAGGCCTAAACTAGATCTAAACTAGATCTAAACCAGGTCTAAACCAGGTCTAAACCAGGACAAAAAAACAGGGCTAAAACCAGGTCTAAAACAGGTCTAAAACAGGATTTAACAGGATGAAACCATGCCGCGCAAACCGTGTCTCCTCCTCTTCTATCAATAATATTTTTAATATGGCTAAGGAAGGACTGGGCCCTTTATTATCTTTTAGCAGACAAAACATCTTATGTTAAAATATCCTAATCTTTGCGCTACAGAAAATCAAGTAATCCAAAGTATTCAGATTACATTACTCACTTTAAGTAATTTAATGGATTACGTTACAAACTACATTTTGGGGTATGTAATCTGTAATCTGTAGGGGAATACATTTTAAAAGTAACAAGTATGAAGACAAGATTCTATTGTAGAGATTGACTGATATGTTTTGTTTTGTTTTGTTTTTTTTGTTGTTGTTTGTTTTTGTTTTTTTTAATAGAAAATACTGATTATTTAGAATTCAAAGCAGCCAGTGGCCAATTAGCTCTGGCGATATTTTTAGGCCCACATCTGGGGCCGATTTTTATCATTTTTCCAAATTATCTAATTAGAATTAACTACAAACTCACCCATGACCCAGTTTTACTACAAATACATTACAAAGTGGTTAAGAGAGCTGTTTCGCAATACCATCTTCGGGCTAAAATGTTCAAATTAAGCTTGATACATATATTATTTATACATATTTCAACAGCTAGTTGGGCCTAACAAAATATCGGCCACTGCAGGAGATTAAATGCCGACATCTGATTAAAAAGTGCAAATATTGTCCAAAACTGCTCTATCTCTATTCTATTGCCTAAATACAGTTTTTTAAAAGTTGTCAGTTGTCAGTTCAGCCCTATAGTGCATATTTACAAGTCATTCTAGCATCTACCATCTCCTATAGCTCGCACAGAACACTTGCCCAGTCTTATAATATAATAAACATTCATTTTTCATACTCGTCTTTATGGAAGTAGTGCGTGGCCTTGACCTCTTTTACACAGGAGGTACTTCCAGGGTGGTATTGATTCTTCCGGTCTGTAGCCTGCATCTAATCTGGGGATTCAAACCAGCATCCCAGCACATCCATGACCATCTCCGGCTGACCAACTCCACATAAAGACAAACAATAAATCAATACTTTATTCCTGCTGTTTCTGTCTAATTCACTGTGTTTAGAAATGTCTGCTGGGGCAAAGGCTGAAAAGAAAATCAGATACCTAGTTACAGTACTGCACAAAGCTTTAGCGTGTTAATTTGTGTCTGTCTGGAGTTAATTTGTGTTGCAGTAGTAGTAAAATTTATAGTAGTTATCACTGATGGAAATTTGTAGTCAAATAAGTACAGTACATGATTAAAGATGTACTCATTACAAGTACCAGTACTGCTGCCAAATGTGTACTTAAAGGTGCACTGTGTAACTTTTCTGGTGGAGGGTCAATCACGTGCTTGTTTCTATGGATATGTCATTGATCTGCCTGAAATGTTCCACAGTATGACATTAAACAGCTCTACCGTACATTTATTCAATTACAGGTGGTTTTATATCTCAAAAAAACTAGGAAAACAGGCACTGATTGTGAGCGAGGCTTGCCTCTCCACAGAACTGACCTGTAACTTGGTCTGGTTTGGTCTCTATGGAGATAGAAAGGTTTAAAACTGTACTGTGAAACATTCCAAACAAAGCAAAATGTCCATGGAGAAAAGTACTTGACAAACCTTCCTCCAGAAAAATTGCAAAATGTACCTTTAAGTATACGCATAAAGTTTACAAATTACAAAATACAGTACTACCCAAACTATTAGTTGTTAGTTATTTTTTATACAATTCTGGCAGAATTTTAGATCAATCTTTCAAACTAAACTTGATTATTTAAAGAGTTTAAAGCAGCTGTTTTAAATCTGCATATTCTCTGAGCTCTGGCCAATCAGAGCAGGCGATGCAAAGATAATTTAGGCTGAGAACAAGACAATCTTTTGTGTGGAGTCAATTTAGGTGGACAGTTACCCATACTGCAGCTATTGGAAAATGATTACATAAAAGAACACATTTTTACCAAATTATAATCAGTATAAACCTAATTTTAAAGTATTGATAGGAACTACAAAATATGGATTGGTGCATCCCTATAGATATAGCCACCATAAGTGCAAATATTGTACATGTAGTACCTTCTTTTTCAACTTCAAAGCAATAGTGTTCTTTTTTAAAGTGGAACTCATTTCTAATATAAAAGAAACTTGGATATACTTTTGAATTCATACTTTTTCTCATATTCGTTTAGCCTTTTAAACATGTATTTTATTATTGCAGACCTCCATACCAAATGCAATCATTTGGGTATAACTCAAAGGATGACTCAAAGCTCTTCAAAACTGTGGAGTAGAATGGCAAGTGCTGAATCGACTAGAGCCAGATTTTAAAAGGATAAAAAATACAGAGACTACAGGTAAAAGAAAAAGAAAATTGAAACATACTTTGACAAGATCAATCCTGCATTCAGTAAGAGAATCTTCACCAACACTAGACAGATTTTCTAAGCAAGGAATTATCTGAGGGTATGTCATTATGTCCCCTGTGGTACAACAAAGCATATGCTTATATTTGATCATTTTAAACACTGTATACATACAGGCTGTCCACAACTGATGGTGGTGGTCAAACAGTACGGCATCCTCCTATGTTTACTTCATGTGAATGGACATCTCCAGTTTGCACCAGGTTTTGATCATATATAATTATAACTCTAATCCCATAGTACATAGACAGTATAGGCTAACTGTATCAGTTTCTGTATCATTCCATATTTCAGCAAGTCATCTCTAAATAATTGTATGTTTTAATCAATATTGTTGTAGATGATTGTTTTAATTGTTTCTATTGGCAATTGCAATTGCTAGGCCTGTGTAACTAACTTGATGCTACAATGATAGTTCTGCTATAGTTTCATGGTTAAAGTGGGATTCACCTGTAGCAGTGGTGCACATTTGGCATGGATCACTGAAGTGGCTCAACATGGGTCAGCGGAATAAATGACAAAATGCCTGGAGTTGTGGTGTCGGCTGTCGAGTGCAAACTTTGACTAAAGACAGTTTGATAAAAGATGCTTATGCGAAGTTCCAGCTTGTTGGTGTAAACAGGTGTGAGCGCGGGCACACTCACCTTCTGCTGCCGCCTGGCCATGTCCGTGGGCTGCTTGGCGTTGAACGGGTACGCTATGCACCTCAGCACAAACACATAAATTTGCAGTTTAATTTTCCTCTCCTCTTCCTCCTTCTGCTGCCTCTCTCGCTCCTTCTTCTCCTCGTCTTCCTCCGCTGGAGGTGCACTGTCCTTCGGCCCCTTCCCCGCGGCTCCAGCAGGTGCAGCGGGCGGTCTCTTGTGTGCTCCAGCCCGACCACTGCCCCCGCTGCTGCCGCTGCTGTTTCCGCGCTTCACCGCCACTGAAGCGGAGCCTTTCCTCGGGGGCTCCTGGACCACTTCGGGGTCAGATTCTCCACCGGTGTCTTCGCTGGAAGAAGGGTCAAGCATCGTATCCTAAAGTCTCGCTTTGGCGAAAGTAGAAAACAGTTTTGAGTTTGTTTGTTTTAGACGACGTGGCGTTCAAGGCTGCACTTTTCCGAGGCAAATCCGTCTTCTGCAGAAGTTTAAAGTGTGTTTACCGCCAGAACTAGAAATATATCTAGTTTTCTCACGGTAGGATGCGATGGGAGGAGTTTCTTGGTTAATATTTTGGCGGTGTGCGCTCTGATCCGTCGCGCAGAGTGGAGAGTGTGGAGGAATGGCTGCGCGCTCTCGCCGCTGCACGCTGTTGCACAGAGCTGCGTGAGCGCGCTCTGGCACAGCGCACAGGTGAGCAACCTGTAGCTGTCACAAAGATAGGAAAGAGAAGGAAGAAGACTCACTCTTTGTATGCGAAAAAGACCACATAATCGTAAATATAACCCGTAGTCTTCCTGAGCACAGTCCTAAAACGATGGTTTCGTTAAATGGCATGAAATAGCATGTGGCCTTGAGGAAGTGGCCATTTCAACTAGCACTTGAAATAAGCGCGGTGTGGTGTTGAAAATACCTATCAACAAACGTGCTTTATTTTATAAACATCGAGAAGACACTCTTGTTTTGTGATTATATTCTACACATTTTTCAACTGGGTTCTAAATGTAGTGTTCTGATAGAAGAACTGTCTGTGGCCACAAGAGGTCAGTGTTTCTCCGGTGTCACAGATGAGACAACAACATATTTTATTAAACTGTCGCTCCACAGTAATAATTTTGCCATAAAATTAAGAATGCGCCCAATGGCACCGCAAAAATTCTCAACATTCACTGAGTAAACTGTGCCAATTCTGTGCTATTTTTTAGTAATTGTGCTTTAAATTATTCATGCATATTTTCTTCTCTGAGCCAATAGGCTACTGAATACCGCACCATCCTGGTAAGAGTGGCATTGCAAGTTGGTGAAACAGGTTTTGCAGCCTTTTGGCATATAAAGATGTTGTTTCCGCATATCTTTATTCTGTACTGCCGAAGTATTTTAATGAACATCTGCGGATATTAAATGGCTTAACAGCGGAACGAAAACAACAATTTAAGATCAAGATAAGATCTGTACACTGTTGGATATTTGGATAAACCAGGTATCAGCCATCTCTGCAAATAATGTGAGTACAAATGTAAAAAAGAAAAAAGTTTACTGTTATACTGTTTTGTTTTGTTTTATTTAAACTGTGATTCTATGTTGCACTGATGAAAGATATTTGGATGTTGTTACATTCACTGTTACCTATAAAAGTAGGCTATATATGCTATATTATAGGTGATGGGACAATAATAGACCAAAATTCTCCAAAAATAAACCTGAACAGGTCAAAACGTTTGCATTTCAACTACATTTCTACATTGATCTTGGCATCCAATAATATGGAATGTTACTCCACCCACTTTTGATTATGAGAGGCTGGTGAGTCATCTTGTACTTTCTCTGTTTTTAGAGTGCACCATGGCCACCGCCTGTCAGCTGCCCAAGGACCAGTTCCTCTGCTCCATCTGCCTGGATGTGTTCACAGAGCCCGTCACTTTACCTTGTGGTCACAACTTCTGCTGGAGCTGCATCGATCGGCGCTGGTGTGTTAATACCAAGTGCATGTGCCCTTCATGTAAAAAAATCTTTTTCTACAGACCAGAGCTAAAAGTTAATACTTTTATAGCTAAGATGGCTGCTCATTTTCAACAATCGGAATACAATTCCATCTGGAGGTCAGGGAGGTTGGTTAAGAAGCAGATATCAATGAAAGAGCCTGCTGAGCCACAGGCATCAGAGAAAGAGGCTGCTGAGGAGCAGGTACTGGAGGAAGAGATCGCTAAACCAGGAGAAGTGTCCTGTGACATGTGCCCTGAGCCCAAACGCAAAGCTGTAAAGTCCTGCCTGATGTGTTTGTGCTCGTACTGTGAGTCTCACCTGGAGCCTCACCTGAAGATGGGTGCTCTGAGGAGGCACCAGCTCACAGAGCCTCAGGGAAATCTGGAGGACAGAGTGTGTGCTATACACAACAAACCTCTGGAGCTGTTCTGTAGCAGCGAGCACATCTGTGTGTGTGTGCTGTGTGTGTACTCAGAGCACAAGGGTCATGAGGTTGTCCCCCTGAACGAGGCATTTGAACAGCAGAAAATACTAATGCAGAAGGCTGAGGACCACATCCAGGAGGACATTGACAGGAGAATGAAGAAGATCGCTGAGCTGCGCAGCTCTGTGGGGGTCAGTCAAGCTGCTGCAGACAGAGAAATATCTGAGGGAGTCAAAGCATTTACAGCTCTGAAGGAGACTGCGGAGAGAGGCCAGGACCTCCTCATCTCTGAGATCAGCAAGAAGAAGACAGACACAAAAGACCAGGCAGAAGGTCTCATCCAAGAGTTAGAGCAGGAGATCTGTGAGCTGAAGAAGAGAAGAGCTGAGCTGCAGCAGCAGCTCTCTCAGTCTGAAGACCCTTTCTTCCTTCTCCAGACCTCCTCAGTACCAAGCCCCCTGACACCAACCAGAGACTGGACAAGTGTCACTGTCTGTGCCCCAACATATGAAGGTGCTGTGGCCAGAGCACTGAGTCAGCTGGAGCAGGACTTCAATGAGAAGACCAGGATGCTGTATAAGAAAGATCTGAACAGAGTCAAAACACAGAAAGTAGATCTCACCATGGATACAGAGTCAGCTCCAACTAGAGTCCAACAAACAGAAGATCAGAGAAATATCCCAGAAAGCCCCAAGATTGTGGGTCTCTCTGAGAGTTTTTATTTTGAGGCTGAGGTCAAAGGGAAGACTGAGTGGACTTTAGGAGTGGCGGAAGAGTCCGTCAACAGGAAAGCGCCACTCACACTGAACCCACAAAATGGCTTCTGGACCATAACTTTAAAGGATGGAGCTTATTATGTTTCTGACAATCCTAAAATCTCTGTCTTTACAAAGTGCAGGCCTGAGAAAGTGGGTGTGTTTGTTGATTCTAAAGAGGGAGTTGTCTCTTTCTATGATGTAGAAGCTGCAGCTCTGCTCTACTCCTTCACTGGTGTCACCTTTAAGGAGAGCCTGCGCCCTTTTTACAGTCCTGGTCATCTGTGGGATAGTTCTTCTCCAGTGGTCTATGGTACTACTGACGACTCTAAAGGTGTCTTATTAGATGACCTTGTGGAGAAGCTTCAACAGCGCTTTTACACAGAACTTGACAAAAAACACATAAACTTGGATTCCCAAAACCACACTCTGTTTGAAGGGATCCTAACGGAGTTTAGGCAGATGATGATGGAAACTGATTTGAGATATTGATTAGAGCTGTACGCCATTAGTCGACTAGTCCATTAATTGCAGATGATGTCTTAGCTGATCAAACTTTTTACTTCTTACTTCATTAGGGTTATAATGAAGGGTTTAGTTGGACCATGGGAAAAAGCAAAATGCATGGACTTTGCTTGAGTTTTGAGGGAGACTGGACGGTTTAATCTGCCTTTTCACTTATGATGATGCTATTTACTAGTATTTCTCTGTATACTTAGTAGTTTTTGTGCAAGATCCTAATGTGAGCATTTGTTGTGGAAGAAAATGGACAAATCAGTATTGTTTAACTTAAGGGTTTTACTTGCATGACACAAAGATAACATATTTTTAAATAATTATGGCATATAACCATACAGAAATATGATGATGTTATAGTCTAATATCACAAAATTACCTGTTGTATGTATATGACTTGTATACCTTTATATTTAATAAAAAGATGTTTGGAAATGGAAGTTAATGTGTGAACAAGTGGTTTTGTATATGAAATATTTACAACTATATACATGACAATTAATAGTGCAAAAACAATTACATAGAAACACAGAACAGAACATTTTAAATCATACAAGTAAATTCGACAACTCAAGTAACAAGCAAATGAACGATGATTCTCTTATTCTCTTAAAGTTATGGTGTTGTGATGTTCAATGCGGGCAGGACCGGGGCCCAGTCTGGATAAGTGTTCAGGGAGAAGAGAGGGACTCCCCATGTGGGAATAGCCAACATCACACACAATACGCCAATCACATTCACACCAAGACCCGCCTTCACCTGACATAAAAAAGAAAACACAAAAGTAAGATTAGTGTAATTCACCCCTTCTATTGTGTAAGTCTCCCCTCCCTTTGCACTCCCCTTCAGATTGCTGTCACATTCCAATCAGTGTGCATCTCATTAATGAAACGAATGCACATCGCAACAGGTTTGCCAAGTTGTTGTGTGCAGTTTTGTATAAAGCTTTTGTATATTTATGAGGCATTGTTGTGTGGGAGCATGTGTCACGTAGCAATAGCAAGCAATGGATTTTGATTTACTTGCAAACTGGCTTAATGCTAGTATTTATAGTATTTATACATGTATTATTTTATTTTTTATAATCGCAAATAAGTAAAGCGTAGAGTGGGGATGTGGGGATGGGGGTAGGGTTGTCAAAAATATCAAAAATCAGATACTAATCGATACTAAAACTATTATCGAAACGCATTTGCTCAAGTTTTGATACTTCAAAAGTCACATCAACCAGACAGAAATGAATAGCTTTAGAATTATCTTGAGCTGCATCAGAACAAGTACAATATAAGACTACAGAGACTAGTATACATCCATGGACCACTATGGAACATACCTTTATGACGGAGGGATTATGATTTAATGTTAAAAATTACATTCTGTTAATTATCATTGTGGTATTGGAATCGATATTGAGAATCGTGTCTATTTTTAGTACTGCAATCAAGTTTGAAATGCTATTGTGTCAACACTAATTGGGGTAGAAAACTTTCTGAGCATTCAAGCCTCAAATGCAGGACAATAAAGGTTTATTCACAGATCTATGAACCAATCGACATACAACTTACAACACTGTTGTAAGGAAATAGGTTGAAAGCTCATAAAAGTCAGCTGAACATAAAAGACTATGTCCCCTTTAAGAAAAAAAAAAGGATTGACTTGAAGACTGTGGCTTACCATGTCCATTACATTTAGGTGCCCGTAGGCAAAAACCACAGCATTGGCAGGGTTGGACACTGGGAGCAGGAAGGAGAAAGATGTGCAGAGTGTGGCAGGGATCATGACGTACAGAGGGTTCACGTGGATCGCTTCAGCCTGCACAGAGTCAATAGAGAAAATGAACTCAATTATCATACAGGACTTATCCCACTAACAATTATCTACCGTATTTTCACTTTCAATAACTACAACCACTATTCTGGTAGAGGGTCTGCCTGATTGTCTCCATGGACATGTTATTGCTTCACCTGGTCTGTTCCACAGGATGCCATTAAATCTATCTTGCAGTTATCTAAATACATTTAATTATTCAATAGCTTGCTACCTCAAACCTGTAACTTGGTCTGGTGGTGTCTCTATAGGGACAGACATGTATAAAACTAGGCAAAGCAATAACTTATCCATGGAAAAAAACAGGTGATAGACCCTCTACCAGAGAATTTTCATATTGCATTTCAAAGAGCATGGCAAAGTGCATGTCTAACTATTGAAGTAAGTTGTGAGTGAGCGTACCAGAGGAGAGAGGATAGGGAGGAAGATGGTGATGGTAGCTGCGTTGCTGGCCACTTCAGTTAAAGTGGTGACAATGAGACAGGCCACTGTGATGGTAGCCAACACTGGGAGGTCCCCCAGAGGAGTGAGCAGCTCTGCCACCCAGGTCGACAGGCCCGACTCCTGAAAGCAACAAAACATCCAATTTAAGCAAACTATAATAATCCTCCAACTCCATAGCTGTTAAACTGTACATTGCACTGGATTTATTTGGGCTTTACAGAGCATTATTCATTCACTCCACACTCTCACTTCCATAACCACAATTGCCCACCAACCACTCACTCATACATCACATTCATACTACACAATGTGAATGAAGTATCATGCCAAAGGACACAACAACAGTATTCACTAGAGTGGACCTACTGCTACTGCCACCCCACCGTTAATTCCCATGGGTCCTCCATCCCAGTGTTCAGCAAGGCCAAACCAGTTTAGCTTCGGAGGTTTTTGACAATATCTTCTTGATATTTATTGCATGCTCACTTTAAATATCTGTACTTTATTGTGTATTAAGAGTAGAGGTAAGAAGTATATAATGTAATAAAATCATATTGATAGCAAGAAAAAAAATATTCTGTCAACTGGCCAACTAAACAAAAAAAATGTACTACATTCAAATGTGTTCATAAAAACCAAGAAGAAAAGCTACAGAACATGATGTTTAATGCTTATTCAAATGAGAAAGCTGCTTGCCTTTGTGCCCTCTGCCAATGCAAACCCTCCACCGACGAGCAGTGCCACTGTCCATGGCATCGAGGCCTGAAATTCCCCCCATGAGATCATGGTTTCTGTACACAAACATTTATTATAACTAAACAAGAAATATACCAGGAGGAGATGAACAATGAAATAGGTCTAGAGTAGTGTATGCCAAACTTTTCACACATATCACCTAAAATAATACCTTCAGATCTAAACCAGGTCTAATGCAGGACTGTTCCAGGTCAAAACTAGGGTATTATAGAGGGGGTATTATGCAAAATTGATTTTTTTGGAGCTTTCTGTCATGTTATAATGCTGTTTTCTCATCTAAAGCATCCCTGAAGAAGTTTTATGAGTCATCCAGACTTGTTTGAGTATTTTAGCGATCTCTCCCAGGCATCTCCTTACAGTTAGTGATGCGATACGGTATGATTGTGTCCAAAGCTCACCCCACAAGCCTATGCCATTTATGTTTCCCCACAGCAATTTTTCATAAATATACAAAAGCATGATACAGAAAAAATACACTACAACTTCACAAACCTGGTGCGCTCTGAAGGGGGAGTGACTTAGCATAGAAAGCATATAGCAGGGGGGACACCAAAAACAAAGCTGAAACTGAAACTGGTGGTTTAAATAACAGTGAAATAAATAACAAAGTGTTAGCAATTAATGCAACAAAGAATTGTAAATCCCTCTATTTAAACAAAGTCTAAAATAGGACGACACTGTGATTTGAGTCATTCTATAAACATGGATTGGCTCAAAGAAGTAGCTAAGAGCAGGAGGAGAGGAGAAACACAAATAGAAGTGACTCAAAATTAAACTAATCCTAGACTGACAGAGGACAAAACCAAGACTAATCCAGATCTAAAACCAGATCTTCCGAACTGTATAAACTTATACAAACTAACATGTAAAACTAGTTTGAAATAAATGACTTAATAAGTAAGTAAGTCAGTTTTTATTTATATAGCGCTTTTCACAGACATATGTCACAAAGACGCTTTACAGATCATTATTCATTCAGTCCACAGAAATGCCATCAGCTATATGATCCTGGCATTGTGTCTGTTTGTAAATAGGCAGTATGTTGGTGACTTAGAATAAAAAATAGTGGGAGAACTTTTATTTGTGCTTGAGTTTTTTTTTTTTTTTTAATTCTTCAGTAGTCTGTTACCATATTTCTTGGAGGGTCCATGAGCAGGTGCAATGAAGAAGAACATGCCCAGCAGAAGGGCCACAGTGGCGTCAGTCATGTAGCTCGAATATCTGTAAGGAATAAAATTATTTAGAATTTGAAATTTTTGTCTTCTTCAACATTGTCACCCTTGATTGAGATTTTCCTAATGTTGTTTAGAAGTAAGGGTGTACAATATTTAAAATTGGGTCATCTTTGTTTTCATCAACATAAATAAAATACACTTTTGCTCTAGCTTACTCTGAGAAGAGGGATGCCCAGCCTGGAACAAAGCCAGGAGCTCGAGTCAACCACAACAGGACCATGAATATGAAGACCACTGACGTAAAGATCTCCTGTGGGCTATATGGGAATAGACACACACTTTAAAGAGGGGTTACGACACTCATATGGAGTATTAACTGCATTAGTATTAAAAGTTTCAGTTTAGTTTTTGATGCACTAAGTCCCCCCTCCCTTTGTCACTCCCCCTTCAGAGCACTGTCACAATATAGCATCCATTTCGCTAATGAAACTATTGCACATCACATCACATTCGTGAAGTGCGAAAGAATGTAAGATTACACAAACATGCATCGGTGACTTCTAAAACCTCTTCAGGTATGTTTTTGATGAAGGAACAACATTATAACATGATAGAAAGCTCTAAAAAGTCAATCTTAAAGACTTTAAGCAAGTTAGAATAAATGCAGTTGTAGCTGTAGATTTCTGTGTACACTTTGTAAATTGTTTAAATTTGCATTCTTGGTTTCTCTCTTGTGACCTGTAATCTGATGGGGTTTAAATCTTAATAGGTTGTTCATTTTAAATTTCCATCAAACTTTTGTATTTACAACATAAACATAAATTAAACATTCAAAGACTGTAGAGTTGCAGTGTACATAATCACTGTAAGATGCCACCCCTGCACATTAAACCTGTGCATTAAGACATTAAGAGTAAGTACCTCATTGGTCCTAGTGCTTTGTATTCTTCTTCTAACACTTTCTTGGCTGCTTTCTCTTTCTCCGACTGCTGACCTCCACATTTCCACAGGAAGCTAAAACTGTTCAAGAATAAGACATGCAAATTAGCTTAAATGTTTGTCTTTTTTTAATAATTGAATTTATTTGCTAATACAGTGTACTAGAAGGTCGTCAGATTGATTGCTTAACCTGGCTAACCCTGGCGAGCCATAAATACTAACATTAGCATTGCTCTGATGAATCATACCTGCTTGTGTGACTAGGGGCGCATTAGAAAGAGCAGGTCTGACAAAGGGGAGATCATGAGAGATTATCATTCTGACATTTGTAGTAGTCATTTACCAGCGCTGCAAACAAGAAATAATCTGCAAAACCAAATATTAAAGAGGTACAAAACACACCAAGGGAAAATAATACAACTTTTCAATTTTGTCTGGCTGCCATGAGTTTAATTAGGGTGCAGTGCTTTCAGTAGTTTTTTATTCATGTTTTGGCAAACTTTCAAAGACAAATATTTGTTATTCTAATCCCATTGTCAGTTTGTAAATGAGGCTATGATTTGACAAAACTATCAGATATGCAGAAGACTACTGTAGAACATTTCAACTAATTAGAAGTTGGAGATTTGAAATTAAAACTGAAATTGTTTCAATGTTTACAAAATATTTTTACTTCCAAACAAAAAAAGATTACTTGCTAACTCAAGATTCAGAATAAATAATAAAACAACATTCTGCAGAACCCCACACACCCTGGGAACTGCCTCTTCTGTACTCTCCCATCGGGAAGGCTTCAAACTCCCGTCACACGCACAAACAGGCTGTGCAAAAGCTTCTACACAAGAGCAGTGGACGTATTCCAGAAGCACAGGCACAGATAGAAGGTCTGAAGTTAATGTTTTTATTGCTATGGATGTGAGAATGTGTCTATATTTATTCATTTTACTGCTGCAAGTTTGCTTTGTCATAGTCTCATTGCATTTTGTACATTGACAATAAATCTAATCTTATCTTGTCTAAAATCATAATAGTAGTAAATGCCACATCCTCAGCTACTGAATTTCAGATGACATAACAATATTCTATAGGTCTGAAGATGGAGGGGACAGCTAAAATACTTTTAAAATAAGGATTTTTGTTGTTATATGCCAAGTTAATGTTTATAGTCACTACTAGAAATGATCAGGTTCAACATTTGGGAATTTACTTTTAACATATTTCATGGCAAAGTAACATTATCAATAGGGAAATCTTTCTCTGCCCCCAATTTTGACAACATCACATTGTAGAATCTGAAAACCATCTGTTCATGAGTTTCAGGCAAATGATTCTATTCTGATTTAAAGGATTTTGTGTGGACCTTTATCCATTTAAAAGAATAATTTAGATTTTAATTGTGTTATAATTCCTGTAACAACAAAGAACCTTTGCCATGCTAAATCCTTCAAACCAGGAGGGAACCCTTAAGCCTGAAACCCATGTATATACAATTTACACTCTAGACACCAAGAACGAAGTGGAAGGGATTATCCACTCTAACCCAACAAGCATATATTCACAGAATTTCTGGCCAGTTAGTAGAAAAGACTTAGCCTCTTACTCTGAGCCAATGAAGAGCAGGTAGAGCCAGGCCCAGGTCAGCAGCAGCATGATCACACTGATGGGCAAACACAGCAGCAGCCAGTTCCCGAAGTTCACACAGTTACATTCTGGGTACATCCTGAAAAATTAAAAATGTGCAAAAAGGTGCATTGTGTAACTTTTTGGTTGGGGGTCCATCACCTGCTTGTTTCAGTGGATATGTCATTGCTCTGCAGGGAATGTTCCACAATGACATTAAACAGCTCTACCTTACATTTATTAAATTACAGCTGGTTTTATAGCTCAAAAATACCTAGAAAAACAAACATTGTGACTGTGAGCGGGGTCGCCTCTCCACAAATCTGACCTGTAACTTGGTCTAGTTTGGTCTCCATGAAGATAGAAAGTTTTAATGTCATACTGTGAAACATTCTAGACAAAGCAATTTGACAGTATCCAGACAAAGTATCTGACTGACCCTCCACCAGAAAAGTCTCACAGTGCAGCTTTAAATAGTATCCATTAGGCCATTAGGTAACTTTTTTGGTGGAGCACGACCATGACCACTCAGAATGATTACAGGCTCCTGAAATTAGATGTTTAAATCAGTAATGTTTTTTTTGTTTGTTTTTTTTAAATCAACTTTTTGGCAAATACGTACTAGTGTAGCATTTTGGAAATAATAAAAGGTCACACGGTGATCTAAATATGTAACATGTTAGCAGTTAATAACCCATGGAAGTGTAATAATTCATAAACCTTCCCATAGAAATGGTACCATTTTTTAATTTTTTACATTATCCATACAGGTGCGCTGGGTGGTCCACATTAAAAAGACTGTATATAAAAATAAGTCTCTAGGGTTTTTCAGTTTCACAATTCTGTCTCATCTTCTCCATATCTATTCAAAGTCAGATGGAGTGAGTGGATCTTACTGGTGAAGGTACTCGGAGAAGATGAGGTTAGGTGAGGTCCCTAGCAGTGTGCTGATGCCCCCGATGTTGGAAGAGTAGGTGATGCCCAGACATATAGCTTTGCACAACATACGGTCTGTGTTTTGACCTGTTGTAACCTGCAAGACAACAAAATGGGAAGGAAAAAATATTTATGAAAGCAAAAATGCATTTTAGTGAGGGCAAGTAATTGGTCAAAATCTTCTGGACTTTATTTTCAAACTGTTTTTATCTTAAACTTTCTGAACCATGTATAACCTGAGAAAATATTTCACTTTTAAACTACCATCTAAAATCAAATGCACATTTTCTAAAACAGAGCTACACAAGTTATGTTTTAAATAAAGGATGAGGTTCTAAGTTCACATTTTAAATGCATGCAGAAGAATTGAGAAAAAGTCTGAAACATGAACTGATAAATACAAGAATCAAATTTCAGAACATGTTTGTACTGATCTAAACTACAGGGTTAGCAGTTTTATGCAGAATAAGACAGCAGATTTTGTGGTTTGTGAAGGAAACTTTGGTACCTCAAAAATGGCAGCTTTTGTGATTTGCTTATTGCGTCCATTCAAACAGAGATTTTGTTTGGATTTCAATTAATTGTGCAGCCCTATTTTGAAACATAATGAATAAATACGAATGAGCACAAACTAAAACATGACATAACATAAGACATAAGAATTAACTGTCTACTTCAGGACTAAACCAGTTCTAAAGCAGGTCTAAAATCCGAATGTGTACTGTAAGAAGTCCAGCAGTGGTTCCTGTACCACAATTTGAGAAGCAATGTTCCAAAGTATTGAAATATTTTCGATTGTAGGTGTTGATGAAAAACTGAGCCTTCAAGGTCATGCAGGATTATAATTATATTCCTGCGGTCAATCAGAATCAGTAAGGCAACATAAATATTCTTAAAGAGGGTCTACTGGATGGATGACAAAAAACACTTGAGGCATGATGATGAGTGAACAATGTCATAACATGATAGACAGCTAAAAAAAAATCAATTTTGTATAATACCCCCTCTTTGAATATATGTATAAGGACCTCAGTATTAAATTATACTGAAAATTGATGCCTGGAGTTGCCTTGTTTTATCTATGTAATATCGCTACCTGATCAGACGGAGCCTCGGAGATGTCAATGTGACATGCTTTGGGCTTTTCTTGTTCTGCATCAATATTCTGCTTTTCACTGAAACAACAGATTAGAGTAAATTCAATCCAATAAACAAATTGTGCAATTCAAAAGTCTGAAAAGGTATTTCTGACACACCATATGGTTTCTTTTATTTCATATTTTATATGAACATCACTGTCAGGTTCTGGGAAAAAGAAAAAGTGATTTATTTTCAACCATGTACAATATTATACAGAATTACAGTATTTTTTATCTTTTTATGTTTACGCTCTTTAAAATTAGGTGTGATATGCAAGTACAATATTATATTTTCTCTGTGCTCTCTATACAATTTATTTTATACTATTAAATGTATGTACCGTCCAGTTGAAAAGTGGGATTGTCCTCTCCGCCTGAGTCCTTCTCTGCAGATGACCTGAGGATTTGCTGGAGCACAGCCTCCACGATGGGCATCACCATGGCGACAGCTGAGGTGTTATGGACCCACATGGAGAGGAAGGCACAGCCCGTCATGAAACCCAACATCAGCCTAGAGGGAAACAACAGACACATGTTGCAGAAATGGAAAATACATATAAAAGCAATGTACAATGTATAACACTAAAAACTATACTGAATAAAAAACACCATTAATTTAGGCATAGGACCTGGCAACCGAAAGTGTGAATATTCAGTTTTCTGACTGGGGCAAAAAAGTATTATGAATAAATACACGTAACAAATATTATCAGTGAAAGTAAGCATGTTTACTTCATATTCGCAAATGGACAATGTTTATAAATTATTATACAATGAATGAAGTAATATGCACATACTCTTATTAGTATTACTATTAACCATTTTTACTGTATCTGTTAGAAAAATATCTTCCACCTACACTCATATTAAGTATTCGGATGGACTGAATTTAAAAAAAAAAATTTAAAAAGTAAATAACAAAGAATGATTCAGGCTTTGTAATTACTTATTTACGAGGTTAGGATTAGGAGTTAGGGTAGGGCTATCCATTAAGTAGTTAAGTAATCCATTATGAATTAAGTCTTTGTTCATGCATATAGGCTATTCCAGTTTAGTTATTATAGTGTTATCTTTACAGCATCTGAAACATTTTGTAAATATTATTTTTCTCTGGATACATATCATTTGTTCTCTGAAAGCCTTAAGAAGAGAAGTGATTAGTACAAAGTAAAGGGCACCCACCAGGCAGGGTTGACTCCCACCAGAGTGACGAGACGGAGAGCGATCCTGCGATGGAGGCCCCACTTCTCAATGGAGGTGGCCAGACAGATGACTCCGATCAGCAGAAAGTGGAAGTCTTTAAAGTACACTGTGGCAACCTGTGCAAAAAGCAGACCAGAGCCAAGAATAACTGTTAACTTTTATCTTTTAAAATAGAATAAACCACACAATGTTAATGGTGACTGAGGTGGTTAGTTGTGTTGTGTAGTAGATTTTAAGGAAAAGGCCTGAAACATAATGCCAATTTTGACACTAATAAAATACACTCTTCTTTAGATTTTGTAACGTAGTGGTAGTTTCTATAACATATGACATCATAAGGGGGAACATAGTGTTTTCCGTCTGAGAGAATAACTAAATATGTGAGGTTTGTATGCAAGGTTTGTGTGTTAAACGTGTGAATGAAACAAAACACAACTCCAGGTATGTTTTGATGAGGAAACATTATAACACAGAAAATAGTGTAATATGGGCCCCTTAATGCTTTTATAAGGGCTAATCAGGTATAGTTATTAGAAAGTGTTACCAATTTCATCAATATTCAGTATAAAAAATTATCAGTTCATATCTAGGTACAGATTAGAATTTTGATGTTGTTCTTAAATCCATAGTATGGTAAGGGGTGAGAGGTTTTGATAAAATTTTGATATGTTTGCAGTTCATCAGAAAAGTGCTGAAATGTGAATGTCTTGCATAAAAGTGAATTGAAAACACCTACACAAAAACATGCATGCTTAGGGGTTTTGACTTCGAGTCCAGGCCATGACAGTTTGCAGAATGTCTAATAAAGCCTGAACGAACATTGCAGTAAAATGAAACAATAACAGCTTTCACCTTGATCTTTTTCCAGTGCACATTTTATGAACTGCATTATACTGACATGAACTGTTGCAAACATAGTAAAAGTTTTATGACTCACACCTGAGGAGTACTTAAACTATAAACGTGATACACGCTCGTGTCCTACTCACCTGAGTTGACTTCATGATGCCGAAGAGTGGGAAGAGGATGGCAGGTAACATGGCGGTGATGGCCAGAGGAAGGGCTTCAGTGACCCACAGCACAGCCATCAATACCAGCACAAACCCACACTCTGCCTCCTGCAAGCGAAAAACTGTTAACTTTTATCAGTGGTTCAACATGGATTTGTTCAGACAATATTTCATACAGCATGTTGTGGCCTATGGCCAAAATTAGCCATATCTCTGCAAGGTAGTAAACTAGTAAAGTTCACAAATTTTCACAAATACAAGATGGAAGGCTGGGCAATTAATCAAATTAATTTGATTAATTCAAGGTTTTAATAATCAAGATAAAAAAATAAAAAAAAAAAGTTAAATCAAGGATTATTGTGAGACAAGTTTACTCCTGACTTTCTTACTTGTAAAGCAGAATTCTTGTGCAATTACAATTAGATATCTATAAAAATGTAACTGTAGGCAATTACAATTTCTTAAATAATAGTATATGACAAGAATGAAAATGTGAAGAGCTTCTCCTGTTTGAAAAAATAGCAGTTCCAGCTCTGACACTGATTAAAATAGATTAATATAATTAAGATTCCCTTCTTTTCTCTTCTCCCAAGAGTACAACCAGCTCTTTATTTTCATTGGTATTATATTTCCATTTAAAACTAATTTTCATGATACGAGTATGTGAACAATCTATCAGCCAATTAGCACCAACACACCAAATTAGGTTTTTAGAATCAGGTATCTCTGTCCATGTGGGCCTAAATGTTTACAGCTGTCAAAAAATTATTGGATTCCCAAAGCAATGGTAAATAAATTGTATTTTACGTGTTTATTTTTAGTTTTGGATGTCATAAAATTCCATTAAGAAACTTCTATATAACTATGGAAAAACTATGAAATAACTCGATAACTCTACAATAGTGTTATGTTTATTTGACTTGCACGCTCACCTTTGTCCTGATGACCAGTGGAAGAGGCAGCAGCAGCAGCGGAGTCACCAGGGTCAAAATGAAGTGACCATATGCGAAAATTTTGCTGAACATGTTTCTTGTTTAGTTGCTTTGCAGTACTTCTACAGTAAATCTCGTTGCTTCACTACCACTACTTTTGTTGATCTGAGTCAGGGTCAGGCCCCCAATGGCAGCAGGTCAAAGGTTACCTGTTCATATTTGTCACAGCTTTCCTAATCCACAAGAAAGAGAATAAACTTTAAGATATGACACAACTCAAAGCATTACTGTTTCCCATATAGGACATTAAACATTTTACATTTACATTGTAGTGTACATTAATTTGTAAAAATGAGAGAAAAAAATGTATTAGCTAATTTTATGTTGTAAATAAGGAATATGATATGATATATATTTTTTATTAGTGTCTGCAAATAATTTTAATACATTTGAGACACTTTTAACAGACACTAATAAGAGTCTTATGTTTTTTCACTACATGCACAAAAAGTAGTATAGTACAGTAAAATACAATTTTGAAGCCGGTGCCAAAATTTGTAAAGTACAACAATCACCCTGTTTAATGAGTAGAAAACATTATAGCACTTACTATATGTTTATTGCAAAGGCTTGTCCAAAACCTCTCTCTGTCAATACAATGAAATATGTTGAACTTATAGTATCAAATGTTAAAATCTTTGCAGTTGGCTACATGAAGCATCATATAATAGTACAATATCAGTCAAGAGAGTTAATATTTGAGAGACAGTTCTTACCTCCCTCTGTGCTGCCTCAGGGTAAGGATGAGCACACTAGCTCTAGCCTCCTTTTAAGGTACCCGCCTCTGCACCACACTAGTCACTTTGAGACATTTAGCGTCATTCTCAGAAAAAAACTATCCTTTAACTTCTTATCTTAGTGTGCTCAGACAGTTGTTAAACAGTTGCCAGGTGCATCTGCACCCTTTGACCCTGAACTAATGCCGAAGATTATAAAAGGATTATTTTATTAGGGTGTTTAATAAATTATAGACGGAAAGTTACATTCACACGCATTCTTTTTTTTATTAATGATACAAGATGATACAATCCTGCTAAGACTACATTACAATACAGAGGAAAAGTACCAGTAAATAAGTTACAGTTTTTTTCAATCGTTTTGGCACTTTCCTCCATTGAAAATCGACATTTGCAAAACAGCTCACTTAAAATCCTTAATAGACTTTTAGTTTTCCAAAACAAAATTTAATCTCAGCAAAATACAGTTTTTCATTCTAAACTGTTCAATCATTCTCCAAATGCAAGTTTTACCATCACTCTTGTCATGTGTTTTTTTGTGTGCTTTCATTTTAAAACTGCGGCTCAGAAGTTGTAGTCCTTCTCTAAGTGACTATAGAAAATCACTGGTTAGAGTCTGACACTGGGGTTCACTCTTTACACAGATGAATTTTGGACTGGAACATGTACATTTTTACCCTATAGTTTCATCCTCAATCATATTTTCAGATGTGGTAAAACTGAAATCACAATTTAAATAGATGGAAAATTGCAACAGTAATTTCCACCACAAACAACAAAATATCCAGTCACTTGCTGCATAAAAACAATAATCCAGGTGTTAAGATCTGTACAAACATGCATTGAAATGTGATTCTCGTATTCATTTATCAGTTGACATTTCTCTGGACAAGTTAAAAATTTTAACTTTGAAAAAAATCTTCCAATAAAAAAATCCATCACAAATCTAATAGCAATGCTTGTCACAAAAATCACAATTATATTTTTTAATTCCAACTCATCTTTATTATGTAACACTGGACATGCAATAAATTGCAGTCTCAATTTTACTTACTTTGCTACACTTTCTGAATTTGTACAATCTGAAATAAGCGTTTCAAATAATAAACAGAGATTCTGTAGTAGGCTAAATGCTCAGTAAAATTTTTTACTATAGCTTAACGTGCAAATCAACGTGTTCTGTCATTTATTTTCCTATGATGGAGTAAGCAGGAGGTATAACGGACCCTGACATAAACAGCACACCCCAGGACATTTCTTAACGAGCCATTCCGGTGTGTGTGTCGTGTTTGCCTGTTGCCGTGGCGATGGTCTTGGATATGAGCAGGTTGTCGAGAACGGCGTGGGGCTCTGGGTCCATGTGTGCAGCAATGACAGGTATCTGACTGAAGTGTTGCCTGGCCAGCATGTGCCTCTGCTCGATACGACAAATAAACTCTGCCTCGTACGCCTAAATCAGAGAAGGGAGAGGGACAGTGAGTGAAAATAAATGTGGGACTGAACACACACAGTTACAACTGAAACTTTGTTCTCAATGCTTTAACCTGCATGTATGTTTTCTCATTCACAATATATGGACAGGTCTTTCCTCATGTGAAAGCTCAGAACCTCCAGAATTCCCTCACTGAGCTGCACAGGCTGCACTAACACTCATTCATAATTGGCTGCAGATACTGGGGTTTAAGTAGTGAGGACACAGATCAGAGAGAGTCATTTTCAATTTGAAATAAACTGGATTTCCACACTGAAACTGGCAACCTAAATAAGAGATTCATGTGAGAGTCATTCTGCTTTCTGATTGGATAATCACCTTGAAAACCAAAACACAAAGTGAATGTTTTTGAAAGTAATAAATCAACTTTGTAATTGTTATCAGTAAAAGCAATGTTTGATTTTAACATGTTTATCTTTTCATCTTTTAAACACTGAGACATACACTACCGATCAAAAGTTTTAGAACACCACACTTTTTTCAGTTTTGTACCATTTACTGTTTATTGTTTACTGTTCACTATTTACTGTTTACTGGTGACCAAAACATATACAAAACTTTTGATTCATAAAACTTTTGATTCACTTTTGGCAGATATAACAGCTGAACACACTCATAGCATTCTTTCTACAATAGAAATCAAATATTCTTCAGAAACTTTTTCCCAAGACTGTTGCAGAAGTTCCTATGAATGTGTTTCACTTGCAGGTTTCTTGGCTTTCACTCTTCTGTCCAGTTAATCCCAAAACCAGCTCGAGACATTTCCTGAGGTAGTTTTGGCAGAGCTTGGACTTGTGTTTTGTTATCTTTTATCCTTTTTTTTAACCTCTGGCTGTTCAGTTATTACCTTTGTACCATTTCAAGCTCTTCATTGGACTTGCACGACTGGAATTGCAATAAATAACTGGAAAAATTAGGGCATTCTTAATTTTTTAACTGGGAGTGTACATGGTCCTATTTATAAATTTTTTAATAAAAATATGTACTCATCCTCCTTTTAATGAGTTTGGTATATTGTAATAAGGATTCTGTAAAATTAGGTGTTACCCTAATGTGTATTAATGAATGTATGTAATGAATGTAATGTGTTATTGTAAATTATACAACCAAACAGCAACTCCAAAGCCTGTATTACTGAACCAGAGTAGGATACTGAATAACAAATCTACATCAAAACAACAGAAACAAATCATTCAATAGTAACTGAATGATTTGCATAGGTGGTCAACAGAGGAAAGAAAATGAAAAAAAAAATGAAAATGTCTTTTTTTTATGTTGAAAACTGCACAACTTTCATTGCATTTGAGTTGATAAACAAAGTCAATGAGAATGGCAAAACAACACCAACACAGAAAAACAAATACACCTCTGCTCTTCTCCAAACTGTTTTTCTCCTCACTGCCCTGTTCAGTCACATTCATATTTTAGCCCACTCTTCTAAATCTACAGTGCAGTCACTTCCACTCATGCAGCACAGTCCTTCCTGCTTGGCTTCTCCTCTGTCTCCTAAAACACCATCCGGGGCTTGTAGTGCCAGCCAGAGCCCACTTATACCATACTTATTCAATATTTCAGCTAGTTTAATTCCCCAGAGGTCCCAACTTTTTCACTTTTTTCCTCCTATAACTTAGTTGAGTTCATGGTAAAGGTTAAAAACTAAGAAATATCCTGACTGACTGATAAACAGTTAAGTTACCTATATTTAAATTTTAAGTTAGATAAGTAAGATGTTGTGCCAAGTGTTGAGAGCGAAAAGATAATGCACATTACGGCAACAAAATAATTAAAAAGACAGACTGGAAAAAGGGCTCACTGCTATGACTTAACTGAATTAAAGTAGAATACCCACTTAACATATTTTTCCAATGCATCGGATTGCACAAGGAAACTTGGGAATTTAAAGGGATTGTACTTGATTCTTTTCATGTAGTAAAGTAAAAGTTGTACAGATATATTGTAGCAGCTCAGGGGGTTAAACCACTGTATGCCATCTTCATTCAATTGCAAAACAGGGAGTGCGCTGTACGATATATATCTCGATATCTGTACAGGAAAAATAACTCAGCAAAATTCTGGCAAAAACAAATAGCCAAATTCCACAAGGTCTTTTTTAGACAGTTCATATAGGATCAAAGTGCTTCTGCCACATTTAAGATTACAAAAATCCCTGATTACATAAATAATTTAACTGTAAAATAAAAGAAATAATACATATTGCCTTCTTTTCATTCATAAATGAAACAACTCAACTCAAGCTCATCTTTGCATTAACTCTGTTAACCATACGATAACCATGAGCTCCATTTGCAGAGGAAGCTCGGGAGGTTACTTATTTTAACAGACCCATGTCCCTCACCATTGTAAGGAGCTCTAAGGTTTCCCACAATTCACTGCGCAGATCAAACCCAACGATTCCAAAAACTATTGTACAAGTGACACTGCAGCAGATTATTGATTAAAATCTTCTGCATAAATAAACTTTGCATTACTAAACTTTACAACAAATAAAGCATAATGATTATAGAGCCACATCAGCCCATTTGAGATTATAATGTGTTTAATGCAGTTTTGAGCACATGTTTTATAGAAACGAAACATAAAACCGCATGGCTCATTTGCATAAACAGCTTGCTCCTAGTGCTGCTGATGCAGTTCAGTTTCTTTCGGACTAAAGGACACGACTCGATGGAATATGAGGATGGGCTACTGATGGTCTTGTCTGTAAATTTTAAGTCTATTATTAAAGCTATTATTTATTATCTGTGTTACCTTTTCCTGCTGTTCTGAAATTGCGCATTGCAACACTGGAATTTCCCCACTGTGGGACTAATAAAGGCATATCTTATCTTATATCTTATCTTATCTTAAATGGTGGAAAAGGTTCGTGGCGCTAGAAGCTTTTCATTGGCACCAACTTTTGGCATTCACGCGGTAGTGAGGAGTGAATGAGACCAAAATCAGGGAGGCAGGGACGCGCACAGAGAAGGCAAACAAGCGAAGCGGCGAAATCAGAATTGAATATAAGCATTATATTGATATATACAATATGTCAGAATCCATATCAAGTTTAAAAAATATCTTGATATATTTAAAATATCGAGATATTGCCCACCCCTACTTGGAATGCATAAAGTAAGTGAGGGTGACTTTAGTGATTTTGGATCACTGCAATTCTTTTAAAATGAACTACTTCAATTTTTGAAGTTTAAAGGTAGTAAAAATCAGGTACAGTTGCTTCCAATACAAACCATATAAACGTCCTTTAGCTGAGAATGAGCCGATGTTTCTTCTTTGGACAGGAGAATGCAGTTCCAGGGGCTCCAGTGCTTCTGTTGGTCCCAGCGCACTAACACCAGGTTGTACAGGTCAGTGCAGTCTAACAGTGCGGACTGCTTAGACCAAATCACATCAATCAGATAGCGAATGTCTTCCACCTTAAACAAGAAACAAATGTTATTGTGAAAACACGATGAGCACAAGGCCTGAGAAAATCCTAATCTACTTAAATGTGTAACTTTTTTATCCATAGAAATGTCATCTATGGCCTGGAATGGTATAATAATATGGCACTGAACATATCTATCTTCACAGAGACCAGGCTCGGTTACAGGTCAGATCTGTGGAGAAGCAACCTCACTCACAGTAAGAATGCATGTTTTTCAAGGTATTTTTGAGCAATAAAAATCTGTAATTAAATAAATGCAAGCATGAACTTTAAATCAATCCTGTAGGATATGCCAGAGCTAAAAATAACAGCCTCATGGTGTCTTCCTCATCTTAACTATTACAGATTTGTACCTAATCTTAACCAGACACGGCCCACGCCAACACATTCACAGACAAACTACAACTAATATGCCTATTTATGTATGCTATTTGTATGTGTAGGCCTATGTTGACAGTTGCATATCTGTTTTTGTTTGACACTAATAACTAACTTATGTAAGCAGAGTAGAACAGAGGCAGCACATGGCTAGTTAATTTCAAAGTAGATATGAAATCTGTTGGCGATAAAATGCCCTTGAAGTGACAAACATGTCTCATTGAAGTATTGTTTAATATCTATATTATTAATAAGATTAGATCAAAATTGGTTTGACAACCACATCAAACAATATTACACTTATCAGAATAAATGCTGACAATAAATAATATTATGCAATTGCTACTGAACTTTGGACCCCTCTGCTGGTTGTGAACCTATTCCTGGAAAGGCCACAGTATTAGTACCCTTGCACCACCTGCATTAGGAAAGGTATTTTGGAATGTTTGCTGATCAGCTGTTCATCCTCTCTGAGCCTCTTGAGGATGTGCTTGTAGCAGGAGAAGTCATCGCGGTCCCTGGCGATGTTGTCCAGGCGAGCACAGTCCCTGCAGCGTCCCTCTGTGGAGCTGAGAGTAGGGCTGAAGCTTGTGATGGACAGGTAGCGATGGCAGCTACCACACAAGAGCATGTTGTTCTTCAGTAGGGAAACATCCTGAGGAACCTGCAAAGAGAAACACATAGTTTAAAGGTTCTGTATAACATTATTTTCTGATCAATGTTATAATTAGGGCCCGACCGATGTATCAGTTGGCCGATATGGGCACTTTCAGAAAAATTTACCTAAATCTAGCTGATATGGACTGATAGTCCACGTGGGCATGGTATACGTCATTATAAAACTTAGACTCGCTATGTTACGTCTGTTTAATCTCATTTACAGCCAGATACATGTCCTAATATGTGGCGCCGCATCAGTATTTATCAGAGTAATATGTCTGTGTTACGTCCAGTGCCATATTGCCCCTGAATGCACCCCTAGAGTCATGTCACATGACTCACGTGCTCTAGTTTACACCAGTGTGCTCTCAGCATCCACTGAGGTGCTGGCTTTAAATGCTCTTGTGTCTGATCTAAGCTTTTGACTATAAATAAAAGTGAGCTTCAGCTCAGTTTAGGCCAGCAACAAAACTACAGCTTGTTTTTATTGTGCGACTGCGAAGAAGTGAGGACTGTCCCATAGACAGAAGGCACACACGCAGCTGCTGTCAACATGCTGGATTATATTCTTTTTATGGATCATCGTTTTGAGTCAGGATTAAAAGGACACTTACTTGTGAAGATTTATGATCTGAGAGGTGCATGTCAGAGCAGTGAATGTGGCAAGTGTGTTGTTTTTAAAGGTACTTTTCTTTTTTTTAGCTCAGTTGGTAAAGCGTTTGCCCACTGACCCGAGGGTTGGCGATTCAAATCCCGTTCTCGACATAAAACATAACTGGGTGAGCGGTCAGAACACCGACCCACAGGTTGGCAGTGCAATTTCAGCTCGCTAAGATAAATGTTGTCGTTGTATCCTTGGGCAAGACAATCATCCCATTTCGCCCCTAGTATCTGCGTACATTGGTGTATGTTGTATGGTGTGTGTGTGCGTGAGAGTTTCCTTGTTGAAAAGCGCTCTGCATGCCTTGAAGATGAAAAATCTCTATATAAAAATGTGACCATTTACCATTTCATTGGTTAGAGCTTAGCTCCTGTAGCTACCACACATAAACAGTGTGTTTTCTCTTCCACTGGCCTACTGTAAAGTGATTATAGTAACTGTATACACGTGGTACAAAACAATACAATACAACTTGATAATATGAACCTGATATGATATGATATGCAGCAATTTCATTAGCGGAAATGGAATCTGATTATGGTGTGATAGTGCAGTGAAGGAGGACTGACTTGTGTGGACTAAATTAATTTAACATTTCAATACATTGTTTATGCAAATATAGCATTTTCAGTACAATAAAAAGGTAATATGGCAATTTAAATATCTTATATGTTAACAATTAATACCCCACTGTCTTTGTGTACTGTTTTGTAATGCTCTGTATTTTGTATGTAATATAAAAAATAAAAAAAAAACTGAAAATAATTAATTTAGCACACCAGATTAAAATATTAATGTAAGTTTAATATATCAATTAATTTATATATTTAATTAATGTAATGTAATTATTTAATAAATTTAATTTATGCATTTCTTGAAATATTTCCACAAAATTGCAAATTAAATGAATATACAAAATGAGTCAGCATCTAGTTAAATTCAAACTCTGTGTAACTTTTTAACCAAATTTTTCTGTTTTAAATACAGAATACTTTCAGTGACTAAACTCTTTAAAAAGTTATTTTTAAAACACATTTTTCCCCACAGAATCCCACCATTTTTTTTCTTGCACAAAAAGCCCTTAATATCTCTGCGCCGAACTTTCATGTGTATTCTGAGCAAACAAAAATAAAAGGATATCACCCCAGCAGCCATTTTGGTTTGCCATGATGTTTTTCCAATCTCACAGAGCCCCATTGTCTTACCTTGAGCAGCTTGGCCACTTGGGGGTTAAAGGCGGGTGTTTTGATATACTGGAGAAACAGTGTGTTGATCCTCTGCCTCAGCCCCTTCAGACTTGAGGCCTTCACACAGCGCGTCATCAGGTCCACTTCTCTGTCCACCAAGTCCACCAGGTCCCGCGTCAGCTGACAGTCATGCTCCTGATCAGACGCAAAAGATTAAACAGAAACCTGTTCTATCTGCATTAGTGCTGTCATAATCTTGTTGTCACATTTCAAACTCAATTTCGATACTAAGGAATACCTTTTATACCTATTACAATATCATGATGATAATAATAATAATAATAATAATAATAATACAACACTCTTCACTTAGATAATAGAATGTAATTTTCAACATTAAATTATAGTACTTTCTTGAAACATTTTAGTCTGTGTAATCCCTCAATCAACCAGGTAGGTGCCATAGTGTACACTAGTATATTTGTTCTGACACAGCTCAAGATCATTCTAAAGCTATTCAGGAAAGTTTTTTCTGTCCTGTGAATGTGACTTTTTTATTATCAATACCTGCTCAAATTAGTATCCAGTTTTGATACTACATTTAGCATTTAGCTATTATCTGATTTCCCATATTTCTGATAACCCTAATTTGCGTAAATTCTTTTCTCAAAATCATAATAAAACAGCCCCTCATATTTTGAAATATAAAGCAGTAATAATCAAAATATTACGCACATAGTAATTTGTCTTGTCCATTACTTGCATTCTCAAAACTTTTATCTTTTATACAACATCTTTGTAGGTCTCGAAATAAAAAGTGACCAAAATATTGAACACAGAATAAAGTGTCTTCACCGTAACCTGTAAAACTATTTTGTTCCAAAGTGATCATAAAAACACTGATTACAGTTGGCAATTGTGCAAACAGAGCTATTGTAAATTTATAGCTGCACTACATAACTTTGCAAGCGGAAAGTACATAACCTTCTTGCATTGCTTCATATCATAGGTAAGTTTGTTCCCACTGAGATATTACTGTTTTGTCTGGAATGTTTCACAGCATGGCTTTAATGTATACATATTTCATTTATCATGAGTGTTTTTATTACTCAAATATACTTTGAAACATATGGATTCTTTCTGTGAGCTGGGTGGCCTCTCCACACATCAGGTCTGTAACTTTAATACCATACTGTGAAAGGTTCTTGGCAAAGCAATAACCTCTACATGGCAACACTATACACTATATTAGAAAGGTTCCGCAGTGTACCTTTAAGTAACACAATGGGACAAATCTTCTAACCTTGACAGTGTGTTTGAGCATCATGAGGACTTGCAGCCGATCACTCTGTTTGACTGGAGGGGCACTGATATCATTGAACAGGTCTCTCAGCTCTCTGGCTCTGACAGTGTTCATGGTGTCCATCTCAATCCATTTTCCTTTCGCCGATTTCCAGTGATAAGGGGCTGCAGACTGAAACAACACAACACTTTTCTCAGTGATAGGTTTTCCAATGTATTAAGTTGGATTGCTGGAGTGTAATGGATGTAAAAGCAATAGTGTATATAAGACATTGGAGTCCATGGGGAAAAACGGTTCTTTGCATTTGACCCATGAGTGCTGCATAACCTGTCAGGACTAAGGAGCAGTAGGTGAGGATTACCTTACTATGCATGTTCAGAACTTCCTAATATATGGAAAGAGTCTAACCCATGTGTAACTACAAGTCAGTCACTCAAAAACTCTTGATTATATATATATATTGGATCTAAACTAGTAAATTAGGAACTAAACCTAGACTAAAACCTGTCTAACCTATTAAACCAGGTCTTGAGTAGTCTCAAACCAAATCTACAAATCAGGACCAGTAGAAGTGTGAATGCAGCCTAATTTGTATAGACTAGAGAAGATTACACCTGCTTTCATCATTCTAGGGCCCGACCGATATCGATTTTCTTGTGGCCGTTATGAAACCGATAAAATGGGATTTGATAGCTGATATAATCGCAGATATATTTAGTGATGTAAAAATTCACTGTAAATCTTGAATTGTTTAAAAAACTTAGGTTTGGCTCTAGTGGACTTTAAATTGGATTTATTTAGGCAACGTCTATTGTTATTCTGCCTCTTTACGTCATATTTACAAACAGCAGGTCGGCCTAATGGCATTTTTGCATCACATTCTAACAGCTAGTGATGGGTATTCCAGTTCTTTTTAGAGAACCGGCTCTTTTGGCTTGACTCACTAAAAGCAGCTGGCTCTTTTGGCTCCCAAGCAGCTCTTCAGATTGTTTTGTTGCAAGCAGGTCTAAACCAGAACAGAACCAGGTCTAAACCAGGACTGAAAAAGGACTAAACCAGGATTAAAACAGATCTAAACCATGTGTAAAACAGGACTAAACCAGAACTGAACCAGGACTGAGTGTCAGGACTCGGTCTCTATCTCTCTCCCTCTCTTGAGCCCAAAATTAGTCCTGGTTTATTTATTTTATGCTGAACTGCAGCCACATATGCACTTTTTTTATCCTATGCACATGCATATTTCTGAAAGTTTTGCCGCTGTCGCTGTCAAACTACCACGAGTCTGCACGCAACGTGAAGAGAAAAAAAGTGAGAAAGAGAAAACACCGCTCCCAATAAGGAGCAGGTTCCCGTCATTCGCTTCCAAGAGCCGGCTCTAAGAGCCGCTTTGTTCGCGACCGACCCATCACTACAAGCTAGTAAAGAAACTACCGCTATTAGCCTTTAGCCGTAAATACGTGCACGCCGTGGTAATTAATTATATGCGCAAATGTGGATCATTCACACCTCTATTCACAGTTCATTTACATATTACTGCTGGTCCAGTAACATATATACGACCAATGTAGTCACTTTACAGTCGGCCAACAGAGGAGAGAAAACAGTCTGTTTATGTGCAGGAGCTACAGCAGCTAATCGCTAACCAATGACCAAAACTAGCTTCAAAGTCGTCATATTTCCAACACTCACCGCTCACACAGGCTCCTCCTCACATCACAAGTCTGCACTAATAAATGTTCTTTTAATCCAGACTCAAACCGATTGTGGGTAAAAATAATATGATCCAAGTGTTGCGCACATGGATCTGTGTCTGCGGGTGTAAACAAACACACGTGAGTGAAGCGACGTGAGTGACGTGTGTTCAGGGACAGTACGGTCACACACACAGACAAATCACTCCGCAGATAAATACTGATGCGGAGCCACATATTTGAAGATTTATCTGTCTGTAAATTGGATTAAATGAACATAATGTAGAGAGTCTAAGCTTTATAATGAGGTATCACATGCCCACGTGAAATATCGGCCCCTATCAGCAAGCATATCGGCCGATAGCCAATATGTCTCCAAGTGCTCGTATTGGCCGATAATATCAGCCAACCGATATATCGGTCGGGGCTCTAATTCATTCACTTAACTTTTCTACAACAGCAATAAAACGTACTGATTTACTCATGAATGATAATGTAACAGGTATGTTATAACGACCTCTGACCTTGTCTAGAAAGTTCCTAATGCTCCTGTCTGCGTTGGTTTTGTCAAAGATGATTTGTTTGAGTCCAATGTTTTTGATGTACTCCAGCTCTTGCTCCAGCAGTGCACAGAGCGCGACCTTCCTCTCAGCTCCTTTCAAGGTGGCATTGATCAGCTGTTCCTCCTCCTTTCTCCACTCTGGAAAATTATTATTACATTATAATCATTATTATTCATTGCATAGTATAGTAAAACTTCAACTAATGTCAACAACTTGCAAAATGTTCAGTAATTCAAGCTCTACAACCTTCATTTCAATTTTATTTTAAATCTTTTTCTTTTAATATAGCATTGGTGGGTTTGTAAACCAACAAATTATGTAATGCTGGCCTTAGCTAATGATGTTATGCATGATTATGCATTTTCCTGTCAATATCTCTAAAAATTTTGATGTTGCAGCCATTTTTAATTGGTATACATCCAAAAGTTTCCTAATTCTTCCCTGATATCCAGGGATTATTCCCTGTTGCTTTCATCAAATATACATTCAATTGTTCAAGAGATATGTTGCTGACAAACCAATAGAAGAGGTAATGAGGCTTTCTGCCTAGGGGGTCTTCTGATGATATGCTACCAGGTCAAGTTACAGGTCAGATCTATAAAAAGTCAACCGTGTTCACAGTAAGAATGCAAATATTTTTGGCAATAAAAACATCTGTAGTTGAAGAAATGCAATATAGATAAATTTAATACCATACTGTGGAGCATTAAAAGCAAAGTACAAAAGAGACAAGCAGAAAAGCTACATAGTGAACCTTATACAAAATTATCTTGACCCAGAACTGGTTATGTAACTACCTTGATAGAATTCCAGTAATAATATTAGTTTGAAGTTTGATTTCATTTATTTGACCAACCAAACCTCCTCACACACATGCAATCCCCTCATCTTACTGTCGAGGGCGTGGTAGAGCAGGTTGAAGTCCTCTCTCCTCTGGGGGTCGTTCCAGCGCCTCCTTCTGTCTCGGAGCTGCTCTTCCTTCTCCTCTCTCCTGCGTCTCTCCTGCACTTCCAGCCAGGCCAGCCTCCGATCTCTGTCGTGACGCAGACGCCCCACTGCCTGTTTGGCCAACCAGCACCGGGCCGCAGCCTGGAGACAGATTACCTATGGGAGTATGCAGCGTGAGTGAATAGGACTAAACCATTATTATTTCAGTATTTAGATTTTTTATTTTGACTTTTTAATTTATTTGAAAAGGGACTACGCACATTTATCAACACCAAATGATGTAAATGTGCCAGAGTTAGCTATAATGTAATTGGTGGTCCGTTTGCTAGATGTGAAAAGGGCAAGGGCAACTGACTAAACAACTAAAGACCTACAGCTCTATAAGACTGTTGTATATACCATAGATTTCAGTTTTATTTTAGCCACAGTTCTTCAGCTGATGCATAGCCTTCACTGAACTGACCAGTGTTTTGCATAACTTGAAGAGTATTGTGCAAAGGCTAGATTTTCCAGACAAGTGAGTCTTCCAAGGTTAAAATGTAATGTATTTGCAAACAAAGAAATGTAAAACCAAGGCACAAAAGGCCCCTACACTCAAGATTAGGCGGCACTGTGAAACTTTCAAGTGTTTTTCAAAGTAATTTAGTGCAAACACAAATAGTGCAATAAATGCTTTTATTTTGCCTGTTCTTTTGCTGTTATAGTTATATTTTATGGACTTTATGCTTTTGGATTAAAGAATACATATTGTGCTTGTGTCTGCTATATCGTTGTAATCTGTAATCATTTTCAAATACATTATTATTACAAATACTATATATATATATATATATATATATATATATATATATATATATATCATATACATATACATACACACACACATATATATAGATAGATAGATATAGATATATATAAAAAAGGGAGTCAGCGTTTCAGGTTCATGCAGCTAAAACCTGGAATAGTCTTCCTGAACATGTGAGACAGGCCTCTTCTGTGACGCTGTTTAAATCCAGGCTCAAAACATTTCTGTTTAACTGTGCATATAACTGAAAGGTTTTCATTCCACACTCTTCTCTCCAATTTATGTCTCTCTTTTTTAATTTTAATCTTCATGATTATTTATGTTTTGATTTGTTTTTATTATGATTTTAATGTATTTCTTATTCTGTAAAGCACTTTGAATTACTTTGTGTACGAATTGTGCTATACAAATAAACTTGCCTTGCCTTGCCTAAAGTCACCGTAAACATCATCACAATAAAGAGCCATGCAGCTGTCGACACCTCCGATGGATAACTGCACATTATTCTTGCAAGCAGCTGATTTTTTTTTTTCTTTTATACAAAAAGGACGCGATGCTACTGAATCCTTGAGAGAGCAGAGGGCATGGGCATGCCATGTGGTGATGAAAATAGAAGTTGATGATCAGCAATGTGGCGTCTTGAAAATAAGTGATTAAAGATTGCTCAAACATGCACAAATCACTCCAAACAGGGCAAATAAGAAGGGAAACAACATGATTAAAAGCTGATTTTGCATAATAGGCAATAGAATTTACTAGCTCCACAGCTTTTTGTTAACCTTGAAAAATGAACATCAAACGCCAAATCTGTCATCTGTGCAATCTGTATCTATGGTAACTAGAAAGGTACATTATTCTGAGCCACCAAACACTGCCTCGTGCGCTATGCAGTTAGGACTATATTTTTTATGATGAAAAAGTAGACTTTTTAAGACCTTTTACTGGCGCACAAAGAACACTTCATCACATTTACAGATTGACCTTTGTAGATTTATGATTTTACCGTATGTTTTGTTGCTATTTTGGTGTCTTTTATGACTTACAGCTTTGAGTCTGCGCTCGTGGTACTCCGCCGCTGTGGAGTAGCCTCTAGGGGTCAGTAGTTTGTCATTTGTACAGGAAATATAACAGCCGATTCCCGTCATCTGTGTGCTAACATCTGCTGGACACTGCTGAGAGTGCGACTTCACCTCCACGGTCTGAAACAAAAAGCACTAATTTTAGAAAGAGTAGCATAAGGAAGAATGCTTTGACAATACATTTTGGTTAAACTATGTGGTGGGCAATATTGACAAAAAAAAACTGAGGTATTAATTTTTTCTACTGTAATCAATTTGCAAGTTAGTGGAGGTCAAATTAACCATAAATATGAATGGACTGTAATATTAAGTGTGCACTGTGTAACTTTTCTGGAGGAGGATTCGCCAACTGCTTATTTTCATGACGATGTTTTTGCTTTGCCTGAAATGTTCCATTGTATAGTATATCTCTCTAAGTTTAATGCCATACTGTGGAACATTCTCGGCAAAGCAATAACATTTCCATGGAGATAAGCATTTGGCAGACCCACCACCAGAAGAGTTACAACAACTCTATTAACATACTATCATTAGTTTATTCTAATTTTACTTCTTCAAAACAATATTTCGCCCACCTCTTTGTACAGTATGTCTTGATAAGTTTTAAAATGAATGCGACATGATGTACGTAGTTTGCTGTCTATAAAGCTGGAATAATGTTGTTGTAAACACAAAAATTTTTACCTGCATTTGACATGCATCCACAATCACATTTGCCAAGAGGTGTTGATTACCTACTGATCTGCATTTAACCAGCTTTCTGCATGATAAAAATCTATGTAATAGTAATTACACAATTAACATAATTAAGTTACATACTCTAGAAACCTTCAGTCAGCATATTAAAAAAAATAACAGTGAATCTCCCTGAGTTCAAATGGGGGTGATTGACAGAGGGATTGGCCAATCAGGGACATGCATGTTTTCTCCATAGCAAAACAAATATGGCTGATTACAAGGAAAAAAATAAAGGAAAAAAATATCACAAAGGACTGAAAAACATAGTGAATTTCTGCAGAATCAGTGGGGGAAGCGCTAAACTCTGTTAATCTGAGGTGTGAGAATTTTGAGTTTGTTCAAAATAATAGATTACCAAAGAGCGTGTTTCACATGCATTATTGAAATAAACTAATCTGATTGCATGTTTCAGCCTGGCTCCTGTGTCATTATACAGTCCCTGACAAAAGTCTTGTCGCTTATCCATTTTGTAGAAACAAAAGCTTATAACCTGACTTTAAATTAATCGATTGGTTTTAGAAATGTCTCATATGAAAGCTAAAACCCTCCCAAATTATGCTCAATATACTGAAATAAATTTGCTTCACTGAAGAAAGCTTGATCATTTAATGAACACAGAAAGGTCAGATTTTGGCAAGACAAAAGTCTTGTCGCCTTGTCATATGATGCACCCAATCCTAGATTACAGCCTCACCCATGATCAGTTACTGATCAGTCAGTTAGTGGGTGTGTATAAACAGAACCCCAGCACACCAGACCTTCACATCAACTGCAACTTGACCTCTGACAACATGCCTAAGGTCCACCCTGAGACCAAAGTGTTAATTATCAAGAGGCTGAAGACCAGATCCACTGCTGAGGTGGCTGACACCTTCATTGTGTCTCAGCGTCAAGTACAAAGAATAAGAAAAAGGAGATGTTTTTGACAAGCCCAGGTCCGGCAGACCCCACAAGACAACTGCTCGGGAGGACCGTTTGTTGATTCAAAATCCAAGGCCAGCCCCTTTTCCACTGCAGCAGACTCCACCAGGCCTGGTCACCTCAAGTCCCTGTGTCAACCACAACAGTTTGTAGAATTCTATCTCGAAATGGCCTCCATGGTCGAATCAGTGCACAGAAACCAGCACTAAACAAAAGGCAATTAAAAAAACCCTGAGGCATTTGCCAAGGCCCACACTCTGCTAAAAGGATGGACACTGGAAAAGTGGCAGAAGGTGGATTTCTCAGATGAATCCTCGGTTGAATTACATCACAGCCGCCACAAATATTGCAGGAGACCTACTGGAGCCCGCATGGATCCAAGATTCACCCAGAAAACAGTTAAGTTTGGTGGCGGAAAAATCATGGTCTGGGATTACATCCAGTATGGGGGTGTGTGAGACATTTGCAGGGTGGAAGGCAATATCAATAGCCTAAAATATCAAGAAGTATTAGCTACCGCTTACATTCCCAACCATAAAAGGGGTCAAATTTTGCAGCAGGATGGTGCTCCATCGCATACTTCTATCTCTACATCAAAGTTTCTCAAGGTGAAGAAGATCAAGGTGCTCCAGGACTGGCCAGCCCAGTCACCAGACATGAACATCATTGAGCATGTCTGGGGTAGAATGAAAGAGGAAGCATGGAAGGCAAAACCAAAGAATCTTGATGAACTCTGGGAGGCATGTAAGACGCTTTCTTTGCTATTCCTGATGACTTCATCAACAAATTGTATGAATCATTGTTGAACCGCATGGATGCGGGTCCTTCAAGCTCATGGAAGTCATACAAGATATTAAATATGGATCTCACAGCACCACTACTTAATTCACTGACGTTATGCAACATAGTTTTGTATTTGAAGTAAATTATTTGTTCAATTTTCTGTAGGCGACAAAACTTTTGTCTTGCCAAAATCTGACCTTTCTGTGTTCATTAAATGATCAATCTTTCTTCAGTGAAGCAAATTTATTTTAGTATACTGAGCATAATTTGGGTGGGTTTTAGCTTTCATATGAGACATTTCTAAAACCAATCAATTAATTTAAAGTCAGGTTATAAGCTTTTGTTTCTACAAAATGGATAAGCGACAAGACTTTTGTCAGGGACTGTAAGTGCTAACATGGTACTCTGAGGGGCCACATAGAGACCCTATGTAAAATTAATGATTGACAAAATTAGGCTGGGCAGAAAAAAAAAACATACAAGAAACACAATTGTAATGTATGGTAATGTATGTATAATGAAACTGGTGTCCACTGTGTCGCTGTCATTGTAATGAGGCAATAAAAGCCTCTTGCTGCAGGTGACAGGTCAGTGGACAATGTAACACAGGGCTGTAGATTTCTCATTAAGAAGTTACATGTGTGTGTATGAATGTGTGTGTGTAATTATGTGCAACAAGCCAGCCTGCCTTGTGTCACTGTGGGTCAGTTTAATTTATAATAATGCAATAAATGATTAGGGCTGCTGACCTGCCAGTTGTGTTAAATAGAATGAATATAAAATTGATAAGATATAGGGCAATATTGTGATTTAGTAGATAATAATTGACATTATATTTGAGGAATAATACAGGGGTCAAATGTTTGAATGAACTTAGTGCCAGGTTCAGTGGGTGGAGACTGTGGAGGCAGTAAGGGCATTGGGTCAAAAAAAGTTTGTGTGACTAACTGATAGAAGGAATTTTGCGGTGGCTATAAAGGGAATATAAAACAAAGAAGTTATGTGGATAAATAATGAGGGCAGAGGGGCCATAAACGGTAAACCCTCCAGGAAGTTTAATAACTTTGACACTCATAATTAAATGGAGATAAGGCATGCTATGTGGTGTTGTCACGATACTTGCAAACTTGATTTTGATACTAAGAGATAGATACTCAATACTAATTCTGATACTACAATTATAATAAAAAGTAATGTTATATATAAAAGTATTTAAATGCTGTGAATTTTAGACTTATTTAACTGGATTGATCCTGGTCCTTCACCCTTCTTCAGCTTACACTTGTTTTCAGTTGCTCAGGTCTTTCAATGTGTGCAGCAGCAAGCTACTGGAGATCTTCTACTAGTCTGTTGTGGCCTGCATCCTGTACTTCGCTGTGGTCTGCTGGGGGAGCAGTACCAGTAAAAGGGACATTGGCAGACTGACAAACTGATCCATAAAGCTGGTCACGTGATCGGCTGTGAGCTGGAGACATTTGTCACAGTGAGGGACAGGAGGACACTGGACAAACTGCTCTCGATCATGGACACTCCTGCTCACCCACTGCACCAGACTACAGAGGGACAGAGGAGCTCATTCTCCAACAGGCTCCTACAGTGAGAGATACAGGGCTACATTCACACCATACTACACAGAGATGTACAACAACTCACCCTTGTATAACAGATAAGCCTGTTTCTGTCAGTCATATCATCTTTACACTGTGTCCTTTTGACCTCTAGTAAATAACTGTGATATTCTGTCTGTATTTATATTATGACATTTATTTTTTACTTACTGTACATACATTTATATAATTTATGTCTTATTGATACCAATCTCTTGCTATTTTGAATTGCTACTTATTTAGAAGTTTATTGTGTTACTGTAAGATAATGTGATGTGTCCAAGTAATTTCACTTGTGGATCAATAAAGTCTGTCTAAGTCTAAGTCTAACAGGTAACTTCAACTTCAGCGTGTTTTGCCTATGCTGTGAAATATTGTCATTAGAAGGAACTGGTTAATAGATGCTTAACTGGAATAAGGATGTTGGGGCGGATTGAGCCGGAGCATCATCTCTGAGAAATACCAGTGCGTTCCATGTACTACAAGGTTATCGGATAACTCAGAACAACCAGCTCCTGGGAAAGGTAGCATGTTCAAACCTCTAGAAAATACAGAGCAGAACATCCAAGAAATGCCTTTGGTTCTTGGAAGTGGAATCCTCAGAGAAAAAATAAAAATCTTACATTATTTTATGTTACTAGTGATCTTTTTATGGATGAGGTTTTGTTATTTCTATGTAAAACAGCAATGCAATAATGGCTGAATCTTGTATACTGATTAGCTGAGGGCATATCATCTCATCAGTTTATGAACTACTTATGACAAATTCTACTACTTTATAGTAAACTCAGAATAAATATTGCTTCTATGACAGAGAAAACACAGCTGTCTATAGATGCATCAAGAAACTTCAGGTCATTGTGCAATGCTTTGTGCAATGCGCAATGACCGGAAGTCCGAAATTCTTGATGCATCTATTAGACTAGCATACAGAAACAAGGTCTCCATGAAATTTCCCTAAGGGGAAAAAATGCATCCACATTGTATCACTGATGTCAACAACTCTTGCTCTTCTCTAGCTGGTTTACAACAATAAAAGTTTATAGAAAATGCATGTATGACCTTCTAATTAATAAGATACACACAACCATGGCACAGAAGTAAGCACAAGAAATGAGTAGTAAATAAAACACTACAATGTAATTAAAATACTGCTCTGAATCGAAAATTTTCTGTAGCTCCCAGCATACCTTTCTCCACAAATTGACCTAAGATCTGACAAACAACCATGACTGAGAGCTGTGTGCACCATATTTTATATCATTAGATCATTAAAGATAGTAGTATAGGAAGATGATGAATCTAACTGCTGAATAATCAAACATTAAGAAAATGGAGGATGCCTTGGGGGAGTGTTCTGCGCTCTGCATTTGGTCTGGCCTTTCATAGGTTTCAGAATGATGACAGTTAGAAACTAACAATTCAAAATATTAAATAATGGTCAACTGTCCTCAAAATAACACATAATTGAAACCTATGAATATGAGATCAGTGACAGAGGAGAGTAAAAGGACTGTTTCAACCATTTCTCGCTGCATAGTTCAAAAAAGTAATTTTACACCTTATCATTCTCTTAGATGGTTGCTAACATAAAAGGTTGGCTACCCTCTTAAGACATATTGACATTTAGCTAAACAATTTTCTTCTGGCTTCAACCCTCCTCTGTGCTTTCAGGCATTTGTATGTTTGCTCATTATAGACCTATGTGATATGTGTGCTGTGAAGTACCTGAGTATCCCGGCTGAAGACCTCTACCCCTCGGCCTGGCCTCCTCTGGGGATGGGTCTGTGTGCTGGCGTGGTGGTACACAGCCCCTGTCAGACGGTGCTTGTATCCACCCAAGAAAGGTTTTCTCTGCGGGGGGCGCTGGATTTCAACCACCACCTCCTGGAAGCCATCTACAAGCAGAAAAGTATAAATAACAATTTTATTAGCCTGGCTCTTTCTGTCTAGTGAGATAAGGGGTAATGTTTTGCAAAAAGGCCAAACATATGGTAATAAGCAATATGTTTATCAAGCTTGAGAAACGTTTTTTAATAGTGACAGATGATGGAACCAATCTCGACGGTTTAGGGATTGCACATTGGCATGTAATCAGTGTAAAATACATACATTATTTAAGAGATAATAGTTAAGAAAAAAGGGTCCAAAGAAGACTGCCAGTATCAAAGTTGTGCTGTAGATCAAAATATCAAGAAAAATAAGTTCTACTTGTAATACACAGATTATGAATATATTTTATTATATGCAAAAGCTAGAAATAACTTTGGAGTGGTGGTAATTTTTGAGTACAATAATGTCAAAAAAGGGCTAAATGAAGATGAACTGTGCCATTTTTACAAGTGTATAAGAAATTAACAACATAATTCTTAGAAAGTCTAAATGATTCAGACTTCTATAACCCTACTTAAAGAGGACGTAGGGCTCTCGTCTCCCGTCTGGACCCTCACAGTGATGACATCGGGCATGTTGTCGTGCTCTGGAGGGCGGAGGGGGCGCAGAGGGTACGTGTGGGGGTCAGCTGAGCTCATCTCCATCCGGGTGGAGCCATGTGGTTGGACACCAAGATCCATAAGGGCCTGCTGGTTTTCCACAACCTGCCCTGGAAAAGCATACAGTATTATTTGTTGTTTTATTATTATTATTTTTTAAACATTAAAAACTATCTGACTAGGTAAAACTACTCATTTTACTAAAACATCGATTTTTTTACATTAGAATCTTGCACAAAATTCATTTTAAAAAATTGCACATTTTCTCTGTGCTCTAAGGTTTTTAGATTTACTTTCTCATCAGTTTTCATAATTACTACCTCCAGCAACTATACAGTAAACAAGTACCATCTAATTTACACAACATACACAAATATGGCCACACTTTTATTTTGTTGAGTGAATGTTTAAATTGCCTCCATAAAAATGTTCCTTGAGCATCATTTTCAGCTGACATAAGTTTCTTTTCAGATGGAATCTATGCCATCAACATCTTTATAAGTTAGTGATACTCATTCTCACATAATTTTTTGCCACTTGATTGGTATAAAACTGTACTAAACTACAAATATTGTGTATTATTCTACCAGGAAAACATGAAAACCTGTCATATGCCATTTTTAGTATCCTTCACTTACCATCAAGAAAAATATGGAGCACTTCTGGAGGCACTCTCAGCTCTGAGGCAAGATGTTGTTTTAGCTCTCCAATGCTGAGTCCGATGGCAAAAGCTACAGTCATCACATGGCCCTCTGGCACTAGAACTACCTTCACTGCAGCCAAATACAGTATTAAAACATGGTATTATTAATAGATAATGGAATACCAATAGCTCAGTATCTCACCTGTTGCTGTGGAAGTTCCAACATCATCACCATTTGATTGTGACTCTGCAGGCTGCTCAGTCACTTCAGGGAGATTGGCTTGGGTTTCGGCTTCTTCTACCACTTCTGTCATGGGGAAAAAATAAAAAAGTTGAGGTTGACTTCCGTACAGGAGTGGAAAGCAACTAATTATTACACATAATCGAGTTAGTAAGATAGAGGTTCTCAATACAGTACAAAAGCACAAGTGCCCATCATCCCAATGCACGTTTGTCTCAAAGCCATGTCTTGCTTCTTTTCAACCAACAAGCACAGTGCTAATGGTGCTTGTGGTTCAAAACTTATTGAGCTTAAGCTGTTTATTTCTCAAGTTTTGTGTAAGAAGTGATCAAAAATGCTGATAAAACTGTGTACTATGCATGCATATTACTTTACATAGTACAAATTTGGCAGCAGTGTTTGTAATTGAGTACTTTTTAGCATAGTAATTGTAGTTTTACTTGAATACACATTTTCAGCACTCTTTCTACCACTGCTGCTAACAAAACAGACATAAAAGTCATATATAAGAAAAAACAAAGCACTCCATTACAGTACTGACATAAAAAAAAAAAAATAATACACACAAAACAATAGAAAGTGCCTAAGACTAAAACGTTACAGTTGGCAATAAGAAGAATCCAAGAAGAAGAATTGGTCATCTGAAACCCTGCAATAGGATTTTCACCTGACATCTGTTTGAGAGGGCTGGATGTGGGCGCACACGTGGTAGGATCCTCTCCGTCCTCTCGGTGCTGCTTTCTGTCGTCCTCTGGTGGTTCATCTAAAAAACTCACTTCAGCTGGTTGTGGTTCCTCCATCGTGTTTTCGTCCATATTTTCTCCTTCTTTCATCGCCGGTTCTTGGCTTTCCGTTTGCTCCATAGTTTGAGTGGTCTCCTCCGACATTATGCTAACTAAGCTAACGCGAAATATTTCGAAATTGCTAAGAAGTGTTCACTCCTATATAGCCTTAATTTAGCTGACAACTTCGTAAACTTTTTTCGTGAATATGAACAGAATTTGATCATCCCAATCAAACAGTTAGCGTTGTTTTTACATATGCGTATTATTATTATTATTTCTAAATACTTGCGGGAGCCAAACAGAGATGCTAATCGTGCAGCGTTAGCGTTAGCTGTGCCTCCATAACAACCAGAGTTTACAGGTTTCCATAGCAACCGAGCCACGTGACAGCACAGGCAACCATTAAGATACTCACTTTTATTATTATTTACAGGATGGAGAGTCTTAGAAGTAGTACCCCCATTTGGGAAGTTGGAAGCTGGTATAGGGTGACCAGCTTTTCTGTATTTTACCAAAACAAATGACATTTTTTCTTTACTGTTGACCGGTATCAAATTGGTCAAAAATAGGGACACCTGGAACATTTCTTGTGTAAAGCTTGGACAAATCAATAGTTTTGGATAAATCTGCTGGGACAATGGACACAGGGCTCAAAACTGGGACTGTCCTGGGTAAATAGGGACATCAGGTCACCCTAAATTTGTAAATTGGCCATATGGGAATGTGTCCTCTAGATATTAGTTATACAAGTTACTCTCACATGCTTCCTCTTATTAATCATCTTAAAACTAGAATATGTTTAAGATATAGCCTGTATAAATAATTATAATCATAATAATAATTACACTTATACATTAACTAATAACTTATACAATAGGCCTAAATATAAACATACCAAACAAATGACTACATAAGGACACAGACTAATATAGGCTATGTATACAGTTAAGCTACGAGTATATTAGTATTGCATTTCTAGCCACGACAAATACATACAGACTATAAAATTCAAGGTCATTATGAGTTTTTCCTGACCCCAGTACCTCTACATTATACAGCAGGCCGCTTATAGTTACTGTCAAGTTTGGACAGATGTCAACTTTAAAGGGCCGTGTCAAAGAGGATAAAAATCTTTGTAGTATTTTTAGCCTTTTTACTTCCTGCCTTGTGTTTACACTAATGGCAATATAGGGGCTTTATGTTGCTGCTATTTCAGAAAGACCCAGTGCAGGACATGCTGGCCCCCACAAAGCCCTACTAATCTTCTGCTGGACATCTGCTGGCTCCCCTTGGATCAGAAGTAGAACCAGGCCTCCTGTGTAAACCTCTCACACAGGTATTCCACCGGTCAAGAAGGGCTGTGTATATCGTGGTGTTAGCATTTCTGAAGAATTCCCAGCTCTTAAACATATAACATGCATGTATAGGCTATAAGCATACACAAAGCAATGCCCATAAATAATAATACTGTCATGAGTTATTGTAAGCGCAGTGGTGTCAACATTTTACCATATGCACTTTCATCTTATAGATCTGAAGACATGGCAGCGGCACATGTGGCCTTAAGTGTTTCTTTTGATGGGCAAATCCCATTTCCTCCATTGGATTCTGTTGCTGTGTCCTTCGGCAAGACACTTAACCTTCTGTCCGTATGTAGTGTGAATGGGAGTGTGCTTCAGACAGTGAATGGTTTGCTAGTTGTAAAGAGCTCAGAGTGTATGCGAATGATAATATGATTGCAGACACTCAGGCTTTATGTTGCCAACACTTGTCACTGGTCTTTAATCAAATTATTTTAGAGGTAGATTAAACATAAATGTGCAAACTAGGTGTGGGAAAAAATGTAAATATCATTAGACATGATAAGACAGGTTCACGAACAAGGCAAAATTTTAAAATATTATGATAAATACGTCAGTACACAATTTTGTTATTTTTTTATTTCATTGATTTTTTTTTATTTTTTTTATACTATTTATTTTTAATTAAATAATTATTTTGAGTTAAAGCATTTGTTGCACATCAAATGATTATTGAGCTCATATGTTAAAACTGGGAATAGAACAAGATGTCACTCCATAAGATATCACAAGAAATTGTCTTAATATTGTCCACTGGTGTTGAATGACCTTTTCCCATGAGTTTTTGTTTGACTGGGACACCAAAAGGATTAAATGAGATACACTTTCTGACAATGGGAGCAATAATGTTAATGAAGAAAAAAGTAGCCTAAGATTAGCTAAATTATACCATTTATTTATTTTGAAATAATGTCAAAAAAGCATATTTTCTTTCTTGTTTGATCTCAACTTGTGAGAATGATGTCTCAGCTACTCTTATTTTGAAATGGTTTAAAACAGATGGATATCTTGCATAGACAGTCTATGATCTTGCCATCCTTATCATAAACCTTTTAAAAATTATACCTTTTTCTAACCAATCTAATCTCTATTCTTTCCGAACAAGCATTAAGCTAAATCTTTTTCTCTAAAATAAAGGGAATATGACTGATCATCTTGAAACTTTCACACATTTCATCTCAAACTTCTTTCCGAAGGTACACTTATGCAGTTACAGCTCATTGCATTCTCAAAACTAAACATTATGGTCACATCAATACAGAATACACCAATAATGATATATACTTTATAGCTGGCATTGCAAGGTTCTGTATAATGTACCGTACTTCTCAGTCACACACCATAGTGGAAAGCTTCAGAGCAGGGGTGGGCGATATTGTCAAAAATAAAAAAAAGTGATGTTTTGCAGCTTATCCCAGTTGCAATAAACAGACAATTATTCATCCAAAATGTGCTAAAATGTGCCCCAATGTCTTGGTTTTGGTTCAAGTAGTGCCAAATCACTTTAACCACAATAGTTCAGAAATATTATTAGAAATATTTCAGAAAAAAGATTACACTCCCAAGTTTGTTTTGTTTGTAATCAACTATTTTTGCAGAATTTTAAAACGATCTTTAGTCTAGAACCTTTACCCAATATTCTAGTTTTGCATATCTTAAAAACACCCTTCTTGTAAACATCTACAACTGACCAAACCTTGCCTGTCATTCTGTCCCTATGGCTTCTGTGATAACCACCATCTAACAGTGACAGCTCATAAGGAGTGGGAAGTGTCTTGCATAAGGAATAGTGGATGATAAGTATAAGCAATAATTTATATGTTGTTTTATATTAAAGGATTTTCTAAATTTGATAAAATTGTAGTTTACAATCCAATCTTGCATAGCCAGATTTGGTAAGTGGTTACAATTTTTATATAGTGCTTTTCCTTTTCCTTCAAGGCACTCAAAGCTCTTTACATCCAGGAACCACTCACACATTCATGCACACATTCATACACCAGTGTTTACAATCACTGGGAGCAAGGGGGTTAAGTGTCTTGCCCAAGGACACAATAGCAGAATTTGTCTATGGGAGCTGGAATTGCACCACCAACTTGTGGGTACGTGGATTTGACCAATCAGCCAGTAATGTTTATGTCAAGAGCAGGATTTGAACTGCCAACCTTCAGGTCAGTGGTCAAACTACTCTATCAGCTGAGCTACTTTATCCCAATTAAGTCCATTTAGAAGTGTCTAGGGTGAAATCACAAACTATATTTAACCCCCAGCCCACAATTCATTTAAACAGAATAATGATTCTGTAATGTAGATGCAACTGTTACACATCTGTGCTATATAAAAAGTTTATTCACTGCAATAAATCTCACCAAAACCTAATACAATGCAATTAATAATGAACACCGTAATACAGCTCCTGGAAACATCCCAAAAATGCTATCACAAGGGAAAGATTTAACGTGGATTTACTGGCAGCTCAACTCTTTATGAAGCGTCATCTCAAATTTCCAAGAAACAAACAGACCCAATTGATTGTATTTTTTTTTCCAGGAAATTGCAGACGACAAACATGGCGGCTCGCATCTGTAAAGCATAAGCCCTCTAGGATTGGCTGTGGGAATGCGGACAGAGATGCCAGAGCCAGGCTTAGCTCCAGCACAATTGCACCGGTCGGTGGGTGTATTTAAGGAGAGGTAGCTCCACACGCGCTCCTCGCTGGGACAAAAAGCAGGTCAGGCCTAAAATAAGAGGACAGAGCGCTCAGTCGGACACCAGGGTCATCAGCGAGCCGCCAACATACTTCCACAGGTGAGAAATTTCTGCTTAATTTAAGGGGCACTTAAGTTTCTTAAGGTCCTGACATGTAGTTGGCAGTGTATCATTTCAGTTAGCAAACAAACAGTTATTGTTTTGATAAGACTTGAGCATCTCTTGTGTGGAAGATATGATGGGTCGGGTCCTCTGTTGATGATATACTAAAGTAACACAATACAGTGTAAAGTGATTTTAATTAAAAGCCTCTCATTCATTTTGGTGCATTGTCACATAGCAACTCTAAGAGATAAATACTATTTTGTTTGTTATCAGCATGACATATGTCCAGCCACTTTATTGGATTATACAGCAGCCTGTGTTAAAGGTGCACTGCGTAACATCTCCGTCACCTGCTTGTTTCCATAGAGATGTTACTGCTTTGTTTGAAATGTATGGCATTTCACTTAGACCTAGCCATTGCCGCATTAGATAGATGATCCACTTTACTGAATTATACAGTAGCCTATATTAAAGATACACTGTGTAACATTTCTACCACCTGCTTGTCTACATGGAGATGTTATTACTTTATAGACAAAGTAGTAACATCACCATCATCATAGAGACAATCAAGTGGCTGTCAAGCAGAAAGTCACACACTAAAGTTAACTTTAAGCTTATAAATAACAATAAATATGAATATAAATACAAAATATATATATGCAGATTTGTGACTCAAAAAAGTAAACTTACAATAAAGCTATACGTGTCACCTAACTCTTGTTGACAGAGATGCTATTTTTTTTAATTAATTGTACCACAATAAATATAAAATAAATGAAATAAGTGCTTGAAATATGTAGTCACCTTTTTTCAAATTCACTGGCATATGTAGTGAAAAACAACCTCTGTAATATATATATATGTTTTGACAGCATGTTTTATCAAAATGTAGCACTACCTTATCTTCTGACTGTTTATAATTAATAATAACACTATCAATCAACTATTGTAGTCATGATTACTTCTCAGACAAAAGGGTGCCAACATTTGCTACAGTTATAAAATGGCTTCAATGATCCTCACATCCAGTCATATGATATTGTTTTGCTCTCTTTGGGAAATCCCCTCTGTTGTTGTTAATATCCTGACTACAATGGCTGTGTAGTGGAATGACTAATTACCAGAGATGGACAGTAGTAGCCAAAATATGCATTCATGTAAGTACTGTTAATGAATTGAGATGACCTAAGCAGAAGTATTTGAAGTAGTAGCATTACGGTCTAATCTTGGAGAATGCAGGCACAGAAGCCTCCCAGCTGTTAGCATGTAAGATGGGGTATACCCTGCTCTATTGTCAGGTAATTATAGGACTGTGATTATACTTTTCTCCTAAAATGGTATCCTACAGAGCACTATTGTGATCAACAAACAATAAATGCATTTTAAAGCTACTAATATATATTTAAAGTTTTCTACATATCGCTAACTTTTGTGTTCACCTTGCTAATTAGTACAATATTAATTATGGTATTTTACATGCATATTTGGCAGTATGCATTTAATATAATATAACATTTAAAAGGAGCACAATAAAAATGATGATGATTTATTCTATTGTTAGTTTTCAGACATATTCAAGGAAACTAAATTGTCTTCAAACTCAGCGCTCTTTGCTTGAAAGGGAGTGGGATGATACTTGTTTATTCCCACCCCCGTGCTGTGCATGTAATATGCATTTCTAATAGGCTTCCTGTACAGCCATTATCTCCTGATATTCACAAAGATGTAAACTTACAAACAAAAGTTAACTTTGGTGGAGAAGTTAATGCTAGCCTCTCAACAAGGAGGACTTTCAGTACCATATACAAGTCTAGTAGTAGGAGGATAGTCTTCAGACACCTATTAACTTTGGGCTGCACAATATAAAACAATATTATTAATGTAATGGCTAATACAACAGTCCATAGGGCAACAGGACAAAATCTCCATCTCACAGAAATGTACTTTTTTAAAATGAAAATGTAAAAAAAAATAAAAAATTGACAGGTTGACTTATGAATTAAGGGATTTTATTTTAAATGTAACCGCAAAAAGTATTTTAAACTATAACTTTTTTTAAACTATTAGGTTGTTGTTATGTGTTTTTGTCTTAGTGATGAACACATATGATGACTACAGTGAAGATGAACTCAATGACTACAACATACAGCTCAGTATTCAGAACTCCTGTCGAGAAGCTTTCCTAAAGTCCTCTGCCAGGTACAAACCACAATTATGAAGTACCCCTTTTTAAACTCAAATATCTAACTGCACTCTGCTTTCTCTGCTCTCTGTGGTTAGTTTAGCAGCAACGACTGATGAGAACCTCCGAGTGCTGGCAGCCATAGAACAAGGTAAATGGAACTTTGACACAGGCATGTTAATAGTGTCTTTGTTTTGGTAGGACCTGTGTGTCCTGTGTGTCAGCTGCTGGGGAGCTCTGCCAAGGCTTCATCAGGAGGTTGGCAGACAGTGGCACAGAAGGATGAATACATTTCAATTCAAATGGAGGCCAAAGTTAGTCAGCCATAAAATCCATTGTTTATGTCTGAACTAAAGGAGGATGTGATCTAAATACATAATGACTATAGCATGCATTGTACTGCCAAACTTTTGCCCATCATATAACATATGTTTTTCAGGTTTTTAGTGTTAAACTTACTATAACATACAAATAATTATTTTTCAGTCTGTCCATTGTAAATGTCCACTGTCCACTATCTTGATCTAAAACAGAGCGACAGAAACAAGTCCATTGACTTCCTGTTCCAAACTGCAGAAAAAAGAAGCCTCACCTTTTCATAGTGACCTTTCACCATAGGGCAACAGATTATCGTCTTCCTCTTCTTTTGGAAAATGGCTAAGTGACAATTTTGAACCTTTCATGTATGACACAATGTCTGATTTTGTTTAATAATTTCAAGTAAGTGAAGAAAAGTAGTCAGAAACATAACTCTGATTAAGCTAATGATGATGGAACACCATTATAACATGATTAAAAGCTCTAATCTAAAATTTAACAATGTTGAACATAGATTGTCAGTATTGAAATTCAACTCTAAATATTCACCTATATTTTATGTATTGATTACATTACAATTTTAATGTATTGATTACAAAAAGACAATTGCATTTACAACTGAACAAGATGATTGCTGGACAAAATATTGTACTGCACTTTTCTGCCGCTTAAATGGTACGCATTCACGTCAAAACAGGAGGCATTCAAAACGAGAGGCAAATAAAACTGTAAAGCAGAGAATAATCATAGTTTGTCTTTATCCTCCCCTGTCTGCGCTGGGTTGTCATGGTGACCAGGTGAGGTGTGGATGCTCCAGGAGTTGTTGCGACACCCATTTGCCTTCAGAGAGCTGGACTGTCGGGGGTGGCTCCCTCTGCACCGAGCTGCAGCCCAGCCCCTCGTGGAGGTCCTGGAGACAGTCCTGACATGTGAGTACTGTCTACACCATTATAATATTTTAGAATTTAAGATCTGATGCTGTCTGCATATGTGCTATGGGCCAGATTCCATGAAATATCCAAAAGGTAAAGTCACAAATGTTGTCTAAAATCAAAGGAATACATGGTGGTACTTGATCACACAATTTAGACTTCAAAATGCACATACCTCGTGACATACCTTCTCCAGTCACTGATAACAAATGCATAACAAACAGTGAAACAATTATAAAGCTGTTTTTATTGTATCTTTACACTTTAATTTAAATGCAACTCTATGTAAAAAGTAGTCAAAGTATTTGGAACAGAATATGTTACAAAATACATTTTAATGCAGGTATTCAGTATTCTGTAACTAAATACATTTTCACAGTATTCTTCCATCACTGTTCATACATAAGGAAAGTGATTAGAATTTGACCTTGTAATGTTGTAACATCTCAGTCACCCCAGCTCCCTCATTATTTCACATTTACCACTTCAACATGACAAGGAATAATCTACCAGACAAGACAAGCATACAAATACAGCTCTTGTGTTTCAAATGTGGACAGGAGACTGGCTACTTGGAGCTACCTCTCACTGATCGGTTTTCCTGTCAGCTCCTAATCCCACGCTCTCCTCATTCACTCTGGCTACATAACTCAGCGTATGACAACAAATGAATGCCTTTTCCCTTTCCATGTCGTATGATTAAACACACGTACGCTCACATTAGCCCACAGACTCTGGTCATGACAAAGAGAACTGTTCAGTCCAGAGACAATGCGAGCTCCATGCTGCTGACAGCTGTCAACAGTCCCACAGCTCCAGAAGAGTCACTGATGTCACTCAACACTTATGTGGCTATAGAGAGCGTTCTACGAGGTGTCCGCTTAGCTTAGCCTCCCCGTCACCTGCCCGTTAACGCAACTGTCAGCGCCCACATGAACGCTGCATATGGGCCATACGTGTCATGCCATGTTTATGTGCAGTTGTAAATTTAGTGCCGTGTTTCACTCTTTTGTTTTGAAATATTTCCTGTGAATGGGGGTACTGATGAAATTCAGGTTACAGCAAAGACACTCAGATCCACTACTAGTACACTGAGTACTGTTTCTATATATACAGTATATGGATAGTGTTATAGCTGAATTTCTGTAAATATATCAGAATTAAGTAGAAAAATAATAAACTTTTTGCTACTAAACTGTGTACATGATGTTTGAAATGTCTACTGTTTCTAGTTCTGTTTTGGCAGTTTTAATGTAAATTAGGTACTAGCTTTGGGTGTGTGCAGCATCTCGTGGCCACTGCAATTTCAAGTACTACGTGACATCACGCAGGACGGCCGTGATCACAGCCAGGTGTTTCTGATACAAACACTTGTCAACAGGGGCGGAGTTTGAAGTATGGATAACCATAAGACCAATCACACTGTTCCTTATACTGTACCTCCAGACTCCTCCCCCTTCCTCCTCTCTCGCTCTTTTATTAGTCCACCAGGTATTTCCAGTTTAGCTGCTCTCTTTGAAATGTGGTTTTAGGTGGAGTTTAGATGTTTACACCCACTTTAATTTTATTTTATTGTGCAGCGTTATTACAACTGATGGGCAGTCCTTCTCTTTTTAAGTATACAGTTCTTTTGGATCTGCTCCCAGTGAAAAGCTGGCTTAGTATTTATTATCATTCACACCCTATTTTAGAGGAGTAATTTAGTTAAAAAGTGTTTAAAATTAATCTTTCGTGTTAAACACATATTTCAGGGATTTGTAATAATTACAAAACAGAAACAGATGTGGCTTCTTTTAATAATTATTTTATCTCATTTGTTCACCTGGCCTCTTCTCTGCTTTCCCTTTTAAGAGTTTGTATTTCTTATTATATCCAGCCCATTGTGCTTCAAAACAATTTTTTTTACTGAGGTTTGAGGTTTGAGGCTTGAGGTTTGAGTTAATTTTACTACCTATGACTACTTGAAAACCATACTTGTTAAGTGATAAATGTTCCATACCAAATATTTATGGCTCAGATATATATTGCTGTGTAATTACTGACAAGCTTGACAGGATTCTTAAAGTATTATAGGTAATTATGTATTCTCCTGACACTCTTAACACAGCTGCCCACAGGTTAGCTCACTTATACCATTTTCTTATATAGCCAAGGTGGGTAAAGTGTCTTGCCTATTGACAATATGCACTGGACTGAGCTGTGAACCACCAGTCTCATAAAAGAACCCCTCGGCCACCTGAGCCAGTGTCAACTATGTGTGAAACATATTAACATTACTTGCCATTCAATATTTGTGTTGTTGTTATTAGCTCCAGGCTATTATTGATTTTACTGTACTGTCCAGTGGCAGATAAAGGCCTCAGTCTGGAGGAGAGGACGGCTGTGGGGGGAGAGACGCCGCTCACTTTAGCCATAAAAGCTGGGTGGGTGAAGAATGTGAAGAGCCTGATCAAACATGGAGCCAACCCACACAACACCAACAGCAAGAGTGAGACCCCTCTGCTGCTCGGTAAGTCTCATTCACAAGGCTCACATTAGGGCCCATATTTTCTGATCTGTGTTATAATGTTGTTGTTGTTGGGTTTTTTTTTTTGTTTCATTCACACATGTTTAACACTCAAACACTGCACATTTAGGCTGAGTTGTTCTCTCAAACAGAAAACACTTGTGATTTCACGTGGAAATACAAGAAATTCTCCATTATGTTTTTAAATTCCATACACCTCCACTAGAATAATTTTGATTATTTCAGACCTGTTGCCAATCTCTACTAAACAAAAGGTAAAAGGAGCTGTGACGTTGAAAACTACAACTCCGTGACATCATAAAGTGGAACAGAGACAGTAAACAATCAATCAGTCAATCAATCAGAGCATTCTGAGTGTTAGGGATGTAGACAGACTAATAATGAAGGATTACTCACACGTGTGAATGAAACATAATACGACTGAGCTGTGTTTTCATTAAAGCTCACAAGAATCAATTTCATGTAATATAGGATCTTTAAGCTAAAAACTTATTATCAACCAGACAACCACTGATGAAATGAGAAGGTAATATCAATATCACAAATCAACCAAAACAATACGACCACAGACAGGTGCAGCCAATAACACTAGCTTAAAAGACCAACGGTAAAGTGTGGATTTAAGCTTTCTGACAAAGCCTGCATTACATGTCATTACTGATGTAGGGAGCAAGAAAACACTGAGCAGCCAAAACATTAAGACCCCAAACAGGTGAGGATATCAAATGGTATTAACTTATTACTAACATGGGGTGTACTTACACAATGGACAATAGAAGATAATACATATTAGCTATTAGACAAGTGGGCTAACTCTAATCTGGAGCAGAGAAAAGCAATGAACAGCCAAGAGATTATAGCCTCAAGCTGACATTAAAAAGGCATGAACTTATTACCAATGTGTGATTTTCTTATCCATTGGGGTCCATACTGAAACCCATAAATAGACCAAGTAACAATTGAAAAGTACAAAAATAAACTATTGGATAATGACTACAATAACTGGCTTATACTAACTGGAGTATAGCAAAACATAGAGTAGCCAAAAGCACTAGAAATAGGTGAGGGCATTAAGAGGTATTAAGTAGTTCCTAGTGAGTGGAGTACAATTGAATAGTACTTGTCTGTGATGTATGGGCAGTAGAACAATGGGCTAGTATAAAGGCTTGAGCACAGGGTGTGTAGCTGTAGTTTTTGGACATCCTCATGATGCCATTTTTGTTCCGGTCTTTGTATTGGAAATTATGAGAATGACGACATTAGGACGGTATGATAGGTATTTGTTTGCCATAAAAAGGACACATGCGAGTCAGGATCCTGTGTCGAACAATGGCGAAAGTCAGGGGTGATTTGTGGTTGTCTGTAAAATGCTGTTGTCACTTGTTGCATGGTAGCGTAGTGGTTGTCACATCAATGTTACAGCGAGAAGGTCCTGAGTTAAATTCCTGAACCAGGTGGAGCCTTTCTGTAGGGAGTTTATGTGTTCTTCCTGTGCCTGCTTCAGAGCCTCCCACCACTAAAACCTGCACAGATCTCCCTTCAAAAGTAGATGAATAAGAAAAATTACCTTGACTGTTGTAATACTTCACCAGCAATTTTGGGCGCACTTTTTTTTCAAAGCAGTAATGACAACTGCTTTACATTACTGCTCGTCATCGACTGTATAACGAAGCAGATTAAGTGAGTGTGAGGTCACCCATAGAGTTTGGCTCCAGTCAAGTGAAGCTTGTCTGTTCACGAGTATCATAGTAACCAAAGAGTGAGGCTGTTGAAGGTAATGGCCCTTCTCGCCTTAGCAACGTAAAGGAAAAAAAGTGCCTGATTTGTCTGCTATTAATGTTCATATCCTTATTTAGGGACAAAACAAAGAGATAAAAAACACAAGGATCATGTAGAGCGGTCTAATACAAATATTTTACAACCAAATGATGAGCCTGATAGCAGTAGTTACAGAGAGAGGGGCGACAGTTTTTCACCACAAAATGAATTGGAGATTGAGTTGGAGCCGGAAGTGCACCCATGTTCACTTCCTATCTGGAAAATGGTGGCAAGCAGGTTAGCTTTATACATATAGTCTACGTGGTGCCAGCGAATATATTATTTTTGACGAAAGTCTATTTCAAAATCAGGTGAAGTTTAGGGTTATGAACAAATGTTTTGGTTGGGAAAAATATGCTGTGTTTTGACATAGGCCTTTCAATGACATTCAAATAGTGCTTTTAGTTTAAGTAGTTAGATTGTTGAAGTCAGTGTATACAGTGCTGTTTTAAAGGGTTATTCCAGAAAATGTGTAGCTTGATATTTACTCTATAATAATTGAATGAACGTATAATTAAGTCATTATAACATGTTATTATTCCCAGCTGTCCGATCGGGCTCCTATGAAATGACCCACTTGCTGGTGACTCAGGGTGCTTGGGTGGAGCAGATCTGCAGAAAGAGGTGGACGGCGATGCATGAAGCGGCTAAAGTGGGCAACTCGGACATTGTGATGCTGCTGCTGAGGAACGGGGGCCGGGTCAACCAAAAAGACATCACAGGAGCTACACCGCTGGCTGTGGCTGCGGAGCACGGACACTTCCACATCATCGAGATTCTGGTCAACTGCGGTCAGTCTGACAGGCCACGTTCTGTTTTAAAGAGTGGGTGGAAGTTAGTCTGGCATGGTGAATAACAAAAGATTGTGTTGTCCTGTTGGTGTATTTATGGGTCTCAGAATGATGAAAAATTATGACTGTTGCCATAGTAACTGACCATTAAAAATATGAATTTGAATTGGTCCTCAAAATGCTGCATATAACAGGAAGTTAAAACTCATGGCTAAAGCTAGGAACAGAATTTTTAGAGGCATTATACAAATTTCTTTCATGCAATAAAGTAACATTTGTTTTGACTAATAAAGATATTGTAAAAGCAGTTCTTAGGGGCAAAATGACAGCACAGGGTGTGTCTCTTGGTGTGCTTTAGCATGCTAGTTGATGTCACGTCTGTGATGGTAAAACTCTGCTTTGGCCTCTGAACCATTTACAAATTCAACCGTGGTGAATGATTGAGATGCTACAAATGCATTGGGAAGGTGAGGAATAAGCTTGGACCACTGCAAACCGTTTAAAATGAACTAGTTCTGTTTTTCACGTTTTTCAAGCAGTAAACATGCAAACAGTAAACATAAGGTACAGCATCTTTAATTATAGCACCTTTCCATGTTCCATTTTAAATCTCTAATCTAAATATAATACTTGCAAATGAACAAATGGAAATTAAATAGGGGAACATTAGGTCAGGCATCTCAATATGTTCTCCCAGATCATGTTGTCATTGTGTCCTTTGGCAAAACACCTAACATTACGTGTCTATGTATCAGAATACCTCTCATGCCTACCTTTATCAGGCTGCCCAATGGCAGCTGCAGGGTGTGTGGCCCACTGAATGAAAAATACTGTGAACTGTAAAGTAACACTGAGTATCATCAAACTACCATTACAAGTGCAAAAGTAAAATCTGATTCCACTTGTTCAGTGGCACTTTTCTCTTCTCGTCAAATGAACAATGTTAAAATCATCTTCTCTTGGTATTTACACTTTGAAAGGTGGTGTTTAAAAATACTGTGGAGCAAATGCCACTGTAAGACAAATATGAATAAAACATTGACTTGCTATTTGCATCGTTGCATAACAAGATGAACTGGGAGTTCAGAAATTGCTGTCAGTTTAAATTCTATTAACTATTTTCAACTTTCAAGTAATTTAAAGTGCATGTTTTTCTCATTGTGACATGGTTCTAGGGTTAGGCAGTTAATCATATTAATTTGATTAATTCGTATTTTTTGATAAATAACATTTTGAGAAGTTGCAGTTGTGAAATTGAAAAACAAGTTTCATGATTTTTTTGCCCATATCGAACGCCAGCTTCACCAAAATTAAAAAGATAGAATAAACAGGCAAGCTGTATAAATATAATGATGTTAACTTTTTTTTTTTTTTTTTGTAAAATCAGTAGTCATACTAATATGACATACTACTGTCACATGCACTTTAAAGGTCCTGTATTCCAAAAAGCACTTTACATCAAGGAAGCACTCAGCCATTCACACACACACATTCAAACACCAGTGTGCACAGACAGGGGATTAAAATCCCCAACTTTTGGATCAGTGGACAAACACTCATCAATTGAACTACTGTTGCCCCAAAATGGATTCTTGTGAGCTTTAAGCCATGTTATACTGCTGTTATCTCATCAAAAACATACCTGGAGCTGCATTTTATGTCATTCACACGTGTTTCAGTAATCCTTTATTAGTCTGTCTACCTCTCCAAAGCTTGAAATGCTCTGTTCCACCTTAGCTGTAGTTTTCAAGTTAACAGCTACCTTTAACCTTTAGCTCAATAAAGATTGGCAATTCCAGATGTGAAATCATCCAAATGATTCTAGTGAAGTTGTGTGGAGTTTAAAAACACAATGGAACACAAACCTTGTGATGTAATACAGGGAGGTATTACATCACAAGGTGGAGTGTCGAATGATTTGCAGGGTTTGTGTGTTAAACAAGTGTGAATGAAACAAAACAAAGTTCCTAGTATGTTTTTTGGTAAAGAAATACCGTTATAACTTAGATCAGAAAATAATGTAATATAGACCCTTTAATATTCTCTGTGTTTGTGTGCAGGCAGTAAGGTGAACTCACAGGCATGTAATGGGGAGAGCGTGCTGTCGGATGCAGCGGGTTCAGGAAACTTGGCTTGTATTAAGTTTCTTTTGGACAATGGAGCCAACCCAAACCTGCACAGCGCCACAGGACATCTGCCCATTCACAAAGCTGCATACGCCGGCCATTACGAGTAAGCTCCACTTTACATAGGCACTACTGCTATGAAGTAGTGTTGTCACAAATGATACTTTGCAGCTGATGTCACCAACATTCCCCGAGGGTGTGAAGCTAACTGAAAGCACTACTCTGTTAGCAGTTCTGTTGCTCGAGTTAGACTTAATCTGAACTTTATTTTCACACAGTCTGACACTTCAAACTCCACCCTTGCAAATGACTGTAATTGCAAACACTTGATTGTAATCAGGAGAGTTTTTTGTGATGTCACTGTCTACTCAAAATTGCAGAGGCCACTGAAGATTTAGGCGTTTTTGACCAGAGAGTTGTAAATTTGCCCAGTTTGTATTAAAATTGCAAGTAGATAATGCTATTAAAACACCCTATAAAAAGTTTAGTTTAGTAAAAATGTGGATTTAGTGTTTAGTTCCGCTTTAATTTATCTAGGGGACAGAGATAAGTAATATGTATGAAATATTCCACAAAACCTTTTCTTTCCCTTTTTTAACTATCCCTCTGTATTCCCACCAGTGCCCTGAAGCTCCTCATCCCTCTGACCCACAAAAAGGCCATCAAAGAGGCAGGCCAGAGCCCGGTCCACTCCGCCACAGAGGGAGGCCACAGCCGCTGCCTCAAACTCTTGCTTGCTTCTGGGTTTGATGTCAACTACCGCATGAACACCCGCAACTCTGAGAATTACCGTGACATGAGGAGGAGTGCGCTGTACTTCGCTGTTTCCAATGGAGACACAGAATGTACCAGGGTCCTTTTAGCTGCAGGGGCCAAGACAGACCTGGACCCTCTCTGCTCCCTCCTGGTGGCAGTTCGATCAGGGAGATATGAGATTGTGAAGTTGCTGCTAGCGGCTAAAGCAGACGTGAACTGTTATTTCAATGTAGTGAGTGATACAGTATTTCCAACAGCACTGCAGTATTGTCTAAAGGATGAGATGATGATGAGGCTGCTGCTAAACAATGGATACAAGGTAGAGACGTGCTTCCAGTGCCACCATGACAGCGGGCCCAGTGAACCCTACGAAAGGGAGGAGAAAATACCAGTAAGTGAAAAGTTATTTTAGTTGGAGGTAAAAATGAAAGGTGTAATCAAGTTGGAGCATGGTAATTTGAGCAGGAAATGGGCTAAACGCAGGGGCTGGTGAGTAATTGCAGTGGGTAGTTGCCATGAAAACAGCTGAAGTGTTGACTGACATAAGAATTTACATAATGCTGTTTTTGTAAGTAAATTAAGTGACAAGAACTATTTCTAAATATATCATTATATTTCATCAGACGATTAGAGAGAGGCTTAGCCATTTTGTTGGTGTGATATGCACTCTGTTTTGAGGGTTCAGATTTTCTACAGATGTAATGCCTGTGGCAATTATTTTTCATAGTTTTACATCAGTCAAGTGATACTTTGTGATGAAAAGTAAAAAAAAAAAAAAAATGAAAAAAGAAAATGGAGGGATTCCATCCATACAGAACAGAATTCTGTCCTATAAGCAATTTGTCTGGCAGTTTAAACATACATTCAACATTTTTATGGAATTGCCTCTGCTCAAGTCACATTTGCTGCTTTGTCCAGGTAAAATTCTAAACTTAACCAAAATTATTCTTCAAGGAAAAACTGCAATTATGCTACTGCATTTGAATCAAAAGACTACTCCACCTGTCATGTGCAGTTCAAAGCATGCATCAAATCCACTGCTTCTGTAAAACAGGTGTACTGGTTTTCTGCACCCTAATGTATTCAGAGTTGGCTTACAATTCTAATATGAACAAACTGTTCATAAAGTTTTCCTTTGTTTCCTCTTCAGTTCTGTGAGTTCATGAGCCTGTGCTGTATCGTGCACCTGTCTGGCAGGGTGGTCCTGACTCTTCTGGACTATGTCAAACACATACACATCTGCTCCACTCTCAGACTCATCCTGGAGAAGCAAAAGGAGTGGCCTGAAATCTGTTGCATCCAACGTGAGTCCCTCTGTGTAGTCAACTTTATAACTGTCTTTTTATTCAGTATTATGTATTAATGTTCATAAGGTAAAACTTAACTGGTTTTACAGGGTTTTTTTTTCAGTTGCTTTGGCAGTTTTATCTATTGACAAACATTTGCAATACAGCTCCCACTTAATCCTAAACAGGGTTGTGGTTTTCCTAGTCTGTACTCAGTGCTGAGACACTTTTCCCTGTTTGACTTGTGTAAAATCATTTGCCGTTAGATCTTTGAGGCTCACTAATTTTGCTTTGCCGTTCTGTTTGAGTTTTTATACTGATATATATATGATATGATGAGAAAAAACTGTAATATGACAACTCCTAATAGACAATGAAATGCTGAAATTAAGAAAGGTGCTTGTAATTAATATCATGATAAGAATTAAGATATGTAGTACTACAATAATTATACTTTTTTTTAAATTTTTTTATCAATATTACAATAATTTTAACAAAAGTGAACATCTAAAATTAGAAGAAGAATATAAACTGTGAAAGCTGCCTCAAAGTATTACTTTTAGTTTTCCAGGGCTATTTTATATAAGTTGTCATTTGATAGTTTGGTGACTCCTAGTGGCCACATGTGGTACTCTTAATGTTTTTAAACTTCCCACCTGACTGAAAAAATAATACATGCAATCATAATTAATAATCAAACTAAGTTGTCCCTAGAGTGATATTTTTTGTGGAGTTTAACACGTTGACATAGAAATACATTATAAAATAGGCATAGAACAAGAGGTGTGTGGGCAGGAGATATGACAGATACAGTTGTGATAGAAGTATGTCCATAACAGTTACCTAGCAACCATACTATAAACAAGGGCCAGTGCTTGTCTACTTTACACAGTTAGTTATTATTAGATGAATAAAACAACACTTTTATTTGGTAAAGTCTGTGTTCAGACTGCAAATTGAGTAGCTAAAGTAGTAAACTGAAGTAAAAGTAAGTAAATAAAAGAAAGAAAAGTATCTTAATATCACTGCTATCTAACAGAAATGGTTTGATCAGTGGTTTCAGAATTATGGATCTGCAGGTGGACTGTAGTATTTTAAATACATAAAGAGACACATTATGCTTAATTTATTGATGTATTTATTGTGACCAGAAAGGCTTTTGAAAGTATACTGGTTGAACTTCTCTTCTTTGAATCCCTCTAGTTTGTATGTTTATATTTTATTCAGACAAATTTGACCATGTATCTTGTAGCATCTTGGCCTGTCCATCAAAATAAACTCCAGACTTTTGTGTATCTCCCCTCAGGCAGCCCCCGCTCCCTCAAACACCTGTGCCGACTGGAGATCAGAACACGACTCACCCTGAAAAGATTGAACAACCTCGAAGTCATGAACTTATTCCCCCCAAGGCTCAAGAGCTATATCCTCTACCAGGAGCTGGACCTCTACAGCAGAGACCCCCAAAGCTACGTGTAAAAATGTGTAATTTTTTAAAACAATGTTGATAATCTTTTGTTATGGTGAGAGGGAGTGGAGTTTTAAAATGTTGTAGGCTATGTTAAGGTTTAAGATCTGGGTCCAAAAGTCCAAAAGCAGGACCCTTTCCAAACAAAATGGCACTTTTTAAACTCAGGCAGAATTTGAAGTGTTCAAATGTTGTTTAATAGTATTATCTGTCTTATCAAGAATATTTCAACAAATGCTGTGTTTATTTTATTATTTTGTTGTTTATGTTTTACTTGGGCAAACATTACATTTTCTATCTCATATTTCATAGGAGTATTTGATTGTAATGTCAAACAATTTTATTTAAATTGATTAAAAAAGGAACACAGACTGCCCTAAGACCAAGGCCCATAGCTCAGTGATTATTGGGTAAAAGTAACATTTCTTCAAAATAATGTGACTCAAATAGATGTACATAGTAGTAGTCTAAGAAATTACTCAAGTAAGAGTAAATGTATTTTGGGAAATAGCACTTGAGAAGAGTAGCATCTAATTTAAACTTTATGTAATTGAAAGAAAAAAACATTCAGTAATGCCCAAAATGTAGTATATTCTCACAAAAGTAGTAGTAATATCTGAAGGGGAGGTGCAAAAAACAGAAATGGTCAAATTGTTTGTAAAATTGTTTTGTTAATTAGTTGTTGTTAATTGATTGTTAATATAAACCTTTTGTCACTTACTCACAGAGGGAAGAGTAGCAGTAACATTTACTCAAATAAGAGTACTGTTACTTCCATAAACATATCAATCAAGTAGGAATAAAAGCATGCTTCTAAAATTACTCTGAAAAGTACAATTTATTAAAAAAAAAAAAAAAAAAAGTTACTCAAGTAAATGTAGCTGGGTTTTTTTTTTTTGATGGATAACAAGAATCAGTTATTCCAAGAAGAACAGTGAACTCATTTTGTTGAGACATACATCTTTTTTTCATGAATATGTTTCTGCACTAATGGGAAACAAACAGTAATTTCTTGTGCAGCAGGTGTCCATGTCCATCCATTATTCTGTTAGGCTTGACTGTTTAATCACACCATATATATTCCACTGACTGGACTTGGCAAAGCATGTTACGACACAAGAGGTGAAAGTTCAGCGCTATGCATTTCAATTTCATCTTGTAGCTACAAGAACTGTCAATCCCCTCTCTCCCCTCTTCGTGTTCCCTTCTGCCCATATTTCTACCACGTCTCATCAATCAGCTCCGTATCGCATCCCTCCGCGACGCAGCCTGACGCACGCACACATACTGTACCACATGAATCATAACGGCGCTATAAATATTCATACGAGAGCGCGGATCATTACTGTTTGTCATTAGCGGTGGGAAAATGTGCTCTGGGGGGAAGTTTCAGACCATTAAATGCAGAGGAGCAGGCAGCATGTTGAATACGCGGGAACAGGTGAGGCCTATAAATAGTGCGCGGGGCTGAGGGGAGCGTGGGGAGCGGGGGCGCGGGGAGACGTACACACAGCGTGCACCGGCTGCCTCTGCGCCCCCCGACTTCAATAATGACGGATTTAGAACAAGGTGAGAGTTGGTTGTTTTTAGGTTTACAAGTGGTTAAATAGTCTGCAGAGTTCTACACATTGCATGATCAAATAGTTTACAAAAGTTTTGGTTAGATCTATGTGTTAAGTTCTCACAGTTCCAGGCCAGCGTATAGCACCCAGTGGCTACTGTCAATGCTATGGAGGTCAATGTCAAAGCCAAACATATGGACAAGTCTCGTTACAAGTTATAATGCGCTTATAATGTCCATCAGCAGGAGAATAAAGTGTACACAATCGAATACCAAAGCATGACTGCAGTGGTGGAGCATGCAACATGTGTTCTTCTTCCAACACTCAACACAACATGAGGCTGCCAGGCTGGTTACTGTATGTAACTGTATGTACTGTAGACAAGGGTGCCCCCTGTTGGTGTGCAGATGTATTGAATTTAAAGCGCCCCTCGTGTGAAGGTAAATTTAGTAAAGCCAGAGAGCACAAATATTTCTTATTAAAAGTAGAATTACTATCATTTAATAGAAATAGTAGATCACGTATGTTGATAAAAGTTTTTTGGTGGAGGATCTGCCACCTGCGCCTCCATGGAGATTAGGTGTGTGCAAAAATATCCATATATTGATATATTGTATCATTTAATGTGATGATACAGTATCTATATTGTGGACTGTGTTGTGTTTACTAGTAATGAGTATAATAATTTATATGTTATTACAAACATATACGCCTTACCTGTAGAGGGCAACAGGACATGAAAAGAGGGAAACTTGAGTGAAAAAAAAGAGATAATACCATTGTAATGTACCCATGCCATAAACTGCACTCTCCACATTAAATGTTAATGAAGATTTACCAAGCCTTCATTTTCTTCTACACCACCAACATAACAGACTGCTGTATCAAGATGTCGCCAAGAGTATTTTTTGGGACTTTTTACCAAATAATTTTGTTACAGTGGTACAGTTTTGTTGCTTGTTCAGAAGAAGGAAACTCGTTTATGCAACACATTTGACATTTTCACTGATTTGATGATTAAAATGGATGTGTTTTAAATTAACTTTGCACAAGATTAAGTTTAATAAAGACTTTTAGTATCACAGCCATGATTTAGCCTTTATTTTTTATTGAACCATATCAAATCGATTTGAAATATATCGTCTCGAATTGAAATCTCACTGTGTCCAGATATGTATCGTATCGTGACCTGTGTATTGAGGTATGTATCATATTGGCATCTTCTTCCAAATGGAGATGTTTTGCTTGCAGTGTTCAACAGTAAGGCTTTAAAAGCGTATCTATCTCCTATCTCCAAGCAGGCGATGCCACAAGCCAAGTGAAAGGTCAGATCTATGGAAAGACAAGCCCAGTCTTAATAAGAATGTGCATTTTTCAAGGTATTTCTGAGCAATAAAAACACTGGTAATTAAATAAATGCAATATAGATAAGCTTAATGCCATGCTGTGGAACATTCCAGGTAACGCAATAACATCTCCATGCAGATCCTCCATCAGAAAAGTTAATGTACCTTTAACATATGTTGGTAAAGATAACAGTAGTAAATGTGTTTTTTGTTTTTTTTAATCTGACGCAACCATAACTGTACAATATAAAACAACACAACACACTATATAATATCATTTTCACTGTGACAGATGTGAAGCCAGCAGAGGACAGTGATGATGAGGCACTGCTGGATGCTCAGGTTCAGTTGTTGATCCAGGAGTCATGTCAGGCCCACCACCGGGCCAGACCAAGCAGCAGGTTAGAGCCAGTCAAATACCTGCACGTGTTTTGTCATAGTATCTGAACGTCTGTATCTTTTTACAGGAGCAGTGAATATGTGAATCTAGTGGACGCCATCAAAAAATGTAAAGATGCAACTATTGAAGAATTCTATGTCAGAAAGGCTATTATTCATAACTTGTTTATCCTGCCCCTGTAGGTGACTTGGTGGCTCTGCAGGAGTTGTGTGAAAACCCAGACGCCTTCAGTCAGGTGGACAGTCGTGGCTGGTATCCTCTGCACTGGGCCGCTGTGCAACCTGTGGTGGAGGTACTGGAGACAGTCCTATATGGTGGGTAAGACTTTTCAATTCTAATAGACATTCACATTCATAACATTCTCAACTGTCCATAGTGAAATTGAGCTGGAGGTCAGAATTCGGTGGTAGAGTTTGACTTTTACCTGTGTGCAAAGGCGCAAAGGTGCAAAGTTCTATGTATTGTCTTCCAGCAAAAATTAGCCAAGATGGAATAATTTTTTTACTATAAAAAAAATATAAATTTCTAACAAAACTTGAGGTTTTGTTAGGAGGTTCAACATTTTTGAATCTTGTGTTTGGTTATTTCTTTCAAAAGCAGTTATTCTCAACTATGTTATGTCCCTACCCTCTGAACATCATATCAAATGATATAATGACATGAACTGATAGTAGTAAAATGTCTTTTTTTTTGTTTGGTAGCATCTTGTCGGCTGACGCTGGAGGAGACCACAGTTGAAGGAGAGACGTTCCTGACCTCTGCGGTGAATGCTGGTTTGGTCGACAATGTGAAAATGTTACTCAAACATGGAGCCTCCCCTCACACCACCAACAGCAGGAATGAGTCTCCTCTGCTTCTAGGTCAGAAAAATATGCTTCAAACACATGCTAACCTAGAGCCATTGCACTCATCAAAAGTATTTTTATTTGGAAATAACCATGATCTTAAAATATGGTTTTAATAATGTTTTACAAAAAGAACAATGTGCCTTTATACAATATTCATTGCAGAATATGGGTTATTTTTATAGACTTAAGAATCAAATCTTGGTTTTAATATTATGGTTCATAGATTGGATTCCATTATTTAAAGTTGCTATACATAATACTTGAGGTTGGGGTAGGGTAGGGTGATCAATTAATCAGTAACTAAATAAATAGTGCCAACAACTCAAGTCAGTATTCAATATTCTCATTTCAATCAGCTGAAGTCACTTGAACAGTGTGTTAGCTGTATGCTATAATGGGTTTGCTTACACACAAATCAATAAGCAGCTCTTCTCTCTGTGTGATTGCCCTGTGCAGCAGTCAGATCAGGATCTCGTAAAATGGTTGCGACTGTGTTAAACGGAGGGGCTCGTGTGGGGCAGGTGTGTCTAAAGAAGTGGACTGCCATGCATGAAGCGGCCATGACGGGGTACGCCCACATCATGGAGCTGCTGCTGTCCAATGGGGGGAAGGTGACTGACACTGACCAGCATGGAGTCACCCCTCTGGGCATCGCTGCAGAGTACAGCCGCGCAGAGGTCCTGGAGATACTCATCAAAAATGGTAAAAAAGAAGAAAACCTTTATTAAACCAGCCCGAGCAAAATGGGTCACTAGATGTAAGGGTTACTTCAAATAACAAAAGATAAACAAAACTAAAGGTGGGAGATATTAGGGTTGTCAAAAGTATTGATCAGCAAATACCAATACTAAACTACATATTAATTTGAGAAGGTATCAATACTAAGTTAAAGCTGCACACAGCCCTCGCGGACCGGGCCTCTTACTCGGCCGACCCGGCATTCCCTCAGGATGGTGCTGACGCACCACTTGTCTCTGTGTTATTGTAACTTTGGGTTGTGGTAGTGAGCAGACAAAGTCAAGACAGACTGGAAGTGCTGACATGCAAATATAGTAAAACATGGGCACTTACGTGGGCACAAATACAATGAACCTCGAAATTTCACGTTCTCCAATTAAACTAATAAGATGTTGTATTAATTTGAAATGTAATAAAATTTTGACATTTTGCCATTAGAATAACATGGGTGACTTCTGCATGCGTGAACAGGGGCAAATTTTGAAGTGGGAAAATTTCAAAATTTCTGATGGAAATTTGTGGCTTCACCACACGTAAACCATGAGAGTTATCATAATAAACTGGCAAACTTTTGCCCCACTTCTCTAGATGACATACAATGCTTTTTAGGCCTGTCGATGAAGCACCTTCAGAGCCTACACAACACACCTTCAAAACATGCCTGATGAGGTTTTATGCCATCCATACATGTCTAAATAATTTAGCAATCTCTCCCGGGCCCTATTCTAACCCTTACAACTTAACTTACAGTTAGCTGTATGGTTTTGTCCACAAGTTCACATTACCCATCCTCTCACATGGATATTTTCCATAAACTTACAAAAGCATGATACATAACAAAGCTCTTACAAACGTGATGTGATGTGCAGTAGCTTCATCAGCGAAAGGCACGCTGATTGTGTTGTGATAGCTCTCTGGAGGGGATGTGACTGCGTGAGAAGCAATGGGAGGGGGACTGAAAGTGTCAAGAGTGAAAGTGAAACTTATGAAACATGATAAGTTGTTTTTGACTAATATAGAATTTTCAAAACAATAAAAGGTAACTTGATCTACATATGCAATGTGTTAACAATTAATACCCTATAGAAGTATAATTCTCCCTTTTTAATAAACAATCTAATATTCAGGTGCAGTAAATGAAAATATCCAGGTGCAAGGAGTTGTGACTTAGTTAAAAAACAGTACAAAACAATTTACACAAAACAATTTTTAGATTTTTTTATTGCAGGAAACAATTTCTGACTCATTCAAGTCAGCATGCAAATTGTGACACAGTAGGAGGCAGATGATGGGGAAAAGTTGAAAATAGCTGCATTACATAAACTAAAAGCTTGTTATAAAATGTCACTTTTATTTTTGTTAAAAAATGTCCCTTTTTTCTCTGATTGAGGCGCTGATGTGAACGCTCAGGCTCCAAATGGTGACAGTGTCTTGTACGATGCGACTGGTTCTGGAAATCCCGACTGTGTGAATATCCTCCTGGAGCATGGGGCCAATCCCAACATGCACAACCTGAGTTTCCAGCTGCCCATTCACAAAGCTGCCTATGAGGGCCACTATCTGTAAGTAACAGTCGCTGTTCAGTTCATGTTACTGACAATGGTTGACAGATGATGTAAATTTGTGATGGATTGTATATTCATACTTAAAAAACATTCTTACTATAAACAGGCTTGCCTCTCCATATATCTGACCTGTAACTTGGTTTGATTACCACATTACTTGCTTGTCTCCATAAAGTTAGTAAGTTAAAGCTCCTATATTAAGCAAAATGAACTCTTGTAAGCTTGAACCCATGTTAGAATGTTGCTACCTCAACAAAAGCACCTGGAGATGTGTTTTGTTTCATTCATACATGTTTGAGTAATCCTTTATTATTCGTCTGTCTACATCTCCAAAGCTCAAAAGATGGAACAGTGTTTTCAGTTTGAGAGAAGAACTGAGCCTAAATATTCAGGATTTGTGTGTTAAACATGCGTGAATGAAACAAAACACAACTCCAGGTATGTTTGTGATGAGGAAACATTATAACATAGATCAGAAAATAGCATAATATGGGTTCTTGTCAAACTCTGGAACATTTCAGGCTCTAGTTCTAGCATCTACATAAAGGCAAGCAGGTGGGAGACCTCAGTCAGATGGGTTACATAATGCATCTTTAAGTGATCATAAACAATATGTAATTATGAATTTAGTTCAAAGCAAAAAAAAAGTGTTGCATTATGGCCACAGAGTACATGGTGGGCTGTGTACCCGCATGTCGTGAGATTGATCACTAATTATTTGATAGTGCTGAATGTCCCTCACTCTTCAGCCCCATAAGTAGTGTAGTTGCTATCCTCCACAATTTAATCCTGTGTGTCCACTGTGTCCTTTAGAGCCTTGCGTACACTGATGCCACTCACCACTCGTCGAGCTCTGCGATTGGCCGGTCAGAGCCCTGTTCACTCTGCGGCAGATGGAGGCCACGCCCACTGCCTGGAGCTGCTGCTACAGAACGGCTACGATGTCAACGCACTGTTAGCTCCTCATGTCTCCGAAAACTACGGCGACATGAGAAGAAGCCCTCTTTATTTTGCTGTTTGTAATGGTGATAGGACATGCACAGAGTTATTACTAAACTCTGGAGCCCAACCCGATCTGGACCCGCTGAGCTGTCTCCTGGTGGCGGTGCGTTCAGGGCGGTACGAAATAGTGAAACTGCTTTTAGCGGCTAAAGCAGATGTGAACTGTTACTTCACTGCAGTCACAGACACTGTATTCCCCACGGCTCTGCTTTACTGCCTGAAGGATGAGGTGATGATGCGGCTGCTGCTGAACCAGGGCCTTGACGCCGAGAAATGCTTCTGCTGTTCCCATGACGACAGCTGGGACGACCACGTGGAGTACAGCCATGACCAGGAGGAGAAGGCTACTGTGAGTTTTAATACATATTTATATCATATTGCAGCAATTGTCCAATGCCACAACAAATGAGTGCTGGTCAAACTAATTTTAAAGGTTCACTATGTAACTTTTCTGGTGGGAGATCAGCATTGCACATTCATATTTTATTTAATTACAGCTGTTGGAACAAAAAAAAACCCAACAACCTTCAAACCTGAAAACCTGCTTTTGTTTACTGTAGTGGGTTGGCTTCTCTGCAGATCTTATGTGTAACTACTAGGTCTGGAGGAATCTCTATGGAGATAGCCAGGTTTAATTTAAAACTGATCAACATCCAAGGCAATGAAATTGATTTTGACATATAAAAGATGCTCTTCACAAAAATCATATTTTCTCCATAACTGTATTCTCCAAGGATCCATACTAGGAACACTTGGCTTTCAACACAATGTAGCACTTTGTGTGATAAGTAATATATTACTATGCTATTTTTTTGTTTTAGTTCTGTGACTTTGTCAGTCTGTCATGGCTTGTGAACTTAGCCGGTCGAGTGGTGTCCATCCTCCTTGACTATGTTGGGCAAGTTTCTCTCTGCAACAAACTGGTAAAGATTTTGGAAAATCAGAAGGAATGGTCCCAGATTCAGGAAATTATATGTAAGACTAGACACTGTTATGGCATTTACAGACAGATAAATGGATGAGTTTCAGTATTATCCTTTTATTCTGTTTTGTTCCAGCCATCCCCAGACCTCTGTCCCATCTGTGCAGAGTGGTCATCAGGAGACATCAGGGCTGCCACAGCATCAGTTTTCTCAAAGCACCAAACCGAATCAAAGACTATCTGCTGTTTAAAGAAAATGATCTGTATGGAAAAGTCCTCTGTAGGGACAAATAAAGAGACTAAACATAGACTATAGCCTATGCCCTATGAGCATCCATCAACATTAGGGCCCCCAATAGTAAACAAGTCCACTCAGTCATATAGTCAGAGGGGGTGTGCTGTGATGTCACTCCATATTAATAAAACATAATAGTGGCTATAGAAATACATGTTAGCCCAGCATTATTTTGCTAGATTTACCTTAGTCCAGATTGTTTTGCATAATTATCAGATATTTACAGAACTGTGCATGTTGTCAACTTATCAGATCTAATGTAAATAATACCATATTTTTCTAACCTAAACACATTTATATTTATGTAAAAAAAAAAAAAATATTATAATAATAAAAATAAACCTAAAGCCACTTATATGTATGTGAAAATTATTCTCGCAACATATTCTTAAATGTGCACTTACATTTGACATAATTTCCCCATATCATACCATTCTTACATCAATAGCACATTTAATCAGCAATCAGACTCATGAAAAGCCACTATTGAATAATTACAGTATAGTGCACTAGACCTTGGCATAGCCTCTTAATGGTCTGAAAAACTGCCACTTAAAACCAGATCACTGAACAGAGAATAATTACAAGTCAAATAATTGTTAATGGGTTGTGCAATAATAGGCTCAAACTGTGTCTACTTATATTTTTGACTTTGTTTTATGAAAAGGTCAAATAAAGAATTAAATCATTTTAATGTTGTATCCTCGTGTGTTATAAAGTCTGGACTATTCTGTGTCAAATATATTTTAATATTCTTCTATTATATAATGGCAATTGACCCCATCCCATCTAACAATCCAATCTATTTTTCATTCATTTCACTATCAGTCAGGTCATCACGACCTTCATTGCACCTCGAGACAAAATCTAACAGAACATTGCAATCAGCATAGTTTATTTGAGTGACGCATAATAAATGACAGAGCTCAGAGGTCGTCTGTTATTTTTGTTTATTTTCTTTATCAGTCTCCTTTCTTTTTTTCTCTTAAGTAAACTCACATCATAAAGTTGTCATATTAGCAGAGGTGGGTGGTACTCTTACTCAATTACATTTACTTGAGTAACTTTTAAAAGAAACTTTACTTTTCCAGAGTACTTGAAGCATACTTTTACTCATACTTGAGTAATATTTTTTATTGAAGTCACAGTACTCTTACTTAAGTAAAAATGTTGGTGACTTCTGTGAGTCTACAAGTGACAAAAGATTTATGTTGACAATATTAAATTACTCTTTAAGCTACTCTTACTTGAATATTATCTTTTCCAAATACTTTTTACTCTTACTTGAGTGATTTCTTGGACCGCTACTTTTTACTTCTACATGAGTAATATTATTTTGAAATAACATTACTTTTGAGTACAATTTTTAGCTACTCTACCCACCTCTCCCTATTGGAGTAGTTTGTGTGTTTGGCAAGCATTTTGACCTAAAATTCTGGCTTCAACTAAAGATGCTTGTGTACGTTTTTAAGTATTTTGGCCCTGCATGGTCAGTATGCAGCTATAAACATATATAACTATATACACAACATATAAAAGAAACATATATAATATAATATATAGTGCATAATAGTGCTAAATTAAAATACAATACAATTATAAATATCTAGAAAATGTCTGTAATGATTTGTATGTGTTCACCTCATAGTGTGAAGTTGTGGTCTGTTTCTCTGGCTGTCACCTTGATAGACTAAATTAAACCTCGTGGCCCAGAACCCCATATAACAATAACACCATTATTTTGGCAGGTCACAAAGCAATCACACCTCTAAAACTAAATCAAGACTTAACAGCAACCCAAAAATATATCAGCACTAAAAGTTGGATTAAGTCATATTTGGAAAGTTCCCAAAAGGGCTGTGTAAAAGTTAAGAAGTCTAGTTTGTAATTAGTTTTCCAGTTGTGCTCATGTTATAATTTGACAATAAGTACTGGCTTTGGACAGTAATCTTTGCCAATTCCAGTTCAGAGGTCAAATTTACAACAGATTTAGGTTCAGGCCGCTGTCATGTCACTCATCGTGTTTCCACTTGATGTGATATGTGATACATTGCTGCTGGTTTAAGGCCTGTGGTGATGAGTGACTGTCTGTTTCCCAGGCGACCAAACAACAACAAATCACCATATCTCCAAACAGTACTATCACAGACATCATGGAACATTTGTTGGTAATAGATGCCTTCTTTTTTTCCAAGCTAACACCTTTGCGTGATAGTCATACTGGGGTTGCTTCCTCAGAAACAATATGGTTTCTATAACCCATCTTCTTCAGTGCCATTCCAGTTTGACGAGCCAGACACTACAGTAACCTTCTGTTTGATTGCATGGGCAGGAGTCTAGCACTCTGCTCGCAGCAAATTATTTCTCCAAAAGGTTTGGTGGCAAACCAATCAAAGCTGTATTTGTCTCAGATGCCCCATTTTCTTTGAAATATCTCTGGGATCATTCTGATCAGTGTAAATGACCTCTCTCAGTGGGCAGTTTCTCGTTTGTCTGCTTGATCTTTGATACTTTTCAAACTTCTTTTAAATGTAAGATACAGTTTTTTTCTGATACAGACAATACATTTCTCTGATTGAGGAATTGCTTGTCACAGCCATTGGAACTGAGGTCTCAGACCTTATGTCTTTAAGACAAAGCATGTGTCTCAAAGTGGAAGAGCAGCAGCTCTACTCTGAGTTCCCAGTGGTGACTTATATCTCTTTCTGGCATCTGTTAAAATGTTATGTATGTATGTATATGTATGTATGTATGTATGTATGTATGTATGTATGTATGTATGTATGTATGTATGTGTATGTATGTATGTATGTATGTATGTATGTATGTATGTATGTATGTATGTATGTATGTATGTATGTATGTATGTATGTATGTATGTATATGTATGTATGTATGTATGTATGTATGTATGTATGTATGTATGTATGTATGTATGTATGTATGTATGTATGTATGTATGTATGTATGTATGTATGTATGTATATGTATGTATGTATGTATGTATGTATATGTATGTATATGTATGTATGTATATGTATGTATGTATATGTATGTATGTATGTATGTATGTATATGTATGTATATGTATGTATATGTATGTATGTATATGTATGTATGTATGTATGTATGTATGTATGTATGTATGTATGTATGTATGTATGTATGTATGTATATGTATGTATGTATGTATGTATGTACGTGTCTCCTGTGCCTCCTGTTTTGGTCAGTTTTTTATTTCATAAATCTGGCTCTTCAATAGCACTGCTAGTGTAGTGCTAGTAAATATTGTCTAATAGTGTAAACAAAGTAGATGCTAAGGAGCAGTTCATATGTTGTTATGCCCAGTGTAAACAAGTCCACCCATTTCTATCTCACAGCTCGCCTGGACATAACCACACCTTCCATTGGGACCACAAGTGCTTCTAAACCTCTTCTCCAGTCAACACATTACATAAGTGTGCATCCCAAGGCTCCCTTTAGGGCTGCAGGTTCATTTGTGTTTGGGCACGAGATGGTGAGGAGTCCAGAGCCTCGACCAATCACAGCACTCACATACCAGCACAGAGATTATATTGTTGACCCCTGGTGTCCAGTGTACTAAAAACAGACTATCCCATGAGAGGAGGGGTGTGAGGGGTGCATGAATGCTTTGTGTCTCAGATGGTCTTCAGATCTCTGCTGTAGGACACTGAGATACATCACAGCATCCTGTAGAGCACACTTCATGGACCACGAGTCTACCCTCAGAATTTTTCATTTCTAAGGTAAGTGAACCCAATGCATTTAGAAAACTTTTAGTTATGACACTGATGTTGACTTAAACTTTGTAAATTTAGCAACACTTCTTTCACAAACCAATGCAAACATAAAAAATACATTTAAAATTACCAACTTACAGAGATTTTAAGCAGATCTTGTGAAGTTTGTTTCAGTAACAATTTGATTTTTCTAGCTAACATAGTATATTTTAGGCTTTGTAGATGCTTAATATGTATTTGAAGTTCTATGCAGTACTTTGGTGTTGGTAACATGTGCCATACAGATTAACTGGATTGGATAACACAATGCCACAACTTGCAGTTTCTTTTTTTTTAATCTTTTTTGTGTTCACATAAGTAGTAATATCTCATACCTTTTGTACTTAGGAAGGGCATTTAGGGTAAAAAAGAAGCCTAAAAAACATAGATAATAGATAGATAATTGCATTTATGTAATCTTCTTATGTTAACAGTACCATTTCTCCCATCAGCTCTGACTATGTTTGGTTACCGCCGGGAGCTGAGGAGGTACGAGGAGGTGGATGAGGATGAGCTGCTGGCCTCTCTGTCTATGGAGGAGATCCAGGAGCTGGAGCAGGAGCTGGATCATCTGGACCCAGACACCAACATCCCCATTGGGCTGAGACAGAAGGACCAGACTGCCAAAGCACCAGGGGGCACCTTCAACCGTGAGGCTCTGCTCAAGTACTGGGAGGAGGAGAACAAGAAAGCTGATACAGGAGGAAAGAGAGGAGACCAAGCCCGCTCAGGTGAGGGAGGAGGAGGGGTCGGTCTGGCTGATGTGTGGCTGTTTTTGGAGTCAAGTCAGAGAGCAATTCTTCTGTTATATCAGTGGTGTAATACTTATTCCTAAGTACTATGAATCTGTCACTTAAAAAAATCATTCTATAATCAAATACTACTCAAATTCACCTTCCTTTCAAATCAGAAATGAAAAGTACCCCCTGGTTGGGAAACACCGCATGCCAAAATATGTGCTGATCTGAAGTCTGGATAAATTAGGATGTCTGCAATTATTGTTTGGAGTACATTTCCTTTATTAGGCTCCTTTCAGTGTTTACTGGTGCACTATGTAACTTTTCTATTGTCTCCATGGAAATAACATAGTTTTGCCTGGAATGTTCCACAGTATAGCACCATGGTATAGATATTTTGCATGTTTTTGTTGTTGTTGTTTTCTCAATTGTAGATGCATTAGTCTTACAATGAGCTGCTCTCCTACGCACAGCTCTAACCTGTAACTTGGCCTGGACACACCTGCTCGTTTCCATGGAGATATACAAGTTTAATGCCATAGTTTGGCTCATTCCAGGCGTGGAGTCAAGCACGTGGTAGACCATTCTCCAGAAAAGTTGCATAAATGCTGCCAAATCTAATGCTGCTAATTAGCCATTACAGCAAGTACCAGCAGAGGGCGACAGACATCAAATCCAAAGAGAAAGTTAAGAACACTTTTTCGATAAGATTTTTAAGTTTGAAAAACCAATACAGCAGAGTCAAAAAGTATTTTATGAATCCTGAATAGAGACTAGTGAGGGCGAGACATGTTTGAAGTCTCTTAAGTGGCTAAGTTTCATGGACAACAGTTTTTGGAATATAAACTATAAATGCTTAAGACACTGACTGAGTTATTCCTGCTTCATTAAATAATATCTCTGAATTGTAATTTTCCCCAGACCTCAGCCCTATGCGTGTTGACTGAAACGGTCTAAAAATATGATGTGAGAGAAATGCCAGCTTTAATGAGTGTGTGGCAGGCCAGCGCTTGAGTGGCTTCTTAATTAAAAGTCAGAGGCTGCTGAATGTCAAAGCTGGGCCTAATTTTATATCCTCCTGTCATTGTGTCCAGAAGGAGTCACAAGATAAGAGCTGCCTGCGGGGGGAGCTAGAGACGCCCAACGCAAACAAGCCAACCTCCAAGAACAACGAGAAGAAAAGAGTTACGCAAAGAAGCAAGCCGGCGCAAAATGGTTCTACGAAAGATGATAAGAAATGCTCAAAGAAAGTGGAATCCAAAGTAGCGAATCCTTCGAAAAGTGACATAAAAATTCCAAAGTTAAACATGGACAAGCCGAGTGAAAACCCCATCGTCATAGATACGGCGTTGGAACAGATATTAAAAAATGACCCAACTTTGATTGAAGTAAATCTCAACAACAAAGAAGACATTTCCCAAGATATTTTACTACGTTTTACCGAAGGTCTTTGCTCAAATACTTACGTCCAGTTCTTCAGTCTTGCCAATACACACGCCGATGACAAAGTGGCGTTTGCAATCGCCAAGATGCTACAAGAAAATAGCTCGGTTAAAAACTTGAATATTGAATCCAACTTTATATCCGGACAAGGCATCCTAGCGATAATGGGAGCATTGCGACAAAACCAGACATTGGTTGAGCTAAGATTTCACAACCAAAGGCATATCTGTGGCGGGAAAGCGGAGATGGAGATGATCCAGATGCTAAGAGAGAATGCCACGTTGCTAAAGCTAGGCTATCAGTTTGAGCTACCTGGTCCCAGAATGGCGGCAACAAGTATCTTAACACGCAACCAAGATCAACAACGACAAAAGAGAATGCAAGAAAAAAAGGCTCAAGAAGAGGTAGTTAAACAAGTTACAAGCCAATTGGTAGAAAATAAGACACAGAAAAAAACAACGCAACCTGCAAAAACTGTGGAGAAAACAAAGAAGAGTCCAACGTCTTCGAACCAAGAATTACCAACGAGAAAGATCGCAGAAATGGTCAAGCAAAAGGAAGCAGGCAACAAAGTTCAGATTCGGAAACCCAAGACAAAGAAAGTGAAAAATGACACCAATGAAAAGGAGAGTGAGGACATTTTGAAGGAGCTAAGGAACAACCTGAAGCCTTCGGTAAAAAGACGAGAAGAAGCGTCCAGTCTTCCTCCACCACACAGATCTGAGAGGGACGATCTGATGGCGGCCATAAGAGGGACCAGTATGTTCTCACTGAAGAGGGTAAGACGCCAGTGTTAATGGGGCAATATGTACATTTTCTGGTAGAGGGTCCAAAACCTGCTTTGAGATGTTTGGCTGGAATGTTAGAGTATGGTATCATCTATCACCATGGAGACCAGCTGGTAACGAAACCAAGGTAAGTTTTACAGGTCAGATCTGTGAGAGGCGAACCCGCTTACAGCAAGAAATTAAGAAGCAATAATGCATGATAAATAGGTTTAATGCCATACTGTGGGAAATTCCAGGCCAGTCAATAGGAAAAGCAGGTGATGGACCTCCTCTTTCAAGAAAAGTTACATAGTGCTTCTTTAATATTAAATGGACTATGTCTCAAGAAAATTTGAAAGAAAAAAAAAAAGAAAATTACATGCATTTCTGTTCAATTCCTTTAAGAAGGAACTGAAGTAAGCTTCTCAGTGATCAATCAGCAATACAGAAATCAGCAATGCAATGTAGGGAGGAATTTGATTAAATGGCCCTCTCCTCTGTGGTCTAGACAAAAGTAATAAAGAGGAGACAGAGAGGATGAGGTGGATGATGGTTCTGGTGTTGCACAGTGTTGAACTGGCAAGTTGATAAAAACAAGAGAGAGAGAGAGAGAGGAAGAGGCTCGTGAGGTGACTACAGGGGGTATAGCAGACAGTTTGGCAAGCAGTGATTAGTGCGAATAATGATAAATAAATTCTTCTGTACTCTGCAGTTTTGCTACAGCTTGACTATGCTGTAAATAATATTGTAGTAGAAGTCTGATGGCTTTTGTCAATGGGATGATTTACTCTGCCACTTCCAAATGTTGTTGTTTACTTGAGCTAATGAAGTGAATGGCGGGCCAGCATTCATAACTTTTGTTAAATAGGCTACATACCAGGATGTGTTAAGAGTAAATTCATATAAAATCCATATAAGCAACATGGGTGTTTCCAATAAAACGCTTCTTTGTTTTCCTCAAGTCAAAACATCAGACATAATTGTTGCCTAAAAACTCATTCTGGGCTTCTGTGACAGTTGACATGGGCAGATGACAGGAGCTGTCAGTCTGTGGATTCCTCTGGTCCTCGTCACGTTAAAAATAGAGCCACTTCTTCAGTCAGTTTGATAAGAGGAGGCAGACGGGAAATCGACAAATTACTGTGATTACTCAAACAAAAGATCTATTTAGAACATTAAGAAGAGATTGCATGGTTTTTCCCAATCAAAAAGTCAAGTTACGCTCTTTACTTAATTATGAGTGACTAAATTATGAAAGACCACAAAAATTATCTACAATTAATTTTAGTATAAAACATGAAATATTACATTTAGAATCAATCTGAATTAATCTTAATTATTGTAATTTCAGGTGGATTTGTCAAAGACATGATCTGACCTCTGCTGAAGATGTTGCCATCACTTGTTGATTTTGTCTTTATAAGCACCTTTTAATGTTTGTCACTCCACCTACAAGCATTGGATGTACATTTTTGTGTTCTATCGACTGCCGTGTACAAATAAAGTCTGTTTTGTTACCACGTCTCTGTAGCAAGTCACATGACAGAATATTTTAAAATCTTAACAGTGCAATTCACAGATCGAGATAGATTTTCCTCTAACATTTTCTTAGCTCAAAGTCCTGGGTTTGATTCTCGGACCATGAGGGATCTATGGGTACTCTGGTTTCTCATGTTAGGTAGTCCAGTCCAAGATATAGGCACAAGATCTGAAGACGGGTCTTTTGAAGAGTTGAAAGTGGACAGTCAAATGAAGAGGATACATTTCCCAATTTCCACAGTCTGAGATAGACCAATATAATGGACCAATGTTTGCTTTTTTAGAAAACAGACCAGCCTTTAATCTCCATCAGAGACTAATATGGGTTTGCTGTGAAATGGTGTTTGCAATTTCAAATCATGTATATAAAAGCATGTCATTTGGGCAAAATGATCAAAATTTGCTCTACATATCTGCCCAAAAATATTGACACAGCTTATCGGCCATTGTTGCTCTGGTTTTTAAATGCTCTGCATTGACCATGGAAAGAACTACATCGATTGATCTTTGTAGTTTAAGAAATACTGATCTAATATATTACCATTCCTCAAGTATGTAAACACCTTTATAAACTCTGAATTATACAAGTAAAAATAAAACATTCACATTTAAGTTTACCGTATTTAGTTCCAATCGTGACTAACCAAGGGGGCAGTAAAGTCAATACAAAATACATAATACACCACAATACAATGAATTTACCGTCTTCAGAAGATGGTGCTGGTTCTGACTGAAATGTGGTTAGAACCACAAGAATGATTACACGGGTAGAAGAATAAAGTGACATGACATCTTTGTAAATATTAACATTTATTTAAGTATACAATTTAGTATTCTGGCCCCTCCCTCCCGCCCCATTCACAGGTTCAATGTCAGTTATAAGGGCTTGTCGATGCAGCATCAGGCCTCAGCTGGAGGACGGTAAAAACGATTTTAAGACGGACAGTTAAAACGATTCTCACGCGCATCGCCAAGCTGCTCGCGCACTTTTGGTTCTTCATGGTTATTTGCTTTTTTCTCCATGTGGAGGCATTTACAGTCATGTTGCATAACATTGTACAGTTTGTTAAATCATAGACAGGAGAAGAATAGGAGTAGTAACATTTGTCTATAGTATTCTGTCATATATTACTTATTATAATGTGACACTATTTGAAATAATGACCGGAGCACAGCTGTAACAAAAAAAGGTAACAGTGAAAAAATATAAAATGCCATAGTTTTCAATTGCAATAGTCTTCAATGGGCATGGAACAGTTTGTGGTTAAGGCTATTGAAGAATTCAAGCAGAGTTTGTACTATAAACAGGCTTTATATTAAACTAGTTAATACATTTTAACTATTTTAAAATCACATTTAGAAACCAGTACAAGCAAGCATTTTGTATATTCCAAAAATGTGAATTGCTTTGATAGTGTGCAATGATGAATTTTAAAGTTATAGGCTGGGTCCTCCATAGTCCCTAACCCCTCAATCATTACATAGCCCTGCACTCTTTAGTATTTATTATTTCGAGCACTCACAGAGCGATTTGGACAAGCAGCCCTCTACACATTTCAGTCAACTTTACACACAACGGTTGATTTAATTGTGTTTTATTCTTCAGTCAGTGTGCTGTTGTTGTCGTCGCAATGCATTGTGTCTATATTGACCAGTCTAGTGACCAGCGCTGCACAGAGGGAAATTTTGAGTGCACTATTTTTTCACAAACTGGATACCAATTTGGACAACACTAAAAATGGTGATACCCCAAATAGTGCTTTAAGTAGGGAATAATGTGGACATTAGGACACAGCCCTAGATTTACAGTTAAAATGAGTTATACTGACGTTTCCAGTTTCATTTTAAATATTAGCTGATTTAAATGTTTTACTTAAAGGAAGTTGATTAAGAAATTTTAGAACTATTTTGTCTGCGTCTTATTTTTCTGCTCATTATTAATGCTCAATATGGTTTCAAATTCATTAGAAAACCTGTTTTAGAAGTACACTGCAACTGCATTAGTACTCCATACCATCCAACCACCAACTGCCCAATGCCTATTCAGTTGTTTTTGTGTATACACAATGTCAGTCATTTTTTGCTAGCACACCACTTTCAGCCTTAAAACATCCGTGAACTCAAGTTGTTTTTCCAACAAACGCACACAAAATTAAACAAAAACATTATATAAACTGTGCAAACGAACACATAAAAATATAAGTAGAAGACATGGAAGCGGACGCCTCGTAGTTTGGTCAAAAAATAAAAGTAAAAACAACAAAAGTCTACTGTATTTCTAATTCAAAACAAAAGATAGGACTAATAGCGTTCTCACATTTAAGCTTATATTTGTGCTGTTTTGGTCAGATACTATCCCTTTTCTTTTGCAAGGAATGACAAAAAAAAATTACGAACTAAAAATTATCTCCCATTTTTTTCTTCATATAAGCATTTCTAGTATGCTATATTCTATTATTTATAAATGGTGATGATAGGGTTAAGTGCCTTCTTCTTTAGCAACAAGATGGGACGTCCAGAGACAGGATAGGCGAAGGGAGGTGTGCAGATTTAACGGATGAGGTATTGCACGGATTAATTAGAATAAAATGAAAAGGCGAAAAATAAATATGTACTGTTCATACAACATTTACATTACATTGTAGTGAAGTCCGATTCTGGAAGAGTTTAAGAGTTTAGTGACGTGTTCTAGTCCTCCCATTCGTCGTCATCCTCAAAGTCTTCATCTTCATCGTCATCCTCGTCTTCATCTGAAAGAAATTAGATTAGGATGACTACTCAAATTCTTACTTGAGTAAAATTTTACTTTTACTTTACTTAACATAATATTACTCATGTAGAAGCACAAAATAGTGGTCCAAGAAATTACGGAAGTCAGTATGTGGGGAAAAAAGTATGTGGGAAAACTTAAAGTAACTTAAAGATATTTAAATTGAGAGTTCGTATAATTGAAAGAACAAGAGACTAAATAATGCTAAAAATCTGCTATTTTCAAAGGATAAACATGAAACAAAACAAATGTTCAAAATCATTTCATATTGTCTACATCAAGTTTTTAACACTTGTAAACTTAATCAAAGAAGGGTAATCTAAACTTTTACTTCAATAAAATTACTACTCAAGTAGGAGTAAAGTATGCTATAAAAAATACTTTTAACAATACTAATTGTATTGTAACAATACTAATTGTATTGTTAAAAGACTAAAGCAAATGTAACTGAGTAGATGTAACCGCGTGTACCAACTGTCTCTGCTTATGAGGAAAAAAACAAGGAAAACTGGAAAAGCGCAACTAAAACCGATTGTGGTGAATCTGTTTGAACAGCATGTTGAAGGGAACATTAAAGAGCTGCACATGTTTTTTATTATTCTTAAAAACATGAAAAACTGAACTGAATCAGCCCAATTATTCACTGTGACAAGTTTATAATGGCCTTTTCCAATTTTTCAAGACCAAAGTGGAGTTTTGCGATTTGCTTGCAATTAATATGCTAACAGCGCCCCAGCATTCACGTATGATTGAAATGCTAATAATCCCACAACATACAGGTCTCATTTTGATTTTAGAAGCTGCTTTTACAATATATCTCTGTACTGGGGTAAAGCTAATTTTACTTTGTGAAAAAAGTATATAAGTATGAGTCATTTTACCTGAAGAATGAATGGCTTTGCTCCTCTTCTGCATCACCTCCATGAGCGCACCCACGATGCCTGCAGTGGGAGCTGGTGTGGGGGGGCTGGACTCTGGCAGATCAGACACCTGGAGACATTTGAAAGTGAAAGATTACAAAATTGTTTCATAGTCACACAAATTTTGGCCTGTGAGAATATATTTGAGCTTGAATGAAAAAACCTGTGGGACGAGGTAAAAGTTCCACAAGATGAGACGAGACATAAGATTGGGTCCAGAGTTCAAAATAATTTATAATAAATACACGGTGTGGTTCAGTTCACACTACTGGCCTCACAACTTTTAATTAAATTTAATATTTTTGTAATTCCTGTAGCAACTTTTTTGGGACTATGGGCCAAAACTAAAATGTAGTTGGCTCTCAGTAAAGACTTCATTTATATTGTACACGCAGTACAACTTCAAAACTTCAAACTTTGCAGAACAACTTCATGTCAGATACGAGGTAAATTTCACAAAATGTTTGACCAAGAATAATAATAGAAAAATAGAGGGGTATAAGGTTGGCTATTACTTTTTCGCTGATCAGCTATTGGGCTTGAATCTCCAACATAAGCAGATATTTTTTCAGTTGACCACATGTCTAAAGGAGAGACCTTTAGCTTTATTTGAACACTTTAATGTGAAGAGTGCACTGTTCAAAACTGACTGTGACTACATCACTTTCTGATGGGTTTGCAGTAAAATAAGGCCATTGATAAATTTGATGGCATTTCAAAATCATAATTTGGGTAAGAAAATCTGCCCTATATATTGGGCCAAAAAATATCCCCAAAATATGGGTAGAGCTGATCGCCTTTTGGTTGGTCTGCTTTCAACAATCGAACAATCGTATCAGCATTGGCCATGAAACACCATAACGGCCGATCTCTAATATCTAATTAATGGGTAATAAGCTGTGATGCACTTACAGTCTTGAGCTGGATGCCCTGTCTGATCTGGTCGAGCAGAGCGTCACGCCCGGTGGTGGAGGCGGGCACAGGTCTGTTGTTCTGCTCCACCTTTTTGAGCTGCGTTCCGCCTCGAATCTGCTCCAAGAGGGCCGACTTGCCCCCTCCTAATGGACTGGGCGAGTGAGGGCTCTCCCCTCCGTCCATCTCTGGGGGTGGGGGAGGTCCCGGGGGCGGAGGAGGCGGAGGGGGAGGCGGCGGCGGGGCGGCGGGGGTCGACTGCTGCTGGGACGGTGCTGATGGGGGAGGAGGAGGGGGAGGAGGTGCCGACTGAGGGGTGATGCTTGCGTGGGATGGGGGTGGAGGGGGAGGAGGCTGGTGGTGATGGTGGTGCTGTTGGGGCGGCTGGTGTCCTCTGGAGGGGGGAGGAGGGGGAGGAGGTGCACCCAGAGTGCCGGGGCGGGACGGCGGAGGGGGAGGAGGGGCGGAGGCAGGAGCTCTGGAGGGTGGAGGAGGAGGAGGAGCACCGCGGCCACCCCGGGACGGAGGAGGAGGAGGTGGCGGCGCTGTGCTGTGGTGAGGAGGAGGGGGGGGCGGAGGAGGGCCACCACGAGACGGAGGAGGAGGAGGCGCTGAGGAAAGACAAAATATATAAGACTGATGTAGGATAGAGAATGGCACTTGTTCCACAGTATGACATACAACTTATCTTGCATTTATTCATTTACGGGTGTTTTTAATTTCTCAAAAAATGCATGAAACATTTTATAAATCCCAACTTCCAGTCCTTTAATCAGTTCAAAATTAAGGGTTTGGTGATATACCGAAAAATGTATATAACAAGTCAGATTACAGTTTTTGATTTGATCATGATTCATCTGTATCTTCTGAAAGCTCACACTTTACAGTTTGTTAAAAAACACCCGTCACTTGTTCAGAGCATTAGGGTGAGGCTGACCAGTAGGAGGGAGGGGAGGGAAAAGTGTCTGTGTTTGAGCTTAGAGCTGAATTCAAGAGCAAATTACTTGCGAGATGCTGATTTCATAAGTAGACAAAAATACCAGATTGTCACAGGGCTGAGATCACAGTTAGATTTTTATTACCATATTGCTCAGTCCTATTTGGAAAGATCCTAAAATTGATCCTAAAAAACATGGTATAAGTACTAGAAAGTGTACAAATGACACCGATCTAGTATTTCTGAAATAAAATTGTAGCTATAAAGCACGATGTTTTGGATTCCACTCATTTTCACACTTCTATCTGCTGCTGTTGAAACCACATGAATAAAACATGGGCAGAGACACTGGTCAGAGGAACTGTCACTGAAAATAACATCTACCTTAAAAACAGTGTTTCATCTGCACTCAGACCCAATCTACGTAAAACACAAGGTACAGGACACAGGGAGGAAGAAAAAGATGAAAAATAAATGTATACTTCTACTATATGGAAAATACCATGCTTTGTTGGTGGAGAGTGTTTCTTTGTAAACGTCCTTGAACTTACTTAAAGTTACCCTTGTACTTGACTTAACTGTATACATTCACAAGCAGACAACTAAAATATTGAAAGAGCTGAGAAGTAAACAATATTTTTAAAAGCTCTGAGGTCAAGGTTTATTAAGCAGACAGCTCTACTGAACCAAACTAGCCATGCTGAATAATGTGTAATATAACACTATCTGTAGACTGGGCTGTCTCATTTGATTGGTCCATTTTGAATATTCCAAAAAATATGCGTGTAAGGTTTCTAATATCTGCCAGTAGTACAACAGTGTCAGGAAATTAAAGAAACAACAAAGTAGCAAAATCTACATTGTTAAACCATACATGACTTGTATTACTTGTATTTTTTTCTTTTTACACATTACTGCTGCATGCCTGTGCCCTCACCTTGCCTCCGGAGCTCGTTCTTCACAGCCTCCACTCCTCCTTTCTTCTCGATGAAGTCGTAGATGACTTTGGACGTTTCTCTGTCTTTGAGCTGTGCCTCTGAGATCCCACACATGTCAAACAGGTTCTTCAGCTCTGGGTCCAGGTTATTCAACTGAAATGAAAAATACACTTTAATGTTGCTAATATTTTTCTAGTTGGCAATGTTTCCAGTTTCCAGTACAAAAGTTACAGTCTTTGTGTGCCCTCTGGTGGCCATCAAGGAGAAATGCAGTGTGCTTCCAATTTCAAAAGGCCATATTACACTATTTCCTTATCTATGTTATATTGTTGTTTCATCATCAGAAGTTTCATTTACACCTGTTTAACACACAAACCCTGCATATTTCTTCTCTCAAACTGAAAACACTTTGTTCCACCTTGTGATGTCATGTGGTGATACAGGAAGTGTTGCACTGTGTTTTTGAACACCATACATCTTCAAAAGAATCATTTGGATAATTTCAGCACTGTAATTCCCAATCTCTACTGTATAAAATGTAAACGAAAGCTGTTAACGTGAAAACTGTTTCAAGACTTCACAAGGTGGAACAGAGCATTTAGAGCTTGTAGACAAAACTAATGATCCAGGATTACTCAAACATGTGTGAATGAAACAAAATACAACTTCAGGTATGTTTTGGAGGAGGTAACAACATTCTAACATTCTAACTATCTGCTAAGGTATGTTCCCTGGCAAGCAAATATGTTACATACTCACATTTCACATATAAACTGAACCTGAGAAGCAAAAATGTACATTAGGAATGTACCTATAAATATGTTGCCACTAAAGGAACTCTAAGATTTAGATTTTAAATTCCATAAACATGACCCAAAAGTGCAGTAGTTTTTACTGATAAGAATAAATCAGCATTACTATTGTTGATTACAAAAACTATTGGCCATGATGACCAAGTTGTTCATGTTATAATTTGGTGTTTGAGTTCTTAAGACGATTATCCAATCAGAAAGCAGAGTGAGTCTCATAAGAGTCTCTCATTTTGGGCTGCTAGTTTCAATATTGAATTAAAACCTAAAATGGATTTTCTCTGATCTAAATCCTCACTACATAAACCCCTTGCTGCAGCAGTATATACATCTCCATATAGTGAGAATGAGAAAAACATGTATGTTGTCTCCATCTGAAGGTTGAGACACTGACAACCCAGGTTTTGATTGTAGTACCTTTTTAAAAACTTTGTAGGATCACCATTTACTTTAAGGAGCTGTATGTGATCTAACTCTAATTGCACAATGTGATGACATCTTTTCTGTATTGTTAAAATCCATATCTTAAGCCTAATCTTGACAGGGACATTTTGGTGTGTCTGCAGAGTGACAGTCTGTTTTGAACTGGAGGACACAACAGAGGCCTATTGTTGGTTACATCACACTCTCCGCTCTCCATTGTGTCAGAGCTGAGGAGGACTGTACTCACATCAAAACCAGTGTTCGGGTCCCAGCCCACGTGGCCAATGTGTCTGCAGAGAAGCAGGAGAGAGGGTTAGCACAATTAAGCACATTTCAAATAATATAGATAAAATGCATTTACAAGTACAGAGTACTTCAGCCTTTCTGCTTCCCAAGTTTTGTAGGTTGACATACTTCAAAAACTGCAATTAAGTTTGGCATGTTTGAAAGTTAACTCGCAGATTGGAGCCCATTTTAACATGATTATGACCAGTGCAGTGTTTAAAAGGAACTATGCCATTTCATTTATTTGTCAACCTGATTAGTTAATATTACACAAAACTATTTATTTTATATTATATATTTTATATATTACAATTAAAATATTACAATTGTTTTTATATACATATTGCTGAAGAATCTCAAAATAAGCTACATAACTTTGTGTGTTTGAAGACATTTTATATTGCTTTGGGTAAATAAATTTGTCTACTGTATAAACTAGAAAAATACAATTAGTACCAAGCAATTAACAATCATTATGCAAAAGGGTGCGACGTAAACAGCGTCCGATTTTCCACTCCACTATCAATATATAATTATGTAATCATGACTACTGTTGCCCAAACCCTCATATCACCACACAAAGCCCCTCAGAAAGCCCCTCCTGCTGAGCCTGTGCACCCAGTCGCCCACGCACTAATGCTAATGCTAAACAGTGAGTTCATGTACGTCAGCTCCACAGACAGAGCCTCCATTGACAACAAGTGTTTACTGCAGCTATCCACCGTCCAATAGAAGAGCTCCCCTTCTTCTCTCACCTCTAAACCCCAAACCATAAGGCCAAACCAGTGCGCCCGAAGCTTCTGATGGAACGTCAATGACCAAACTTACTGGAAGTTGCTGGGTGTTCCGATGTCAGCTTTGGTCAGCTTCTTCTTCTTGCCTTTGGTCTTCTTGTCCTTCCTGTTGAGAGCGCTGTGACTGAGCATGTTGTTGAGGTGGTAGGGTTGCTGCTGCTGGACTTGGGGCTGGTGATGGTGGCCGTGAGAGTTGTGGAAGCGAACGTTGTTCTCCGGGTTCTTGATGTCCACTGTGGCCATAGGCAGCGCCGGACCTACACACATCACATACAGTACAGTACAGCAACAAGCAGGGAGGGGGGAAAGGGAGCGGTGGGAAAAATGATTAACATTCTCTGAACTTGTATGTGTGCAGTCGAGTTTTAGCTATATTTGGATCTTTAAGGAACGTGTAAAAGCAGTAGTAGTGACCAGACAGAGGCAGTACAGGGACCAAACTGAAGAGAAAATTCTAAATACCAATGATATTCTAATTTCCAATTATTTGCTGCACCAACACACATCAAAGCTTCAAAAGTATATTTAGTGACATGTTGCCAAAGAACCTACACCACTTTTCTCCAGTCATTTTCTTTCTACTATTCCTTTTTGTTTGCAAGTAAAAGTTTAGTTTAATTTATTCTTAGGATCCCCATTACCTGATCTTAACAGACAGCTACTCTTGCGGTCCCTATATTATTAAAAAAAAAAAGATATTCCATGACAAAATGTTCAAATATGAATAGAGGACAGCGATATACAAATTGTTCTTTTGAAGGTATGCAAAATTTGAATATCTATAGCTATATTGTTGGCTACTGGAACAGAAATTTGCAGTGTAATCTTTTAAATGAGGATATAAAGTGATTTGCACTTCTTTGGTAAATTTTATAGCTCATTAAAATTTTGTGCAGTGCTTGAACCTCAACCAGGACACAAGGACTTAATTAAAAGGCATATTTAACACATTTCTGATGGCCTGTAAAAATAATCTGACAATAGTGGTCGGAAAAATGCATTATTACAGCAAGTTAGGCTTATCAAATTTATTATTTTTCAATTATTCTGTAAGGTGTTGCACTTAACTTGTCTCAGCCGTAATTCTGAATGTATTTATTTGAAGGAACAAAAGAACAACTATAAGTGGGGGACGAATGGTAGCACAAGTAGTAACACTTCAAGTCAGTCTAGACATTGCAGTATGGTTGATGGCTGCTGGGAGCAACTGTATCACGGAGTAGATGCACGCGTCTGAGTGTCACATTTGATCCGAGTGTTTAATGATTCATCTCAATACTAATGTCCTCCTCTTCACTCTGTGCTGCTCAGAACGCCATTTCTTAATAATCTTAAACTGCAACAGAGGCATCCCACATAAACACTAATCCACTGATAATCCAAGCATCAGAACGCAGGTCTCTCCATGAGCCATAGACCACAGCACGGGCTTGAATCTAAACCCCCTTGAGGCCCGAGACCAAGGGACTGAGTGGGTGCCTCATTAAAAACTGCATGGGATGGCCTGCTTAGGATAGAGTTATACAAAGCAGAAATGAGTGAAACTAAAAGAAAGTTAGGATAACACTAAGAGCTAAAATCAATCAAGCTTCAAACAGATGTTGAAGATTATAAGTGGAGCGCTTAATATAGTAACAGAAGCTAAAATGAAAAGCTGGTACCTTCTTTTGGCACTATAAGTATTGGCAGAACTTAATGAGCACTTCTATCATGGAACAAAACTGATAATACAAGACTATATATTATAAGTCTATTTATTTGGAATGTGTCAGCAAAGTGCTAAAAAATTTTAAGATACACTTTATTGCTAGAGGTTCCATGGAAATATTATTGGTTTACCTGAAATGTTGGACAGTATGGAATTTCACTTGTTCATCTCTATGAGGATGAGCAAGTGACACCATCAGGCCAAGTCACAGGACAGATGGTGACTTTGCTCACAGTAGCTTAAAGCATTTTTAAATCCATGCACGTTTAATGTAGTATTATGGAACATTCCAGGCAAAGCAATTGTATCAGCATATAGACAAATTCACAGTGCACTTTTAAAAGAGAACAGACTGTAGCAATAATCTCAAAAGACCAAAAAGTGACCAGATTATACACACATATACATGTACATAATACATTTTGTATTGTATTGTATTTTGTAGTTCATTGTAGGTTGGTTTGCAACCTAGAGTCAAAATGACTTTCTGTTGTTCAATTTCAATTTCCTGTGTAGAGAAAAAACTATACTGGCTATTATATGCTGCGCTACACTGCTGCTCTGCTGTTGTGGCCTTCATGGAAAATTTGACTTCTAATTGATGGTACCACCCCAAAGCAAAGTGGAAAAAACATCTTTGCTCTTCAATGGGAAGTAAACATTGCCTGAATTGCTGAACTATTGGTTTACTCTTTGGCATGTGAGCAAAATGTGCGTAACCCCGGATGACCTCTGTTCTTTTGTGGAGGGTGTAAAGACGATCAGAACAGACGCTCAGGGACAAAGGGACAGAAAAGTGAGAAGAATGAGGTGCCTCCCACAGAAAGCTGCAGATCCAGAGTAGAAACGCAGCCCTGTCCTCTACTGTTTCAGCTCAAGTGTCAGAAAGAGTTCACAGAGAAAGTTTACCCAGAGACTGCCACACACACACACACACATTTCACACACTTCACACTTCACACACTTCACACACGAACAAATACAGGTTTGTCCAGCCTTTTCTTGGTCTTGTGGGTATCGGTTGAATTTTTGCTTGAGTGGATTTTTGTGTGGTTGGTATGCTGTAATAAACATGCTTGTAGTGATGATGTCTGACAGGTGTTATGTAAAATAATTTGTTTCCCACACTATGTAAGGAATTCCTGAAAAACAGAGCCAGCTTTCCATCACCAGCCCATTCCCACTGTAACTAACTACCCGCTGCCCACTCAGGCAGTTTTGTGGATGGTTGCTACAGGAAGGACATTCAGCAAATACATTTGCTAAATGAGTGATAGAAATTCACCCTGATAGAAAGTGGAGAGCTGAAAGGAAATTAAATTCATGTGTGGAATAACTAAATAATTAAATCTCTAGAGTGGGTCGTCTCACCCAATTTCTTGGTACTTTTTTGCCCCTGTACTTTAATGTGAATTTGTTACCTAGTTGCATAACTACTAAAATTTGTAATTGCTGGCAAAATATCCATTTTGAGTTTGCCAAGTAATCAACCAGAACCAAAAGTGTTCTACTATCAGATGATAAAAAATAATTTCTTAAAACTCATTAAATGTTTTATGTAAAATTTGTGGTTTGGTGCACAAATTGTTTTGACCAATTTGAGACAATCAAAACAAGCTCACCTGTGGCGTGGTGAGGATTACAGATTATGCCTAAAGCGAGGCTCCACAGGGTTTAAAGGAGCAGTGCGGAGCATGTGGTCTGCATATGGAGCAGATGGACTTCCTGCTGACCAGATTAACTCACGGCCCTCTCTATGCCGCTGGTACCACGGCAACACAAACAGAGTGATTCAGATATGCTACAGCTATGTGTGTTTGTGCAAGAAAAGGCACTTTAACTATAGTCATTATCATCCAAATGAGCCAAGCAGTGCTAAAAAACTGAGAAGATTTGAAAGTTGAGAAAGCAAGGATAAAATACCACGCATAAAAAATATATAGAAAAGACCAGTGGATGAAGCTTTAACATACCATTTCTAGGATCACTCCTTTTCTCTGCAAAAAGACAAATTACACCGATTATATAAAGCTGCGTCAAGATATGAGCTTAGGAAAAGTTTAAGAAGGAAGAGAAGAAGTCTGAGAAATGGTGTGTTAAAGCAGGGTTAGTTGAGGGTACGAAAGCTGATTGAGGTTGAGCGGTCTTAAGAGCTTAAGCATGGTGTGTTTTGGGAAAAAGTTGTTTTTAAGTAAATTTCCTGTACAGTCATATTATTGATTTTGTAAACATGGCAATGTATAGTATGCAACAGGAGTTCAAAGGTCACATTTGTCTCCTAAATGTACAACAGTCTGGGTGATGGTAAAACAGTCAATATTTAGAAAAAAAAACACATTACAAAACAAACCTCAATCTATATATATATAAAAAAAAACAAATAGACTGGCGTTTTAAAAAATGTGTTAGAATATGGTAACAGGCTTATAACTAATCAACTGACAATTCATAAATGCTTAAATCTTGACACTAGAACCTAAAAAAGGTATTGTTAGTACATGAGACGGATCATGTAAATTGCTAGCATTAGTATTGTTAGATATGTGAGAACCAAGATGAATGATAAAAGACAAAGCAAAAGTGATCCAAAGTCAAATCCATGAAACTTACCAGTTTTCCTTTGTCTGCGATTGAGGAGGTCATTGATGGCAGCTCGAAACCTCTTTGCCTCTTCTTCACTGGCAAAGTTCAGGCCGATCTGACTGGACTACATAAGAACAGAAAAAAAATACATCAGCAAAACCAACCAACATTTTAGAAGAACATTTTATTTGATTCATTTGTGTTTTGTTAAAGGCAAAAGACTCACATCTCCTGCAAATGTGATGAAGTAGGATCTGGGGCTGCTTATGGAAAAGTTGTGGTAAAGCTCCTGTTCATACATTGTTTTTCCTTCCTGGAGGAATAAAAACACAAAATATTAGAAAACAGAAATAAAAAATAACAATCTCTAACATTTATGAAGTGCATAACCGCACATTCAGTAAATAAAATAGTGCTATAGTGCATTACTGTTGATTTATTGAACTGTATTACTTAAAGTAGAGCGTTTAAAGAGGCTGTCAATGCCAAATGCTGTCCAGCACAGGGAAAGTAAAGCATCCTCAGCTGCTGGGAATAACTCCATTGAAGTGAATTGCTTGCACACCATTTTTAAAGCTCTGTATTCATTTGATCAATGACTTCCTGTAGTTTTAAGAAGCATTTTCACCACAGTGTCATTACAAGCAAAATAATGAAACAGAGCAGTGCACCAAGGTGACTGAGTGTTTTTCAGGTCTACCAACGAGTGAGCATTAGTAACCATAAGCCAGCTTGCTGCATCTGGGTCCAAAGCAGCAGTCTGACCCGAACAACAACAGAAAGGTTGCTAATTGGCTGCATTGTGCAAACAAGGTAATTTTGTGATAGGATTGTGAAAAAAAAGGCACAAAAGGGATTTAGGGAGGTTGTGAGGAGTTGTTTGACCTTAAAAGTTGATACATGCAAATATTTGGTCATAATACTGCTTCAGTTAAGTCACTAACAGGAGTCTTTTCTTAGATAGAGGTCAGATGGAAGAGTGTAAAATTACTACTTGAGCTATTTGCTGATATTGCAAACACACCATAGCTGGTCTCACCAATACTGTGCAAAGGTTTGTTGTTTTTACACTGTCGTTGATTATGTCATACTTTCAGTATGACATTCTGGCAGGAGCCAGAATTATGTATATTTATTAAATGCTGAATATTTTATCTAACCTCCATCACAACCGAACACTGTGGGCCTAAAATGTTACGTCATCTTACGCTCCACATGCCCTGGCCTGAATCCTGCTCCCCTCCTTTCTGAGCACCCACCTTGATGTCGAACACTCGGATGAAGTAGGACCTCTGGGGGTTGTCTTTGACCAAGCAGGCCACTCCGCAGCACCTCTTGAGCCACGTGCAGCTGCGATCCGCCGCATACACCTGGACCACGGCCGAGCACAGAGACTGCAACACACAGGCAGAAGAGGGCACTGAGGCAGGAAGGAGCCAATGACACAAGCAGCCAACTCAGCACTAAAGGAGGGGCAATAATGTGAGTGCGCGGGGTGAACAGGGCTGCAGAAACTTGATTAATTTACACTTATTGAAAACTCATGAGGCTATGTAATGTAATGTAATGTAAGGAAAGGAGCCTTTATGGTCGTCATGATGTGATTTAAAATGAAAGAGCTCAAGTGGGACTGCAGATGTAGGGCATGCACCAAAGTATAGAGCAACAACAAAAGACAACAGAGACAACTGTGGCTGTAATAAGAAGGTTTAAAAACGTTGCAAACCCCAAGTCCAGAATTATGCATCATCTCATTATATTTGATTAAGATGTAATGATTTTAGCCCCCCCAACCCAACATAGAAATAACACCTACACCGTGTTCTCGCTAGGAATATCACGCTATCAAATGTAGTGTGTTTCTGTTACAGTCAGAAGAAACATTTTTCATGGGATAAGGGTTGAACTGAAATTACTTTATTATATGACAACAGTTGTGATACTTTTGGTTAAATATTGTGTCCTCTCAAAAAAAACAACAAGATAACTGATTACCCTAATAATCTTCACACCTTTGGTTCCATCCTGTACATTTGTTTACCATCAGCATCCTTGGGTTTTGGTCTATGGTTAAATGTCAAAAATCTATAGCAATAAATGTGCTTTGTTAGACATTAAATTCCTGTCCTTTATAGTTGGTCTGAAAGTCTTTATGTCTCAATATACCTCACTCAGCAAATCCAAATATCCACTTCATTGGAACTGATAGCTTCAATTTTCTCTTTTAAGTGCCCAGATGTTCTTCAAAAAACATCTGTTAAACCCTGTCAAACAGCACATGTGTCAGAGGAAACGGAAACGGAGCTGCTACACAAAGATGACATGTGAATCTCGCAAAACCTGCACAGATAAGATCATGGCGTTTGTCACAGAAATTCCTTTACAAAAGGTCTTCACAAAAGGCCAGGGACAAAGAACAAAAGGCAGTCTGTTATGTCATGATTAGGTTTCAATAACATTTGAAAGAAGTTGGGTTAGTTAACAATGTAGGAATGGTCCTTTTTTTAATATAGGGGAGTTTACTGGTAACATAAGACGACAATGAAAAGTGGGTTAGAACTTAGAACCAAGTCACAGAGGATTTTATGTCTGGCTTTGTGGCAGCTGTAAAGAAACACTGCTGGTAAATTCATTAAGGAGAAAACTGTTTTACATTGAGAGTTTTTAAATGACGCAGCTTGTGGTGCTTTTCAGTTCGGGGAAATCTTTTTTTAGACACAAATTAAAGTTATGTACTTTAATTTGCCATGTTATTAGAGGCACAGATTTGGTACATTCTGTTGGCTTTGCTTTTGGTTAATTAGGAGTAACTTTTTAACATTTCTATTATAAATGTTTGTAAGAAGGCAAGAGAGAGAATGATACTGGGAGAAGTGTTTGCAATAAAATTTCAGGTTAATATTTCAAAATAAACTATTCAGTTGAACCTTTCAAAAGATACTAGGGAGAACTGCATGCATTTTAGAAAAGATTTGTGGTGGTCTACAAACTACAAGGTTATCAGGTTTTATAGAGGGCTCATACTACGTCACTTTTTGCTCTTGTCTCCTCTTGTCCTGTCTGGTATCATGTCAGTGTTTTGTAGGATTTCAGCAGTTTTCAAGCTCTCACGGGAGCTGGGCTAGTTGTAACAATCAGGTATGAGTGGATGTCCATCTACTGAAGTTTGAGCCATTTCTTCTCCTCATTTATGCACTCACCTGCATTTAATGCATATGGGTCAATAAGACATATCCAAGTCACTAATGTTAATTAAGCATCATCACTAATTTTATCACACAGTGATAAACTGGTTTAGTCCACTGACAACAGTGCTAGCTAGTGTTGCAACTTCATGTTAACCTCATATTTATATTGGAATAAAACTAAATAGAAATCAAGTAAAATGTCCAAAATCCCCAGTGTTCTTTAGGGTGTATATCAGTGTCATTAAAACAAGAGAATATAATACTATAATACTTTACTATACACTACTACTACAATAAAACCAATTTACCCCAGTGGGTACTCTGCAAGTAGGGCTGCAACTATTATTTTATAAGTCAGCGATACATTTTTTGATCTGTCAACCAGACATACTATTATTTCAATTATACATTCACTGATACTTTAACAAAACAAAGGTTTGATGAGATGACTGAAGGCTTCGAGAGAACATTCACATTCATTCAACTTTATTAATGATTATAATCAGAAATGATTCATTCTTTTGATTTAATAATACCACTGTCTTTGTCATAAAACCAGTGGATTGAAGAACATTATATTTTAATTAAATTTTGATTAATGTTGCAACCGTAATTTCAAATAAACCTAACACAACCCTTTCACCTTGATTGCTGTCCGACAGTAAAAGGATGCTCTGCTCAGCACTATCTAATCCTCCATTGGACTGCTCCAGTGTGCAGTCTGCAGGTTTTTTACTGAGGTCACACAGTGTTTGTACTTCTCCCTACATTTCTGCAGTGCAAAGTCATTCCTGGCACCACCGCAGCCAGGAGAAAAGGAAGAGGAAGCGCCAGAGGGCATGTTGCTTCCTGGTTGGAGATTTACGAGAGAAAGGTCAAAGGTGTAATGACAAAGCACTTACCAGCATCACACAGGAGGGGTCTTAGGTCGCATGTTAAAGCACCAATCAGGGACTTTTGAGGACTCGCACTGAAGGGAAAGTATGCAGCAGTAAACACAGACACACTCCAGCCACCTCAAACTGACTAACTGCTAACACGAAGAGCAGCTGTGTACCATTTAGGGCTGCAAGATTAATCGCAATTGGAATGGACACAGTTGGCAAATTGCATAAGGGGCAATTTTTGTAGTACTGTCAGTTCCTCCACAAACAACAAATATCCTCTTATTCTGCATACAAACTGCTAACCCTGTAGATCTGTACAACCATGTCCTGAAATGTGACTCTTATATCAGACTGTTAGTTCATATTTCAGTCACTTTGTGAATTCTTCTGGACACATTTAAAATGTGAACTTTGAACAGAATCCTATCATTAAAAACATAAACTGCAATTCTAATCACAAATGCAAATAATGTCAGATGGGTTGCAATTACTTTCCTGAACTCGCTCGACCTTAGTACTGTTGTATGTTTCAACCAAAGATGCAGATTAAAACTACAACTTAGGGAGTCGACTCTAATGTCATTTGTGTGCATTTTGCCAGTTCTTTTTATGCCAGCAGCTACTGTGCAAAAAGATTCCCACATGATCAAGTCCTCAAAATCATGAATAATAAATATAAAATACTATTTCCTATAAGCACATCACAAAGGCGGCAAAGTCCTCTGCAAACGCAAATATATGTCCATGAGGTTTACATTATGTGAAAAAACCTGCAAACATTTCAGTCTTTCACATTTTAACAAACTTGGAGATGTGTCTAAAATGTGCATAAAACTGACCTGGGACTGGTTATTACATATTCAACCCCCCAAAATGTAATAAGTCAATAAATTAAAATAGTATTCAGTACAGTAACGTCAAAATACATCTATAACATCATACAACGCATTGTTTTCCATATGCTGGCAATAATCATTTTAGTGGAGAATGTTAAATACATGGTACACCCAGTCAGGTCGTATCCAAGTTCCTCTGTGGTATATTTTTGAGCAAACAGAAGATTCCAAGAGTCATGTTTGTATATTAGACACTGGCCTCTCCACACAGCAGTCACTATATTGAGCAGTGCAACATAGCATAGCGTATTTTCCTATCCATCTGTGCAACCACTGTCTCAACTGGTTCTATGAAATTATCAGCGACTAGATCAGCATTTGTTTTGACTATGAATGATGAATAAATAAGTAGGTCAAATAGTTAGAATGTGTATTATGAGGGTTTGAGGAGAGTTTTGTACTGCGAACCAATGCAACAGATAGAGTACTGCATTAGGATCGTTTTGATGGCGTGAGATTGCGTGCACCTGGGAGTAGAGGCGAACTGCAGGTGGTAAACACAAACTTACGGCACATTTCCTTCCCAGGTAGCTGAACAGACACTCGTTCTCCTGCGGGGTCAGCAGGATGGAGCCGACGTTCACGGCCCTGCGTGGCGGAGGGTGGCTGTTCATGGCGTCCCGAGTCTTCAAATTAGTCAGTCCTCGAAACGGTGCACTTATTCCCGGACGGGCTCAGCAAACACCGCTAATTACTCAAAATCCATGCGGGCTGCAGTCGCTTCGGCGGCCTGCAACCCGATCATCTCCCCTTCGCACAGTCAGACACTCCGGGCTGGAGGTGGAGGGCGGAGGGGGCAAGGGGTCTAATCGGGCCGTGCTCCTGCTCAGAAAGTATCCTTAAATGTCCCGGCAAACAGTGAAATATAATATGACTGTCGATTTAGTCTCAGTGAAGAAAATCCTCCTAACTTTCATTAGAAAACTCCGGTAGCTGCAGTAGCTATGCGTATATCCAACATGGCAGCGAGGCGGAAGGAGCCAATTTAAAAAAGAGGAGAGGGGGGGGAGGGGTTTCAGGGAGCAAACTCTGGGAATGTTGTCGGGATAAGGTCAATAGAATAGTATAATTTATGAAAATCCGTCATATTATTTCTCCTGACATGTCACTTACTTAAAAAATTAATTTAAATTGGGTTTTATTGAGTAATGTAAAGCCAAATTCCCGTTGCTATGGGAAGTGGTTCGGTCCGTATGGAATGCAGCTCTGCGGAGGGAGGGGCGGGGCTGCGGAGCGTGACGTAGAGGGGGCCGGAGGAGAACGTCACGTGATAACATGAAAATGAACTTGAAATGTTGTTTTTTATTGTTTGTTATCCATACACATATAATCAAACAACATCATTTACTATTTATTTTAACAAACTTTATTTTCTTTCCATTTTAAAGCTCCTAAACAATAACAATTTAATGTAAACAACAAAAAGTTCAGTTTCCTAAAGGGCAATAAAGTTATAATTTAAAAGCTTATTAACAATTTGAATTGTATTCACTTTAATCTGGTTGTTGAGTAAGAAGTGAATTGTTCCAATAGTTATACTTTGTTATGCGACTGGTTACACCAAGAATTGGGATTGCTTATACCAAGAATATATGAATCTGCTGTCTTGTGCTAATAAAAAGTGACATACTGAAAGTTCTTCTGAAGGTTTTTGGGGCAGAATTATAAGGCATAGCACGGAAACAAACAGCGGATGATATATAAACTAGACAAAAAAATCTAACAAACAAACAAAAAAAACAAACATATTTTACACAAGTAAGGTGATATTTAGAATAGGTTTGTGATATTCACTTTTGATCTACTGGCTTAGGCTATAAGAGATTTGTCCTTGTAACTCATCTCCCTGCTGACTAATTTAGGCTTGCCCGCAAGGCTCTCTCTGTAACTAAAATAGACACAGGTAGGTAGTGCTATTGTTGTGGTAGTGTACAGTACTAGTGACAGATGGACTGCGCACTGGTCCAGTCCTAATCTGGAGACCACCTGCTGAATGTGCTCTGTTTATCAAAGAATGGGTCAAAGACATAAGGGTTTAAAAAGAGACAGCATGCAGGCCGAAAGCCAAAATGAACCAATAAATAAAATGAAATTCTTGATCAAATAAATTGGGTTTCTAATTGTTTTACAATATGTTGCTGCACCTATACTTAAAGGGGTACTATGTAACTTTTCTAATGGTGGAGGGTCTGCTTTCTGCTCATCTCCATGGAGATGTTATGGCTTTGCATGAAATGTTCCACACAGTATGACGTTGATGTATCTATCCATGGAGACAAGCAGGAGGTGCCACCAGGCCAAGTTACAGGCCAGATCTGTGAAAAGATGACTCTGCTCACAGTTAACAATTGATGATTTGAGTGATGAACAAAACTGCAATGGAAAAAAAGCAAGACAAATGCATTTAATGGAATAATGTGGGACATACCAAGTAAACCAACAGTAAGGTAACATTAAGGTAAGCATGGATGCCCACCAGAAAAGTTACATCGTGCACCTGTAAGTGAAATTGGTTAATCTACTCAAAACATATTACTGATCTGGGATTATTATTTTTTAAATAAAAAAAGAATATATTTTTGTGAATTGCTAATTGCTATGGCAATGGTGCTTTTTTTTTCTTCCACCACTGTGAAATCCATGGATAACAGAAGTAAACAACACAATAAAACAGATATAATAGAAAGTGGTGCATTATCTAACAAGCAGTAGAAGATTAGCTTGTGACTTCTGACATCTATGAATATGATGTTTGAATGTAGATTTCCAAAGGCCCATAGTTGCTGGCATGAGATTTGGTCATTAAGGTCTATCCAGGAAAGTGATGCATCGTTGCATTGTAAAAATAACCGTCCTAAATATTTTAAAAAAGTTTCCCCGCATCATCATATTGCAATACAAAAAATATCCACTAGATGGCAGCAGATACAGTAATTTAATTTTGGTGCGACCTCTGCTCGTTTGCTTCAAGCTACTGTGATCGCGCGCGTGTATGCGTACATGTGTATGTGTGTGCCCATAAAAGTTTTAATATTTCTAAGTTGTTCAAACAAACAAAAAACACAACAACAAAGGATTAGATTATCAAGGCAGACAAATGTAGATCAATAAAGGTCTATGGTTTTCCCTTTTATCCTCTGACGCACTTTCTCTGTAGATAAATTTGCTCCAGTTTGCCTGTTTGTGCTGGCTGTTGCTCATCAAAACTAGTCCTGCATAGGCCACTGTATTTTGCAATAGGTGTGAATTATTAATTTCTAGTAACAATGTTACTCGATAGAGATATAAATTTGAAACTTAAGAGAAACGTCTACAAGATTTTCATCAGTGTTTTTATATGCTTTTTTATGTAGAGTGGGACATTTTTTCTAAAACTAAAACATGAACAGTGCCAGAGAAAATTCTAATTTCGCTGCATTTTTTCAAGTTTCAGTTTTGTAATTTTGTTTTTATGTGAAAGCTTACATGTTGAAAAAGCAAACTGACTAAAACACAAACGTTTTGCCTGTAGTGTCTCATCTTAATGATATGCATATAAGTCACATTTGTTTAGTGGAGCTTATATCATTTTTGGATCAGCAGAAACATAAGCTGATTTAGAGAGTGTATAAAAATGTTCACCTGACCAGTCTAGTCTAGTTCTTTGTCCAGCTCTTCCTGTCATCAGCATTCTGGGTTTTTCCACAGCCACTGACTGCTGTGTCATTATTTAACATGGCTCAGTCAGGTGTCAGTTCTGCAAGTCACTCAAATTTATACAAGAACAAAATAACATTATAAAAGAACATTCAACATTTTGATTTCAATTGTTTCTGTGTGGAAAGACTCGCTATATAAAGTCTGAATAATAAATTAACTACAACAGCATAGCCTGACCTCTCTTGTTCAAATAAATATAAAATTTAAAAAGTATTATCCAGTACTGATGCAGAGGTGGAGTTCATATCCGTCTGATATTTTGTCAGCTGCAAACTTAGGGTTGGGAATGGTCAACGCCTTTCTCATATGAAGTGAGATAGCTGTGTGATAAAACATCTGGAAAACTAAACTATCTGATTTGCAATAAAATTTGATCAGTCAGCAGTAATAGAATGGTATTTCCTGAATCAAATAACAGAATGAGATCAGGCATGTACTAAGGAGATGGCATGAGTCCTTGCCCCTTTTGTCAGTCAAGCTTTTTACTGTCTTGTCATGTCTTTTTTTTTTTTTTTACAGGCAAAAAGCAAAACAAACAAAGAGGTACTTCTGTTAGTATAAATCTTACATTTTTACATCCTTGTCAATAAAATGTCTTTTCTATGCATGCCCCTTTTTAAAAGTTTGAGTCCTTGCCCTGTCTCTGCACACTCTGTTCAAAATCAAAACAATCTATTTCCATGAAGACAAGCAGGTGACACCATCAGATCTGTGGAGAGGATTGTGTGGAAACCCACTAACAATAAGAATACAACTAAAGTACTTTTGAGACATGAAAACACCTGTAATTAAATGTCGGATATTCCAGGAAAAGCCATAACAGCACCATGGACACAAGCAAATGACAAATCCTGTGCTTGTTCATTAAGATAATAGTTGTATGAATGTGTGTAATCTGTGTTGGTCCAGTTTGGTCCAGTTAATGAGCAGGTGAGGAGGGGCTACCACAACAAAACCCAGGCTCTGATGGTGACAATACCCGGAGACAGAGAGCCTTTGTGGGTTTGAAGATCAGCAAACTCTCCTAAAGGTAAGATGTTTATGTTTATTTTGGGTATATTTATAGTATGTATCGATTAATTTATTTGAATATGATTATGCTTACAACAAAATGTAAGCCCAAAGATAAAAGTCTAAAAAGTCTCAATTCAAAAAGTTATAGGGAAAAGAGTCAAAGTGTAAAAGTCATATATTACAGAAAACTGACTCTTGTGAACTTTAAGCCATGTTATAATGTTGTTACCTCCTCAAAAACATACCTGGAGTTGTGTTTTATTTCATTCGCACATGTTTCTCCAAAGCTCTAAATGCTCTGTTCCACCTTGTGATGTTAACAGCTTCATTTTACCATTTTAGTTCAGAAGAGATTGACAATTCCAGGGCTCATCCAAATGATTCTAATGCAGGTGTATGGAGTTTAAAAACAGAGTGGCGCATCACAAGGTGGAAGTGTGAAGTGTTTTCTGTTTGAGAGATGACCTCAGCCTAAATATGCAGTGTTTGTGTGTTAAACATGTGTGAATGAAACAAAACACAACTCCAGGTATGTTTTTGATGAGGAAACAACAATATAACCCAGATCAGAATCAGAGTAATATGAACCCTTTAAAGGTGACTTTTGTGGTGGAGGTTACATCATCTGCTTTTCTCCATGGAGATGTTCTTAGTTGGTTGCCACAGATCTGACCTATAATTTGATCTGGTATAGTGTCACCAGCTTCTCTCTGTGTTGAAAGGTATGACATAGAATATTTGGTGACACAAGAGAGCACGGTTCACGGTTAATCTATGTTTGTAAGGGACTAAGGATGTGTCAAATCCAAACTTGGGGCCAATAAATTTCACCTTATTCAGCAGAAAAAAAGGGAGAGTATTTAAATTAACCAAATGTGAAAATCAAGTCAGCAGTTCTGCACAGCAGGGAACTGTCTGAGTGTTAATGAAGTCCAATCACATCTGGAAACAGCAGCAGAGAAAACCACACAACCCCAAATATGAACCAAGACCGTGACCAAGAGGAGGGGGCATGATGGGAAGAGGTTTGGACAAAAGGAAATTAAAGGTAATATTTAATAGGGCTGGTTCAAGGTGGTGATTCATGGACAAAATAAAACAATCTTTTACAAATCTGTGTTACACCTAGTATTCAGTAACACTTAAGCAAGGTTTATTAAATTCAAATGTTACTTGTTGTAAATAGATTTCAGAAGCCATACTTTTACTATACTTGTTTCGTCTTTCTGATAAATATTGGATACATATTTGAGGCCTAACCTTTGAAAATACCAGATTTTGACCATTATTTATTGTTTTGTTCTTCCAAACAGGCTTCATGAACTTCAAATTACTGATGATAACTATAATCAAGTGTTACATCCAAACTGTTACTTTACTTGAATTTGTTGGACCACTTTGTAGCCTACTTCTACTTGAGAAGTACTGTACTGTACTTTTTCATACACTCTTTAGTTGCTTCACCTCCACATCTTGGACTGAAGACTGAACTTACCGTTGCACAGTTGCATTCATTTTAGATGCCTTAAATGTATGTAACTTTATCAAATCACTTGCATGATTCCATGGAAATAGAAAGTTAAAACCATACTTTGTAACTTTCTTCATGGAAATAAGTAAAGTAAGTTGTATACCATACTCTGTGCCATACTATTATAGCCATAGGAATAACATTTCCATGGACACAAGCAGGAAGAGGTGGTCTGCTTGTCCTCCAGGTCAGATAAGAGTGGCTTTACATGTTGTGGCTTTAAATATGACATTACAATTGTAATCAATGAAATGAACATTGAGAAATCACATGCACCACAATATGAATTTCAAATGGTTCTTGGCAAGAACCTGTGAGAGGAAAGTTAAAGTACTGGCCACGACCAACTTAAAATATAAACTCTTAATAAATAAAAATAAAGGCAAAGAAAAATAAATACAACTTTTTAACTGACAATGAGATTTTAACTATAATTTCAACCTTCTCTAACCCCATTCCTGACCTTCATTTAGTCTGGTCTTAACTGTACACATAAAAACAATTGATGAGGATCCTGGCAGCGTTACAGCAGCTGACTCAGACATAACAGCAGACGACTATAGCATAAACCATGAGCTAATCTCCATCTGATTATTCAACTGATCAACACAACAATGAGATTTTAATTACAATTTCAACCTTGTCTGACCCCATTCCTGACCTGCTTTCATTTAGTCTGGTCTTAACTGTACACATAAAAATAAATGGCAAGGATCCTGGCAGTGTAACGGCAGCTGACTCAGATGTAACTGCAGATGACTATAGCATAATCCAAAGTGCTGGTCTCCATGTGTGACTATAGCGTTTAAAATGGCTGTCTCTTTGGTCATGAAGGATTAATACACTATAATTAAGTACTAATTTGTGGTTGAGTTCATATTTTCCACACCACAGTGTCCAAGTTGCTCATGAATCAGAGCACAGGATATAAACATTGAAAACGCGAACAAGTTTATGGCCCTTAGAAATGACAGGAGATTATCACACAACTCGAGCCAATTATTCCGGCTGACTGACAATGAGGCTTTGAAGAGTTTTTTGGATTTTGAAGCCTTCAGTGGAATAGTGGTGCAGAAATCCCATTCATGTTTTTCCAAAGACTGCGGGCATTGTAAACCCTCATAACCCAAAACCTCCACCAATTCTGGCTCTAACCATAATCACTCTTCTAAAGCCGACAAGATTGGGTAATAGCTCTGATAACGCAGTAAATGCACATTTCCTTCAGAGGTAAGTTAAGTTCGGATGTTTAGTTCATGAAATTTTCCTTTGATTTTCAACATTTTATTTTCTTTCTGCCTGTAAGATTGAATTGGTTGATTGGCTTCTATGCTTATATAAAGTATAGGATAGGCTGGCCAGGCTTACTTTAAAGATCACAAAATTACACAAAATTAGGCTTTAAACCATGTTACCTCATCAAAAACATACAAGATTGTTTCATTATTAGTCTGTCTACATAGTCTACATCTCCAAAGCTCAAAATGCTTTTCAAGTTAACAACTTTAGTTCAGTAGAGAGGTATGCTTGAGATGAGGAAACAACATTATAACATAAATCAGAAAATAGTGTCATATGGGCCCTTTAAAGGCCTCTTCAGGGGTTACCAGAACTATAGAGTATGAACACAAACTGTATCCAAATAATGTTTTTTTTCTTAAACAAGTTAGTCTACATATGCCACAAGCTGCTGAATACAGAAAACAGCTTCATTTAAAATTAAATCTGTGCAAAAAGACAATTGAATTTTTGGGCAAGCTGTCAGCCAAAAGCCAATAAACAGATACTTGCCAGTATCCTCCAGTGCAACTAAATTTTACTGATTCAAAGCGTAATTTGGTTGCTCCTTGCCCCGTATTCTCATCTGGATGTCTTTGATGATTTCTCTTAAGTGTCTCCAGACTGTCCGTGTGCGTTTGGCCCGGATTCAGTATTTGGGGGGTCTTTTTCGTGGTCTGGACCTGGGTTTATCTACAGGCTCCAGACCTGACGTGGTTTTGGTTCTTCTGGAGCCTGGCTGAGAGGCTTCACCACACTCTGTTTATGTTGGAGCTACTTCACCAGGAAACCAGAACTCACAGAGTTATGCATGGAAGAAGGAAATGAAAAAGTGTATTTCATCCAACATAACACATTTGTTGGAATAATTATTTTGGTGCACTGATTATTCATTGACAAGAAGTTACCAGATGGTGTTTTACAGTTTTTTGGTCTGCTTTTAACATTTTGATGAAATAAAAAGTCAAAAGTGTATACATTTTCTGGGGTCTTGATCCCAGCAATAAGGTTCACTGGTTTGGCATGATGCCTTTTGTGCAGAGTTTGCATGTTCTTCACATGTCCAGGTAGCTATGCAGAAATTGAATTTCCCCAAGCCAAAAAATATACCTTAAAGGTGCATTATGTAACTTTTCTGGTAGAGGGTCTGTCAAATTATTTTCTCCATGGAGATGTTCTTGCTTTGTCTGGAACATTTTTCAGTTTGGTATTAAACCTTTCTATCATCATGGAGACAGAACCAGACCAAGTTACAGGTCAGATCTGTAGAGAGGCAACCCCACTCACAGTCAGAAAGTCTGTTTTTCTAGTTATTTTTGAGCTATAAAACTAGCTGTAATTGAACAAATGTATGATAGATCTGTTTAATGTCATATTGTGGAACATTCTAAGCAGAGCAATGATGCATCTATAAAACAAGAAGATGACTGACCCCCAGCTAAAAAGTTACACAATGCTCCTTAAAAAAAACAAAAAACAAACAAAAAAAAAACACTTGGTGGTTTTCGGATTCTAGAATGTGCCATGAAATATCCAAAAGGTAAATTCACAAATATTAAACCTGATCATTTCTTTTACTGACTAGACCCATGAGCTTACTGTATTGCAACAAAAATCTGCATTTTCTCCCTATTCATTTGAACTGCTCCCATCGGTATTAAACATTATAGGTCAATGAAATATTGCGATATCATCTGAAACCCAGCAATACAAGCAGAATTTTGAAGCAAAACATAAAGATTATGACAATTGTACATGTACTTATTGGGGTTGTCAACTTGTAGCATTTCACTATTGTGTGTTAAGCAGATTCAAAAGTACAAAAGCATTAACTTCCAAATTCTTGTATTGGCAAACCAAACATGCAACTTCTAAGTTACGAAAGCCCTATTACCACTGACCCAAAGATGAATGAACATTTGACTGATTGAACCAGCGTCAGTGGTTTCCTGGCCCTCATCTTGTTACTACATACTGCACAGGGGCATGTTGGGAGATTTTCCGTGGCGTCCTTGGATGCAGCCTCAGAGACCAAACCTCCCCCTAGACCCTCTCTCTTTCTCTTGCAATGTATTTCTCCTGACAGTGGAAAATGGAAATATGAATTGGTTGCATATGAGATGATGGCGCCATGAACACACTGCTCTGTATTTGATGGAGGTCTGTGGCGTGAAGAGGTGCAGTTTTGGACGATTGATAAAGAACAAAGTAGGAACAAAGTGAATGCACTAGTGTGGCGCCGAAAGTATTGTGGTTTGGGACTTTGAGGAAACCACACACGCATGCAGAAAATCAACATCTGCTAATCAGAACCATATGACAGAAGGATTCTTAGATGTCTATTCCCTCGAGTCTTTCCCTCGAGTTTTATGAGTGCAGCCAGGTAGTTCATCATTGTCATGCCTCAAACAAATGTGACGTAATCAGGCAAAACCACAATGGCTATTTCCTTTCTCAACTGCTTGGGAAGTCTGTGGATCAAAGTTTGTAAGATCGGAGAAATTCCCAAAACAACAACAACAACAAAAATTCTCTCAGATTAAAGTATTGCTCTAGAAAATCCTTGAAATGAAATATACAAACTATCCACTGGTAGGTGCAATAATGATTTATTGCACAACCTTATCCTATTGTCAATATTGTTAAGTACAAAACATGAACTTTTTAAGGTTTTAACCATGATATAATGTTACTCCTTCCTCAAAAACATACTTGGATCAATACTTAGTTTCATTCTTGTTGTTTTTTTAATCCTCATAAGGTCTTCTCTCTAAACACTCAGAAATCATTGTTTAAATTTTCCTTGGATTGTTGAATCACAGGTAGAAATCCAAAGGTCTCCTGTGCTGTTACGTGTCCAGAAACATGTCTACCGTCAAATTGCTTTCTTAAATGATCACTCTAGCCTATATAGCTTAGCTATAGTTTTTAGTTTCCTTCCATTGTAACTCCAAATCAAAGAGCGCAAATTATGCAAAATCATTTGTATTCTAAACATAGGGATTATTCTAAGTTCCAAAACAAAATGCCAAATCAAAAGTACTCAAAAGTATGTTTAAAGGCCAATAACAGTACAAATATGGCATTGTACGTGCCCTCTAATACTTCACTTTCAATGGACCTTATAGTGCGTGAGTGTGTTTGCCCTGGTTTGCAGTAAACCTCTCATCAAACCATTTGTTTTGTTGTGGAATCTGGAGCATCCACTTCATTGACCCTGTGTTCTCTCTCTGTTTGCCTGCTTATTTGCACTCACTGGAGCTCATAATATGTTCATTCTTTCTTTTTCTCCATCTAGCAAACATCTGATAATTGCCCCATGTCTACCCTCTGGCCATGGCGTCCAAAGTACTCCCCCTGGTGGTGGTTCTGGCTGTATTGGTTTGCCTTGGTGTGAAGCTGGAAGTTTGGGGAGACCAGGTGAAACCAGGGCGCGCACCGCTCATCCCTCATAGACCATTCGTCGTGGTCTGGAACGCCCCAACCGAATCTTGCCGTCTGCGATTCAAAGTCGACTTGGATTTAAATGTTTTCGACATTGTTGCAAATCTTAACGAAACTCTTAGCGGCCCAAATGTGACAATTTTTTACCATAGCCATCTCGGATACTACCCATACTACACCAATTCTGGCATACCCATCAACGGCGGTGTTCCACAAAACCAAAGCATTACAAAACATCTTAGCAAAGCAAGAGCCGATATTGATAAAATGATCCCGCATAAAGATTTTAGAGGACTTGGCGTAATTGACTGGGAAAACTGGCGGCCGCAATGGGTACGCAACTGGGGCTCTAAAGACATCTACCGCAACAAATCTAAGGAGCTAATTCGTAAAATGCATCCTAACTGGCCAGAAAGCAAAGTAGAAAAGGAAGCGAAAGAGAGTTTTGAGAAAGCAGGGCAAGCGTTTATGAATTTGACTTTGGCGTTGGCGGATAGCAGAAGACCAGAGGGATTATGGGGTTTTTATTTATTCCCGGATTGCTATAACTATGAATACAAGCAGCATCCTCAAAAATATACGGGAGAATGTCCAAATATAGAGCATGTGAGGAATGACCATCTGATGTGGTTGTGGAAGCAGAGTACGGCCTTGTATCCGTCCATCTATTTGGATTATGAACTCCAGTCTTCACCCAATACGGTGAAGTTTGTGCACTACAGAGTCAAAGAGGCCATGAGGATTGCTTCAATCGCACGCACTGACTACACTCTACCAGTTTTTGTCTACTCCAGGCCATTCTACGCTTATACATTTATAGTGCTGTCACAGGTAAATTGGGTTATAGCATAGCGTTCATCAGATGATTTTTCTTTCTTGGAACTACAGTGTACACTGATCTGACGAAGGCTATTTGTTGAAATTTTGCAAAAAATATCTACCTGTGCGTGCTGAGTTTTTTTTATTTTCATTTTTCATTTTTGAAGTTTTCCTTGCATTTGCACCTCAAGTATGTTAGTATTCTTGTATTCTATTATTGTTTGATGCAGTCTTTGAGTTTTATTACAACACTTTTTGTAATTTTCATGCAAAATTGGCTATATTTTTTTCTATTTTCGGTTAATAGATTTTGACATTTTTACAGGATTTTCAATTCGACAACCCATTGACAAATTTTTACGGTGACGTAATGACATACTAATATGCATATATACAGTGTAGACATTTTCAAGTTTTTTTTTTGTCTATGCTGTTTGAGATATTTCTCATGTGTAAATGCTCATTGACAGAGTGACCTGATCCACACTATTGGAGAGAGCGCTGCGTTGGGTGCAGCTGGTGTTGTCTTGTGGGGATCATCAGAATATGCACGATCAGAGGTAATAGTAACAGTAACAAACCTAAATTTGACATAGTATATTTGTATGTTTTCCAAGACTGGTAAACATACCACTGAACCAACTTAATTTCTCAGCTAAATTGTCCTGAAAACTTTTGTTTCATTGTTGAGTCCCAGTTCTGAATATTTGCTGAATGGCTCTACCTACTCTATACCCCATTTCACACTGCATACTGCCCTGTCAAATAATGGCTATAGTATACTTTATTGTCCTTACAGGGAAATTCATTTTTTAAATTTGATCCATTCTTCAAGACAACCTATCAAGAACAGGACTGTACTGTACTAGGCTTAGACAGGGCAGGAGTTAGCTGTAGAATTTTTTGCCTATTGTTATGAATATATAAAAAAAAAAATCCAATCCATCATAGTCATCTTTCAACATGGTCTAGTTGGCTACCACTGAACCTTTTCTACAAAAAAAAAAAGAAAAAAAAGAAACAAAACAAAACAAATGAACAACCAAAAAAACTTCACATCTGCTTAAAAAGTGATTGCTGATCATAAAAATCATTGAAATGTAATGTTATTGTCTTGTTTATGTATTTATCTATGTATTTATTTATGTATTCATACATTCATTTTATTGATTTATTTATTTCAGGGAAAGTATTACCATATGAACATTCCTGTAAATATGCCAGTATTAGTAAGGAAAGCTATTTTTCCATTTAAGGTCCCATGACAAAGAGATCGTTATTAAAATCATATAAATAGCACCAAGTTACAGAACAAGTTCTTGGAAATGTCTGAATCACATACTCTTTTTAAAAAAAAAAAATTTTTTTTAATTTGTTTACCTCTTTAGAAAAATTGTCTGACGGTCAAACACTACATTGATGGCCCCCTCGGTCACTATGTCATCAACGTCACCTCAGCAGCCAAACTATGCAGCAAGGCTCTCTGCAAGAAGAACGGCCGCTGTGTACGCAAAAGCCTAGACTCCACTTCCTACCTGCATCTCAACCCACGCTTCTTCCAAATCTACCGCAACCCCTCTCCAGCAGTGGGCCCTCTCTTCACCGTCAGGGGCCATCTTAACAACCACGACATTCTGGACATGAAGCATAAGTTCACCTGTCAGTGTTACCAGGGCTGGACAGGGGTGTATTGTGAGGTGCCCCAAAACCCCGGGCCTATCCAACAGGAGATAGAGGATTCACTGCTGCCCTACCCCAGAGAGCGTGGCCTCCTGGGAGATTTACTGCTCCTGTTGTCTCTGCATTTTTCCTGTATTTGCGTTATAATGTTTTTAGGTTTGTGTTTGATTATCAAGTGTCTTATATTGTGATGCCTGCAAATGGGTAAAGAGTAAGTGATCAAAGATTTATAAGAAGGCAAAAGTAAGTGGGACTGGGTAAGAAACGTGTTTTTAGGACAGGAATACCAGAGTGGTTTTCAAGATTAAAGGTGTACTGTGTAACTTCTGTAGTGTTGATCTGCTTGTTTCCATAGAGTTGTTACAGTTTACCTGGATTTTCCCACAGTATGGCATTAATTATGTATTTACCTGGTCTCCCAAGGGTTGACCAGGTTTTGTATTCATCCTGTGTGTCTGTGTGAGTGTGTGCCTGTGTGTCTATCCACCCACAATAATTCCACCATTTATGGAACGATTGTCACCAAATTTGGTACGTGGGTCAAACTCCCATGCCCGATGCCGCAAAAAAAAAAAGTTTGGTGACGATCCGAGGTCATTTGAGGTCACGAGTCAATTAAAAGGTCACGCCATTAGAAAGGATAAGCAATTTCGCCAATTTCTGAACCATCTGCGGGCTAAAATATTCACCCAATCATCACACAAGTTGGCACACACATAACCGGGGTACACTGGATGTTATAGGTTGAAACGGGTCAAGGTCACTTAAAGGTCAAGGTAACCAAGGTCAAATATGCTTTTTTGGTCATAACTCCGCGAAGGATCAAGCTAGAGCAACGGGAGTGGTCTCAAAATCTCAGAAAAAGTAAACACAGACATTCTCATGTGTGACCAATATCACACAAATGTTCATGGGCACTGTACAGCTAGACACATTGCACTGATAAGTCTAATGCCATACTATGGAACATTCCTGGATAAGCCATAACATCTCCATGGTGATGCAGGTGATAGACTATTGAGTAAAATGTTACACAGAGCACCTTTAAACATGTCAGAGACCAAAGACGAGAAATGTGAACATAGTCAAAGGGATCATTAAGTTAGAAATGTGTAAGAGGTGGATACAGTAAGATTATATAATCAAGTAAAATCAGAACTGCTCACCCTTATTTATTCAGAAATAATTATCTAAATCAGTTCTTGAGAGGCGTAGCTTTATAGTTTAATTGATTATTGAATATTAAAGTATAGACACCACCCCGAGATATGAACCCTCAAGACATTGTGATAGTCAAATCAGGTCCACTTTGGCTTTGCTTCTGTTGAAGAAAATATTACACCTCTGATGACATAGACCAAGATAACCAGGACTGAGCTGTATGACTTCTTATTCTGGGGGTCACTGCCTGTGTTGCTGCCTAAAATGTTTGGGTACCACTGAACTAAAACATGTGCTTTTTAACCACTGTTTGTTGACAAAAAGGTGTTGTAAATCATTTTAATAATCAAAAAACATAATTTAATGTTGGAAATGTTTATAATTGTGTCTATAAATGTACATATGTATTTTATTAGCATTCAGAGTATTATGTCTGTCTGCTTAGTTGGCAACTGTACTTTCACTGATGATGTCTTTTATTGGCGTGGCAGTGGTGGCTTGTGGTGGGACAGGTCACATGACTAACCTCCATACAACTGTCCCGGTTTGATCTCCTTGGAAAGGGAGGTAGACTATTTCTTTTATTTATTTATTTTTATGTTTTGTTGGTTTTCAAACAGACATGGGAGGAGAAGCTTCTGTATTCAAGATTTAGCAGTTTTTAAAATCGGGGTTTGGCTCTAGAAGAAAAAAAGGTAAAAACTGAAGACGTCATGTTTATTTTTACTTTTGGATGCGCTGTGTTTAAGTTTATGGCATCATTAATCTGTGATGAGCGGATCTGGCTTATCTTTTACTGTGCTTTATATACCACCGCGCCCTGTCTGCAGATTCAGTGCAGAGTTTACGTACTTCACACATCTATAAGCAATTAAACGTTATAAACAGCAAAACAGTTTAATTGATACTATAATTGAAAGTATGCGATTGATTGCAAAAATAATAATAATTTAAATAGAGTCATATGTGTTTTATTTCATGAATTTCTATGACACTGCTGAAATTGTTTATTGTTCAAATGGATCCCTCCCACATTAAAGACTGGGACACATTTTTCTGTTTGGATATTTAAGTTTACTTTGCCTTGCCTTAAAGCTCCACCATGTAACTTTTTAGCAAGATATAAAATGATAAAAAAAAAAAAAAAACATGTATTATTGTTGCGTCTCCAAAAACCTGACTACTGGACTAATGTTATTTAGTTGGGCCTCCTCCTGCATGGGGATGTTGTTTTTATGGCATGACTTGATATTCCGAGGTGCTGCTTTAAAATGTTTAAAGGTGTGTTGTGTAACTTTTCTGGTAGAGGATCTGTTGCTGACTTGTTTCTATGGATATGTCATGACATTAAACAACTCTACGTTACAATCTACTGCTCAAAAATACCTAGAAAAAAAGGCATTCTGACTGTGAGCAGGGTTGCCTCTCTACAAATCTGACCTGTAACTTAGTCTGGTTTGGTCTCCATGAAGAAAGGTTCAATACCATACTGTGAAATATTCCAGACAAAGCAAAAACATTTCTAAAGAGAAAAGCTTTTGACGGACCCTCCGCTAGAAAAGCCACACAGTGCACCTTTAAATATTGCTACATTTCTTTTGTGGTACATGGATTAAGTTTACAAAATGCCACAGAAAATACTTGTGTAAAGTAGCTGTGGGTTTGAGCAAAGCATTTTAACTCTCAGTGACACTTGAACACTGTAACCAGGGTGAACTTGCGCAAACATTTCCAAACAATTTGCTGTTTTCAATTGAAGATTTGGTCCAGTGAAAACAAAATTAAGAAATATTTCAGCTCCTCAGCCTGGGCATTGACCTACTCGCAAAACCCTTCTCCCACTGTCAGCACTGATCAAAACACCCAGGCAGACCTCCCACTACTGGGCAAAGCAGCTTTTACCATCACTTCAGGGATTTACTGCACATCAAGTCACTGCTAAGTTGTGTTACATAAGGTTCTCATCTGTGACTACTCAAACCAAGTACTACCAGAAATGAAATTTTCAAGTACCAGAAATAGGAATTCACCAGAAATAGAACCTGATCTAACCCAGCCGGGACAAATCTCCAAAAGAACACTGTGGCTGTGTCCGAATTTCCACCCTAGCCCCTAACCCTTCATTCACTACATAGACCTGCACTATTTAGTGGACTATTTTCAGTTCTCATGACTGCATCAGCTAAACTCCCATAAAATTTGGTTTCTTTTATAAATAACAGTTAAAATCAACTGGCACACAAGTATTTATGGACTAATAATAGTCATACATGTTTTTGTCAAGCTGGATCTCACATGAACGGACTACATTATTTACCTAATGTTATGTAAATCTGACTTACATGTTTTCATCATCAATACACTATTGGAGATTGTTTTTGAATTGATTCATGCATGTTAGATTAACCCTGAATTGTTCTGTATTCGAGGCTTGAGTCCGTTTTGCAGTTCTGAGCAGGAAGTCAATGGACTGCTTTCTATTAAGCCAAAATTCAATATTGAGGTTTACAGTCAACAAAATGTAAAATAGTAATCTATGTATGTTATAGTATATTACAAAATAACTGACAAAAAGCATATCTTCAGTCACTGGATAAAATTGTGCCTTGGCATTTCCTGTCGTTTGAAATAACACCTTGGATAAACCTCAAAGCCTTAGTGGACATGACTCTTGTGAACTTTTAGCCATTATAATGTTGTTTCCTCCTCAAAACATACCTGGAGTGTTTTGTTTCATTGACACTTGTTTGAGTATACTGGATTATTAGTCTGGATACATCTCCAAAGCTCAAAATGCTCCGTTCCACCTTGTTATGTCATGACACGGTCGTTTTGAAGTTAACAGCTACCTTTTACCTTTAGTTCAGCAGAGACGGGCAATTTCAGGGCTGAAATCATCCAAATCATTCTAATGTAGGTATGTGGAGTTTAAACACACAGTAGAGCACTTCCTGTATTATCACATGACATCACAAGGTGGAGCAGAGTGTTTGCCTTGTGTGAATGCAAACAAAACACACCTTAGGTATGTTTTTGATGAGAGAACAACTTTATAATGTGGATCAGTAAATAGCGTAAAATGGGCCTTTAAGTCATTTCTGTGAAGCTAAAAACAATGGCTGTTGTTACTTTGTTATTGTGCAGTGGAGGCAGTTTGCAGGAGTCAGGTGAGTGTTTGAGGAGACTTTCAAAACATGGAAGAGCTTCATGGATTTCGTTGTGCTGGTGTAATTTATAGCTACATATCTTTCTAGCTCTGAGAGGAAGACTTGAACATTAAAGTTCAAATAGTTGAAAGCTTCTGAGTTGGCTACAAATACTGTAAAAATAGATTTGATTGAAGTTTAAAGTTGTTAGCAAAGCATAGTTTTTCAGATATAAACGATCAAATCTAAATATGTCTGACAGGAACTGCCTCTGCTAAGCCACTGTGACAGGAGAACTGCTGGAGATATTAGAGGATTATGATGAGTGACAGTCAGGAAGTAAACTCTATCCATCCATTGCATTCAAATTAAACTGTTATATAAACATGAAAAGTTTGAATTATGTAATGCAAAACAATGACACACTGAACTAGCTGATGAATAAATAAATAGTATAATGAAATGCAGCCACCACTACTAATAAACTGATATAAACCCTGTAATGCTAACTCACTCTAAAAATAACTTTGGATCTAACAGCTGTCACTTTGTTCAGGCTCTCCAGTGCTCTCTGGATGTCTTCTGTCAGTCAGACAGCAATAACATAGATAGCATCTACTGGTGAAGTGTGAGAATGCAGCAGAGCACCATTACAAATGGTAGCATTAAAACACCATTTGAATCAGTTTGCATATTCCTTTTTTTCACCATAATAGAAACCAAATACAATAAGAGGTATTTATATTCATTACAAATTCAACCCACATAAATAAACAGAATTCTTTATCTTTATCTTTTCCTGAAAAATCTAATCTTCACAAGATTTGATGCACAATAGTAAGTATCCCTTGTGTTGACTTGTATGGCTTGAATCATTTCTCATTTTCAATCAGAAATCATTTGACAATTTGAGTTTTTTGGTGACCACATTTGAAACGATTGTTTCCAAATGACTGTATCACGTTTCCTTTCTAAAACATAAACTGTAGAGTTTCATCTTTCAATACAACTCTCTCTAGAAGCATGGACACATGTAATTTAGACGTCAGAGCTGAGCTCCTGTACTTAGAGGAATCACCATAATCAGCCACATTGGAGTCAGCACTCACTCACTCACTCAGTCACTGCATGCACACTACACAATACAAACTGCATGATCATTATGGGGACTCAATGTAAGAAATAAGTCATTCAAAAAGCACACATTCAAGACAACACTAATATGATATGGTAAACA